TAAATCTTTAAGAGAGCCACTCCAGTCTTGGGCCTTGGATCATAATAATAAGATTTCTATGTTAAACTTATCTCAAAATAATTAGTATTAGTTAAAAGGGAAAACAAATGACACCTTGTATGTTTTGGAATCAGATATATGCAGTCGCATTAATATTCCAAGGCGAAGGAGTAAAACAGACTTAAGAAACCAACTAGCCAACTGGCTACGCCTGACCAACGTCAAAAGCCAGCTTATCTTTCTTCTTGTGGTAGCGACTTTAGATAATTTAGTACTAGCGTGACTTATATTGACCCGTTTACCGTCCGTCTGAATAGAAAAAGTTAAGATAGATGGAAAATGAAGACAATATTCAATGTATCCGATTCCCACCCCACATGTCTGACTGATATACGGCATGCTACCTTCATCTTTTACTTGGCATTTACTTGGCCAACCAAAAAGATCGCAATCAGATAATACTATTCTGTTTGATAAAGGAATTACAAATTACATAGAATTTTAAAATGATGAAATTATATTTCCGTCATTTAATTTTGGCAATTAAATATTTCAATATTTGGATAAATGGGGGTATTATGGGTATTTGAATCAATACAGATTCCAGAAAGTAGCAAAAGAACAAATCATAGGGTTGTTTTACTCATGAAACAACAAAAAAGAAATTGACAAGTCCAGGCATACAAATTTCAAAAAAAAAAAAAAAAAAAAAAAACCATTCAAAGGTCAAAAGTCAAAGTTAAATCAAAAAAATATAGACTGGGGTACTTAGTGAGGAAGTCTGATCAAAAAGCACGTGACCAAAATCTCAGAGGCTGGGTGATCAGTAAAAAGGTCCACTTTGTTGAAGCAGTCTACAGAATAAATAAGTAACGCATCAATTAAAACTCAAAGATATCTCTAGCAACAAATATGGAAAAAAGAAAAATGCTGGTTAATTATGTTTGTGAGTTTTGACCACTACAGTCAATAAGCTTATCAAGGAATTTCAATCTCTTGTTTGTTTCAATCTCTATATGGTCTGATGGGTTGGAGAAAAGGTCTTCAATTTTGTTTTCCTATTTGTGTAAATTGTTTCGGAGGGAAAACATCAACCATTGAGGAAGGCAAAATGAATTGAAGCCAAAACAAGACATTTATGATATTTCCTTACAGATTGGTGAACTACATGCAACTTACATAAATAAATTACGGAACGGATCAGGAGATGGTGTGCATGCCAATTCAGCTTCCATTGAACTACGTTCCTTTTACAGCTACTTCTAAAGCAAGAAAATAAACACTTAAAGCCAGACACTGGTAGTTCCATGGCCCACATCCTTGACAAGTATTACAGCTTTAAGACGGCCACTCCAATTCATTTCCTAACTGGTTACCCTGCTACAAGATCAGGTTGATCCATAAAAACATCTTTTGGCATCACAAAACAGATGTAATACCATCGGCTGCACCCTCGTTCTTTCTTCTCCTTTAGTTTTTTTTTATTTATCTTTGATCTATTTAAAAGAAAAAGGAGTATATAGGTCTTGTTAATTCTTGGGTGCATTGTTGTACTATCCAAAAGGAGTATCCAAAGTGTATTTCCTGCATTTGGCATCTAGTGCATGCCACACAAATCCTCAAAATGAAACATATCTCAAGTAAATAGCATATGTTGACCCAACAGATCTCAAGCAAATAGCTTATGTTGTAAAAAGGAGATGATTAAATTTACTTTGGTGTGCATATTAATTCACTAGTAAATAGTATATTTTTGTAAAACATATGATATTAGGTTCATTTAAACATCTCCTTCAGATCTTATTATTGGTATATTTCTCATGATAATAATATTTCTACAATTAAACTTACATCAAAATAATTAGTACTAGTAAAATTAAAAGAAGAAGGCATGATTGAACAAAAGTAGACCCAGTTTGACTTTGATGCACTTAAGTCCAGAAGAGAGAGAGAGAGAGAGAGAGAGAGAGAGAGAGCGTTGGTTTCCGTAGAGAAAGCAAAAATCAAACGCCACTCTTCGCCTCTCATTAGTTCCAAAGTTGCATAAACAAATCCGTATAAAGTCCACGCCACTCTTGGACTTACAACCTGTTGACAGTGACTTACAAATCTTCAAATAGTGATTAAATTTACTTTGATGTGCATTAATCAGTAGTAAATAGTATATGTTGTAAAATATGTCTGATATTAGGCTCATTTTAAAACATCTCCTTCAGTTCTTATTAATGCTATATTTCTCATGATAATAATATTTCTACATTTCAACTTATATCAAAATAATTGTACTAGTTAAAATGACAAAAAACAAGGCATGATAAGGACCTGAAAAGGACAACAACCCCCAATAAGACCCAATTTGGAAAAAGCAAAAGGAGAGAGAAAAATTTTAAAAAAGTAAAATGGACAAAATGCCTTTATTTTTTTTTAGATTCTTAAGGATCCATTCTTAAGATTCACACTATATATACGCATGTTAGCTTTTGGTTATCATTTCTCAGAGAGAGAGAGAGAGAGAGAGAGAGAGTTCGATGGAGTATGATCGTTTTGAGAAAGTGTTAAAGGCCTCAGATGTTGAAAAGACTGTAGTGACCAGAACAATGCTTCCGATGCTACCCCGTCCCGATCCAGCTCGGGATGTACGATCAGAGTTTTCGACAACCAGAAGGGCCAGGGTTTACGAGTTCCATTATCCATAAGACCGGGCAAATACAAAAAGCGTTTTCCAGTCTAGAGGATGGAGAGTGTTTGTCAAAGATAGAGGGATTATAGCTGGGGACCTGCTATATTTTTGGGAGGAGGATTACCAAATTCATGGGAACTCGGTATCGCATTGCACTGTACAAGCCAGATCTTTTCCCTCATCTTAATAATTCCAATCGGGTGTTGTAACCAATAACAGGTATTTTTCTCGTACGGTCCTACTGGGGAGAAGCAAAGTTATGGATTGTAAGCTAAACTCTATTTGCCTTATAATTTAATATTTAATTAATGCACGTTTCTTTTCCAAAAGGTGTATCTTGTATGGTTTCTTGGAACTCCTCTCTCTCTCTCTCATCTCTCTCTCTATGTCTCTGTTTCTGTGCTCTGCTTCTCCCAGCAACATCAAGACATCCCCCAAATTGAAATTCGTCGCTTCCCCCATCAAAACTATCAAATCGAGATTCTCCTCTCATGAGTGTTCTCTCTCTCTCTCTCTCTCTTCTCTCTCTCCTCTCTCTGTGTATGTGTCTGTTCTGTGCTCGCTTCTCCCAACAACATCAAGACATCCCCCAATTGAATCGTCGCTTCCCCCATCAAAACTATCAAATCGAGGATTCGCGTTTTCCAGATCAATCAATTTCGGTGGAATTTTCAATCTCTATATGGTCTGATGCTGGAGAAAAGGTCTTCAATTTTGTTTTCCTATTGTGTAAATGGTTTGGAGGCAAACATCAACCATTTGAGGAAGGCAACATGAGTGAAGCAAAAACAAGACATTAAATTTATGATATTCCTTACATAGATTTGCTGAACTACATGCAACTACATAAATAAATTACAGAACTGGATCAGGTGATGGTGTGCATGCCAATTCAGCTTCCATTAAATTACGTTACTTTTACAGTACTTCTAAAGCAAGAACAATAAACTTAACCATGGCTTGTCGCTGTGTATACGTGGACTACTTGAATTGAATGAATAAAATCACTCGGTTTGTTCTCTCTCTCTCTGGTTGGCCTTCGTTTTCAACTAACTGGACGGACCCTCCTCTTCTCGCACTAGGTCGTACCTGATTGTGTGGCAGACCAATCTCTTGATCCTGTCAAAAAAAGAAAAAAAGAAAAAAAAAGTGACCTGACATGAGACAAGCCCAGATCCTAGCACCCAAAGTTGACTATAAAACTGACGGCTTTCTAATTTTTTTCCAATGCTTGAATTCCTTGTGTTTTTTTTTCCTCTCTTTTTGAAGCAGAATAATTAGTTAGTTAACGCCGCCCATGACAACACTTTATAAGTTGCAAAGTTTGCTGAGATGGATGAGGGTACTGTGGGCCCGTGGTTCTTCTGTACAGACAAATCACTATGTCACCATTTCATGCAACTTCGCATACATCAAGTCCAGATCAAGTCAAGTAGGCGTCCGCCGTCCATTTCATTTTCATTACTCATTTGTGAATAATAATTTCTGCATGGAATTTCAACATGAAGAGAACACCTAAATATCTATCTAGAACATCTACTTAATTTACAATATTCAAATAGTGATTAAATTAACTTTGGTGTGCATATTAATCACTAGTAAATAGTATTGTTGTAAAATAGTCTGATATTAGGCTCATTTAACACTCCTTCAGATCTTATTAATGCTATATTTCTCATGGTAATAATATTTCTACATTTCAACTTATATCAAATAATTAGAACTAGTTAATTAAAAAAAACAAGGCATGAAATAGTGGTTTGAACAAAAAATAGAGATGGAATCCGCACGAAACCGCCAGGGCCCGGACACTAAAAGTCAAAATCTGTAGAGCAAGGTTTTGGTTTTCCTACTTCCCATTCATCACCCTCTCTCTATTCATTCTTATATATATTAAGTTGAGACGCTACAATGAAAAAGTGCTATTGACCAGAGCAGGAGAGAGAGAGAGACAGAGAGAGAGAGAGTTCCATGGTGTATGATCGTGTGCATGCCAATTCAGCTTCCATTAAACTACGTTCCTTTTACAGCCACTTCTAAAGCAAGAAAAACAAACTTAACCATTGGCTTGTTCGCTATGTAGACGTGTGACAACATGAATTGAATGAATAAAATCACTCCGTTTGTTCTTAAATATTTAGAACACAATTATGAATGTAAACTACGTACCTTGAACGGTATTGTAATTGGAAAGCATTCTCGGCCACAAGGCTTGCAACACTGGAGGAGGGTGAGAGCCCAAAATATGAAAACCGAAACAATGAGAGACCCCAACCAGCAAAGAGCATCCGCTACCACATTTTGTTCTCCATATACATGGCTAATATTGCCCCTCCAGTTTTGCATTTCCAATTTTTTGAAGAAGTAGTTCATCTACTTGTTCCTCATCATGGCATCTTGTAGTTTTAGTATCTTCTCCTACTTTCTGTTCCCCTAACACAAATTTCTGAGCATCCATGCCATACAACAACCGGAGCCCACAACTCTTCACCTGATTTTGGAAATCCTTAACGGGTCTCTTAAAACCATCCACTTGGTTGAAGTCAAAAGAGGCCTCAGTGGCATTAAGATAGCCATTGTAGTCTACTCCCCCTACAAGTTCAAAGGCACTATACCATACAACCACGTGATCCGAATTGAAATTGTAGTCATTGCATTCTCCATGGTTGGTTTCATCACAACACTCTATACATACGATTCGAATTCACAGCTTTCACCATTATTTGCTTTGAAATTGAATTTACATCCAAACCCTAAACTCCCTTTAACATTATAGTTGTCGAATCCAACAAGAAGAGATAGAGCGAAACCCAAGAAAACCAATCTGGAGGAAGCTTGATATTTACTTCAATTTCTTTGGAAAGTTCTGCATATGAAGCTACTTCAAATTTGTCAAACTTTGATGAGGCAAATGCTTGATATTTACTTGAATTTCTTTGGAAAGTTCTGCATATGAAGCTACTTCAAATTTGTCAAACTTTGATGAGGCAAATGACAAACGCATAATTCTAAGCTGCGCATCCGCCATTATGTGGTTCCATGTATTCTGATCTAATTTTAGGCAATTAGAGAAAATAAGTTCCTGGTTAAGCCCTGGAAACAAATTATATCCATCCAACCCATGTGCGAGTGCAGTCCTTGGGCTTGACACTGTTAAGCGATGTGCAGCCATGTGCTTTAAGAGAATATAGCTTTAATGGGAGCTCTGGTAAAGATTGAAGGCTCTTGCAATTGATCAGGGACAGCCAAAATAGCCAAGAAGCTTGTTTGATGTTTGCAGGTATGCTCTCAATCATGGTGCCACTTAGCTTTAAATCTCGTAATGAGGTCAAGCAAAGGAGGGATCTGTAATGTACTGCAGTAACTGAGGTTTAATACTTCCAAAGAGTGCAAACCGACTGAGAAGGGAGGCAATTTATCAAACACCTCGAACTCAGAGTAATTAGATGGTTTAAATTGTAGATGCTCTTTGGGACAAACTCAAGGTTCTCGCAATGACGAAGATCTAACTTTTTATGCCAAGTTAGATTTCCAATTGATGAGGGTAGCTCTTTAACAGCTGTTCCTTTTAATGAAAGAAAATTCGTACATAGGCTCCAAAATTTCTGAGTAGTCTTCAAATTCAGAGCAACCAGTAAGATCAAGTTCTTGATGAGATTTCAACTTACAAATGCTCGTTGGGAGACTCGCAAGCCTTTTGCAATTTTCAGTTCCATTCTAATGCGACCGAAGAGACATTCAATTGATGAGGGTAGCTCTTTAACAGGTGTTCCCTTTAATGAAAAAATCTTCATATCTTTCATAGGCTCCAAGATTTCTGGGAAGTCTTCAAATTCATAACACCCACTGAGATTAAGTGTAAGAGATTTCAACTTACAAATGCTTGTTGGGAGACTCGTAAACCTTTTGCAATTTGTCAGTTCAATTTTAATGAGACCGAAGAGACATTCAATGCTGAGGGTAGCTCTTTAACTGCTGTTCCTTTTAATGAAAGAAACTTCATGTCTTTCATAGGCTCCAAAATTTCTGGGAAGTCTTCAAATTCAGAGCAACCAGTGAGATCAAGTTCGGGAAGAGATTTCAATTTACAAATGGTGGGAGGGAGAAATGACAAGACTTAATAACTTAGACAGAAGAAATAATCACACTAATTTTATATAATAAGCGAAATAAGCATATACCTGGTCTTTATTCCAAAGTTGCTCAACTTTGCTGCCGTGCATTCGAAGCTCAACAAGATTTTCTGGAAAAAAATTTGATGGCATAGATTTCAAAGGATATTCTTGCCAGGAAAGATAAACAAAGAGAATTGGGAAGAGAAACTTTTAATTGGCAATAGTTGCCAAAGCTAGAATCGCCGAGATTGAGTAAACATAGATTAGACATATTTTTGAAGTCTGCACAATCCAAGTGTGGTTCTCCAATCTTAGATCTGTTAAAGAATATGGCTCGAACGGTTTCAGTTCCCTGACCATAAGAGCAAAGTATAAATGATAATGCAATATACAACAAAGTTTAATCAAAAATACATTTGTATGTATCTGACACGAGTTTGTTCCTAGGTGTCTTATCATAGAAAATTCACAAAAATGTTAATTTTCTTTTCAAAGAAAGTGAATGCATTTGGCTCTTACTGTATTATTTCTCAATACGTGTAACGTGACAGATATCCTCATCAATGAACAACTAGGCTCTTAAATACATTGTTCGTAAACTATTGCCCTACCCATTTCCTGAACCAAATCATGCATCTCTAGGCTGTTCCATTTTGAAATTGATACGAGAGACTTATCAATGAGAACTTTAATTCCACCCGCAAATAAACCACTTATATCTGTCATTTCCTTTGCAAAATCTATTGTCATCCCTTTATAGAAACATGCTATATCAAGGAATATCTCCTTTGCATTTTTGTTTAATCCATCAAAACTTAGTCTCAACATATTCTCAATATCTTGGTTGGGAAATTTTTTCAACTTATTCCATTCATCTTTCTAGTCTTCATTGGTGTCGCAGTGAAGGAATATGGAACCCAAAATCTTAAGAGCTAATGGCATGCCTCCGGCATAATCGACCACCATTCTGAATACCTCTGTATAACATGTTTCAGTACAGTTATGTTTCAAAGCATGCAAACGAAAGAGCTCGATAGCTTCAAAATAATATAATCTCTCAACCTCGTAAATCTTTTTCGTTTAATATCTCACGAAGGACATTTCGCAAGTGCTTTAGTCCATGTTTTTCAGACTCCTCCCTAACATTTGCAAGAAAACAAGAAGCTTCAAATTTAGGAGAAAGTCGGTGATACACAGCATCAGCGAGAGTGGTCTTGCCAATACCACCCATGCCCCAAATACCTACAGTGAAAACATCTGGTGAATTAAAGCGTAATGGCCCTTTAAATCACTTGACGTTTTGCAATTCAATTTGGTCAAAAAATCTTCGACAGTATTCTCAATGAAATTGGCCTCTGTCCTGGCAAATATGATTATGAGGACAAACAATTAGTTAGCCTTAAGGAATCTTGTTTGAATTAAATGGTCACAAGTAGAAATAGCAGAGTTAGTTACCCCCTTTTGTTTGAATTATCAAACCCAGCTGCGGCTTCAAAGCATCTCTCCACTTGCGCACCTTCATAACTCCCTCCGTGCTGTCCTTGAAACTTGTTTCAAGTTGAGCAAATGCATATGCATAACTTCCCTGCTGATTTCAAACATGTGATGGGTCGATGCAGTAAAAAATCGGTAGAACAAACTGTCCCCTCTTGCCTTGCATCGCAGTATATGCACTAGTTCATCCAAACACCATGTGGATGAAGCACAGTTTTTTCGAGAAAATGATCACCGAAAGCTTTGATGTCTCAATTGCTTCGAAAAGGGCAGGTGCAATTTGCTCTCCTCTCTCAAGTATGTCGTCTATGTAGGTTTTGATTTTCTTTGAGCTAAAGCAGCATAAAGATGGCTGGTAAAAGTATAGTGGGTGTCTTTGCTGGAATCCAATTTCGCACCTCTAGGTTTTTGGTTTTTCATAGGGTCAATCTCATTAGTTGCCCTGCATTTGAGGTCATTTGCAAAAGTAATCCTTGAATGTTACTTAAAAATGAACAATTCTAATCATGAAATGACAACGTAGGGTGAGTCGTCGAAACAAGTAGTTAGAGCCGTATCAATCAAAAAGGAAAGCAAAAAGACATTAAGAAAAAATAACTTTTGGGCTTGTCTGAGTTAGATGCATCGCTCTGAAAAGTAAGCAAGTTTTCAGTTGAAGTCCCAGAGGAGTTTTACAACACTGAGGCAATTCAAGCATGTTTCACAGTAACTAGACAGATGTTGGAGACGAGGTTAATTTAACGTGTACAATGCATCTAAGGAATTGAAGAATATGTAATTACCCATTTAGGCAAACTAACTACAGCTTTACACTCAGAGTATCAACAACACAGAATTCAAACTGGTAACCAAGCTTGCACCTGTAGTGTATGGGAAGCTCAAACCCCTCTCCACCAATTGGCAGGGAAGCCTCATTTCATTGTGTGCCAAAGCAGACTGTAAATTGGCCATCTTGCAAGATCTCCAAATCTTGAAATTCAATCATTGGGCACAAGCACCATGTCTATCAACACATAGCACATCTCGTTTGGCTAAAACGCATACACAAATAATGCTCTATATCTTCACTGTGCTTTCACAAATATCTGGCTGGACACGCCATACAACAAATCCAAGTTCCCATCAGTGTGCCTAATCTAGTCATGGAGAACCACATGAAGCGGGATTGAGGGACCAAATCCAAGTTCCTGAAACACATTTTGAAGAGAGCGTAAATAAAAATAGTCTCAGTTTGCTACATTCCAAATTGTACTGAGCCTTATAACTCTTTTTTGTTTCTCGAATGGTAAAAGTAAGAAGGGATTAAAAGAGAAGGCAAATCAACATGTCACGATGGTGTTTACTAATATGGCGTCAAAGGTCAGTATAGGGCATATGCCATGCAGCTTCAATTTGAAACCAAAAGAGGACTTGGTCAAAACAAGTTAATGTGTAATATTGTGATCACTAGTTCTCTCCACAGTAACTCTTTATCTGAGGTGATTTCTGATTGCTTGTTATTTATCAGTGTAACAAGGCAAAGAGAATTTGTTAGAGATGTAAATCAAGTCCAATTTATAAGTAACACATTGAATACTCAGAAATCAACGTATGATTATCAAACTATTAAAATTTCAACTTACTGAAGCAAGTTCTTCAATGACAATTGCTCTGTTTCCATCTCTCTCAAAAAGTTCATATACGCATCGAGCATGTTGTTCGCAATGATCAAGTGCCTCGAGCTGATGAACACTTAATGCAGCGACACAGAACTCTTCAAAATCCAGTCAGTACTTTTACAACATATCTAATACCATAGAAAAAGTCATGGAACATCAAAGCAAACATTAGCAACCAAATTATTACCGATGCAATGAGATCAGAAATCCGAGACACCTTCATTGCATCTGTAGCATTTTTCATCAGAGCCTGCCGAGGACAAAATGAAAAGAATAGTTTGAGCATTAAATTATCTGAGAGAGAGAGAGAGAGAGACCAACCATTCTAATTGGGACTTGAGGAGTAAATAGGAGGATGCCTCAGGGGGTAAAACAGGAGGAGAGAGAATTGAGGTTTATTAGAAGCACAGTGGGAAGTAGAACCGAGAAGACGAAATTACAAGAGAGTCAAAGTGGGATGGTTTATATATTAATAAAAAAAATATTTTTTCTTGTGGATCTTTCAATTTCAGGCTTAGCTTTGTTTCGGTTCCATGGACTGAAACCAGCTGTGGACTTTGCTCAATCCCTACAGCTGGGCTTGGACATTTAGAACCCTTGGGTCCATTAGAGATTTTTTTAGCTCAAGTTGAAACAAAGTGAGAAAATGCTTGCCTCTTAGAAACTTATGTTTCAGGCCAATCACAATTTAACATGCGAGCATAAATTTTTCTTATATTTGTAATGAAAGATTTTGTAAATTGTGATTTGTATAAAGAAAGAACGTCTTCTTCAAAAGCAATCGTGGTATATTTCTCCCTCTTTTTGCGGATTAATATGTAAAATATGGTGCTCTCTTCTTGACCAATGTAAAATTGCAAAACCTTAACTGCCCATGAAGCATTTTTCTTTTTAAATTGGTCAAGAAGGAGAATTCGAACATAAAAATTTCATTTTATATCAGTAATAACTAATAATACTACAAGATCAAGTTGGTCCATAAAAACATCTTTTGGCGTCACAAAACAGATGTAATATGATCGGCTGCACCCTCTTTCTTTCATTTCTTTTAGTTTTTTTAATTTTTAAATCTTTGATCTTATTTAAAAGAAAAAGGAGTATATATATATCTTGTTAATATGCATTGTTGTACTACTACTATCCAAAAGGAGTATCCAAATTGGTCGTCCTGTAGGGTCCTCCCTGAAAGCGTATTGTATTTCTGCCTTATTGTAAAGGGTTCACATTTCTAAGTAATAATTAGGGCAATTGAACGAAGGATTAATTGTCCTTGTGATTGGGAATTGAGATTGTGTTTGTGTGGATTAAAATCATCCAGTAAATCAAACTTACCTTTACACTCTTAAATTTATTTTCTGTTATCTAAATTTTTAAAAGACTAAAACATACTCATTCTCTCACACACACACACACACTCTCTCTCTGTCTAAATTTTTAAACGACTAAATTTATTTTTTATTATAAGAATTAATTTTGTAATCCGTAAGCATTCAAACAAAATTTTACATAATTAAAAATTTACAAAAATATCTTACATTCTAAGATAATCATACAAAGAAAAATACTTTTTGTGAATGAAATTTCAAACCAACGTTTTGGGAAGGGTTCTTTATTATCCATAAATAGATTAGTCTTCCTGGAATTAATAAGGTAATTGATTCAGTCAATGTTTATCTATTTGAATATAGAGAGTCTTTGTATAGTCAATGATTATGGTCTGTGAAAGGGTTTCCTACATAATCTGGTTCAAAGAGTACTTGTGAATTGTAGTGCTTCTTTCACAAGAACATAAGTTGTATATTGGGAGGCAAGCGCTAGTAACCATAAGCACCTGTGTGGGGTATAATTCGTCTTAAGGTTAGAGTGTCCAACACTTGCCTCGATTCAATTATTCAGGTTCTTCTAATCCAAGTTATGTGATTTTTCATTGTGTATGTTTGTAAACATAATTTTTTAAGCATGAATTGAATGATTATTTCTGAATTTCTGCGTAAAATATAGCAATTGTACCCATTTTTTCCAACACCTTCTACTTTGGTTTTTCTTGTTTTTTTTCTTCCGTTACCGCTGTGGCTTTTGTTTTTCTTTTATGCCCTGGTGGCTCCCTGTGATGTTGTTTGTCTACTTGTGTCCTTTGCCTTTCAGCTGTTTATTGAAAAAAGGCTGACCATTTTCTAACATGTGTGACCATTTTGTCTTTTTAGTGAGGACCACCTTGTATGCTTCTGCCCACGTGATCTACAAAACAAAAGAATGATCTCGCTTAACCACAAGGAAAATGCCATTTGCTACCGAATTCTCAAGACAATCGCATGTTACCTTGGATTGAACCATATCCATCATTCCCTTTTGAGCGTCCATTCGTGCGCCGCTAAGCTTTTGCGCACACATGTATTTGTCCATGGGGAAGAAAAAAAAAGGTATTATTTTGGTTTACAAAATTATACTCAAATCTTCATCTTCAAAAACAATACACTACACCCAAAAAAAAAAAAAAAAAAAAAAAAAAAAAAAAAAAAAAAAAAAAAATATTATTATAATTTTTAAAGATTTTATTAATGGTACATTTCTTCATAATAATAAGATTTCTATGTTTAAACTTATACCAAAATAATAAGATTTCTTTTGTGATTTCTCAATTTCTCCCTCTTCTAGATTTGGCATGTAAAGGGGAAGTATGGACCTTTGAAAGCAGCAGCAATACAAGCACAGTACTATAAGTGAGTGGAAAATGTCGCCGCAAAGCCAAGGCAGAAATGACTTTCCCAATTAGGCATATCATATTAGTCATACACAAAACGCGTGAGCAACACTTTCGTCATCGTCAAGATAAGCCAACCAAATAGTCTGAAATATCGATAATATCGACGAAATATCGATGATATTTCGGTTTTTTCGAATCACGGATATTTCGGAACATATCCATGTACATATCGTATAAATATTGACAATATCGATGATAATATCGGAAAATATCGATGTCGATAATTTCGCTCACACTTTAGCAATATTTTATCAAAATATCGGTGTAATATCGCTAAAATATCGAAAATATCGATGTATAAGGAAAAAAAAACGGAAAAAGAAGAAAAAAAGAAGGGAAAAAGGGGATAAAAAAAAAACACAAAGAGGATTTGAACCCCTCCCATTTGACTCCTCCAATACCTTAACCACCATATATCACTTATGTTTTAGTGATAATATGCTAAAATATTTATATTTATATGGGTGACATGTTAATAATTACATGCAAAACTATTTTGGGGATTTATCATTTGATGAATACTCTTCACAATATACTTACTCTACACATAGAGATGATGAAGATAGTGAAAAATTTGAACCTCATAGGAACTTTATATGGTACTAAGTCACTCATGTATCTTACCATGTAATGTATAAAGTGTAAAATATTGTAGTAAATCATTATATATAAATAATTATGGTGTGTTTAATATTTTTTTCATTAATTACTACATATTTTCTACACTCACAGTGTTTGCCAACTCACGGTATAATCAAGTTAAATCAGTTAAATCTATCATGTAATGCATTTCCTTATAATTTTTATTGATAAACTAATAGATAATTGACTAAATAAACATTCTCCAAAGTTTCAATAAAAATTTCCAAGTTTTTCTTACAATTTTCGTGGTTTTTATTCAATTTTTATCAATATCGATAATATTCCGATATTTCCATAGAAATTTCCATGTTTTTGGACTACAAATATTTCCGATATCATCGATATTTTAGACCATGAACCAAACCAAACCCAAGCCCTCTCTCTTTCCAACACGTCCTCTATTTTTGTTCTGATCTCCCAATCATGCAACATTATTTTATTATTTATTTCTCAATATTCAAGGAGTTGAAAATTCTTCCTACTCTCGCTTTAGCGCGTTGACTTAACAACCTACCCTCCACAACACATCCTAAAACTTACACTAGTAAACTCATGTTTTTACTCTATTACAATTATTCTTATTTCTATTTTTCATATCCTATATTAGCGTAATAAAAAATAATGATATAATCAAACGTGGATTAATCCATTTGAAAAATGGGCTAGGACACTGAGTCCATCGTGTTAAACTTAAGTTCGAATTCCCCTCCCCATATGTTAGATGAATTTAAAGTAGATTATTGTTTGTAAAATAAAAAAAAAAAAAAAAAAAAAATATTTTCTAGGTCTTACTTCCGTATTCGTTAATTCATGTTGTAAATTTGTAAATGTATGAATGGCATAATTCATCTCAATTTGAGCCATTATGCAAAATAGGAGAAAGTTTTGTGATTTTGAGGTTGAAGTTGAAGAAGATAAAAACTCGCCCCATGAAATTAAAGCATTTCCAAAGGGGGCTCAAAATTGCGCTCAACCACCGTTGGGTATCATAATTGAACTTGTGGGGCCTGTTGTTTCTTCTGTACATGACCAATCGATCATTGGCTTTTAGATATGAGCTTCACTATGGTCTCCATTTTTATTGAAAATGGCATTAACAACAGACAGTTAAAATTTAATTATTGAAATAAATCCCATACATTAATCAACAAGCTGATACTAATTTTCTGTCAAAAACCTGTTTGTAGGAAATTCATTATATTGAGTGTTACCAAATTTATCTTTAAAGTAACTAGTAAATAATTAATATTTTGTGTTCTAAAATATGTTTGATATATATTAGGCTCATTTTAAAGATCTCATTGAGATCTTATTAATGGTACATTTCGAGTGTTAACTAAGACACTTGTCACAATCCAACTTCTAAATATGATGTCAGTGCTACATGAATAAATATAAAAAGATGTATCAGGAGCCATGCAATTTCCTTTTAACATATGGTTGTCTTTTTCTGTAAAATATATCTTGGATGGGTAGTTGCTGTGGTGAGGGACAAGGACGGCCCAATAATTTCTGCATGGTATACAACCTGATGAGAACACCTAAATATCTATATAGGAAAAATATTCAAATAGCATGGCAAAATAAAGGGTAGAGTCAAATGGGAATAGGAAAAAAGTTATAAGAAAAAGTGGAAAAAAAGGTTGGCAAGAGCGAAGGATACAAGCCAAAAGATAAAAGGAAAAAGGTCTCTCTCTGACGTGCTGGATATCTTGAGAGATTCCTAAAAGAAGAGTGCAACCAAACAGAGCTGTTCATATAAAGATCAAAGTCGCAATATTTTTGGTTATCATTTTGTCACAGAGAGAGAGAGAGAGAGAGAGAGAGAGAGAGAGAGAGAGAGAGTTCCATGGAGCTTGATCGTTTTAAGAAAGTGTTAAAGGCCTCAGATGTTAAAAGACTTGTAGTGACCAGCGCCATGCTTGCGATGCTACCTCGTGCCGATCCAGATCGGGATGTCCCAATCAGAGTTTTCGACAACCAGAAGCGCAAGGTTTACGAGTTCAAATTATCCAGCAGACAACGGGGCAGATACAAAAAGCCAGTTTTCCAGTCTAGAGGATGGAGAGTGTTTGTCAATGACAGGGGGATTGCACCTAGGGACGTGCTCTATTTCTGGGAGGAGGAGTACCAAATTCATGGAACTCGATATCGCATTGCACTGTACAAGCCAGATCTTTTCCCTCATCTTTAATAATTCCAGTCAGGTGGTCAAATTCCAGTCAGGTGTTGTAACCCATAATAGGGATTTATCTTGTATGGTCCTCTTGGTATGGAAGAAGAAGCAAAGGAAACTCCTTATAATTTAATATTTTTAATTGATGCACGTTTCTTTTCCAAAAGTGTTTATCTTGTATGGCCCTCTTGGTACTCCTCTCAGAGCATTTCCAGCAACTCGGGCTGTGGGGCCCAAAAACCATTTCCAACAGCAAAGGCTGGCCCGGGCAGGAGGTGGGGGCCACGAGACGAGACTGGCCCTAGGGGTAGGCTTGCCCGAGCGCGAGCTCAAGTTTTGGGATGATGTCAACATAGCCCTCTCCAACGTTAAAAAAATTCAAACACGCGCTACAGTGCCGCCAACGACTAGCAGCCACGTGGCGTCGTCTGGGCTATCTGATCAGATTTTTTCCTCCAATCCAACGGCAACGAATTTTTGTAAAATAATGAAAAAAAAAACAAATTATTGAATTTTTTTTTCTATAAATACCAACCATTAATCTGAAATTTGAAACCGAAAATTTTATTCGATTATGAGATATGAATAGTATTGACACGTAGGAACTCAAAAATCTTATCTTAAAATATTATCCAAATTAATTGTTTAGGTAAAAAAATTTGTGAAAAAAAACAAAAAAATGAATAGTATTTGCCCTTTGCCATGTCAACTGGTAGAAATACACATTGCTTTTTGCAAGGGCAGCCTCTATTCACGTGAATAGTAGCTGCCCTAACCCTCCCTTGTCATGGCAAAGGGCAAACTACTGGAAGAGGCGAACCATGGGGTGTGCGACCGCACAGGGCCCCCAAAATTTAAGGGCCTCCAAATTTTTCCAAGTCAACCCATTAAATTAACTAAAACATGAAAATAAAAATGAAATATTAAATATCACCCCACAACACCACATGCAAGGCACAAAAACCAAAATTGAATTGAATATTAATTATCAACAAATTCTACGACTTAGATAGTAGATGCCCTAATTTAATTCATTTTCCTCTTCCCAACTATCACGCTGCAACTCTTCTTTTTATTTATTTAATATGGTTTGAAACCTATGTTTTCCTCTTCCCAACTCTCAAGCTGCAAAACCATTCTAATATTCTTTTCTCTTTCAGTAAGTCTTTCTCACTCTCCTCCATCAAAATAAAGCCATTTCTCTTCAGTACCAGTGTACCACCCTCTTCCATCAAATTTTGGATTGTAAAAACCCAAGCTTTAGCCCTTTCCCCAAAATCACAGTTCTTTTCTCCCTCCCTTATTCACATGAGAATTCACCAAGCATTGAAATTGGAAAATCAATTTATCAGCTCTATGATTTGGAAGGGTGACTAAAGAAATTTTCTGGGAAGCTCTTTCCGAATGTGTTCTTCCCATGTCAGAAATTTTTGTTTCTATATGGATTTTTTTTTCCTACTTGTATATATAGGGCCTCGACATCCATATTTGCACAGGGCCTCCAAAATCAATGGACCGGCTCTGGCTGGAAGTGCTCTCATAAGGCCTAGTTTGGGATTGCTGCCGCTTTAAAAAAAAGCTGCTTCTGTTGTGCTTTAAAACGAATCAGCTGTAAAGTAAAGCAGTTAAACGTTTAGTAAACTGTAATTTTAAAAGTGCTGTGAGTATGAAAAGTAGTGTCAGAGCGTTTGGTAAATTTTACCGTAAAAGTGATTTAAGTATTTATAATGACTAAAATAGACATGATGCTGAAAGTGCTTTTTACTAATCTGTTTGATAAAAAATAAAACTGTAAAGTGCTTTTATACTTTTCTCCCTAAAAATTATATTAATCTTTGCTTAAAGAAAAGAAAATTTCAAATTGAATAAATTCCAATAAAGATAATTATGTATTGAATAAATTCCAACAAAGATAAAGAGATCACCACGGTAGTAGGTTCATACATCATTCTTCATATTGAATAAGTAATAAATATTTTTTTGACAAATCCTTTGTCCTAATAAAGTTTGAATTGTAGCAATAAAAAAACATTGAAACTAGGCTTAAATAAATGGAAATAAAGAAACATTGAAACTAGGCTTGAATTGTTTCATCTGGTACGTATGCGGGATCACTAGAATCATCACAACTGTCAAGTAGAATACCATCACATTCGGATGAATCATGAGTTGGAAGTACACCAGATGAAGGTGCCCAAGCATGGTCACCAGTGGAGGTGGTGTTCATGAACATTCTATCAAACTTCTCTTCCATATCAGGACTAATACCCTTTCTACGTAATTTTGCATATTTGGGATTTATCTACAAATCAAAGAGAACAACATTAAAAACTATTACAGATGTTTCATTGAATTATAATAAACAAACAACATTAAAAAATATTAATAACATACCTCAATTTTGTTATGCCACCATTCGTCAGAAGCATCAATAGTCCCAAGTTTGGAATTCCACCCAAGACCAGTTTCTTTTCAAATTAGTTCTTTCCATATTTTCCATTGTTCCTTAAGTGCATTCCACTTATTTTTCAATTGTGATTTATCATACTCGGCTCCTGTCTCTTTACTCATGCTAATCCTCACATTTTCCCATCCTTCTTTCTTAAAGTGAGTACCAGGACGATTACCCGCCTCCACCTCCTTGATACACAGGTCACAAAATATAGTTGTATTCTGATTATTCCATACAGCCGGAACTCGTGATCCACTAGCCACATTATTATTCTTCACCATCTGTGCATGTCCTTATTTAAATATTTATGTATTGGGAGATGAACATGTTATAGCAAATAATGTTTTTACTAAAAACATGCATAGTGCCTAAGTAATTACCTATAGGAAAACTTGAGCAAAACTACATACATCAAAAGCAATACACCAAGTCGTACAAGATGACAAGGATTCAAACACACTCCCATATATTTTTCCCTTATTTTTTGGGTCTGCAGTTTTGATATTTATTCACAAAAGATTAATGGAAGCCAAAGAAATAAAGGGAATTAAAAGTTTGCAGCAAAACTAGTTGGGTCTGCAGTTTTGAATTATCTCAAATTATTCGTAAACTTTAGAGCAGCTGTATAACAAATTAGTTTTTCTGGTTGTAACAGATTTTGACTGGCATTGCTGGCCTCACAGTTTTGGCTCTTAGCTTGTGGAGATATTCAAGAAGACCCTAAAATCGTAACATAACAGACATGAAAAGGGCCAAGGTTTCGGTAATAAGTTTAGGACGGTTCTTTTTTTTCAATGCTCAATGATTTGAGGGCTACATATAAGCTCAATAATAGCTGAATTTCTATAGAACCAGAATTTATACAGAGGATAAGATACTAAGAAGGAAGCAAATACAAATTTATTTGGCCCCATTCGAGGCTTGGAACAAGAATGTGTATTTCTCCTTTGTAACTTCCTGGCATGGACACCTTTATGCTTAAAGAAACGATGGACAACCAGTAGACAAAATCTGGACATATAAAACCAGTAGAAACCATGGACAACCAGTAGAAAAAAACATATAAAACTAGTAGAAACCAAAAACAACCAAAAAAAAAAGAGCAGCACGTATATAAAAAGTTTGAGAGATTGAAGAATCTAACCTTGTCAAAGAGATTGAGAGAGATTGAGCGAATGGTTTGTCTCCAAACTTGGGAGGCTACATGAAGAAACTTGGGAGGCTACGTGAAGATGAACTTTGGTGTCTGCATATTTGAGAGAAATACGTGAGGATAGATTTCTAACCTAATAAGGGTATTTGTGGAATTGCGAAAATTTCATTAAAGGGAGCGCGCTGCTTCAATTAAAAGTAGCTTTAAAAAGCAACCCCGAGGTTGCTTTTAAAAGCTGCTGTCAAAAGACCATTGCTTTTAAAATAAGCAGGATATTTTATTTTTACCAAACACCTTAAACTGCTTAACTTTAAAGTTAAGCAGGTTTTTGGCAAAAAAAGCAATCCCAAACGGGGCCTAAGTGCTCTCTCCTCTCTCTCTCTCTCTCTCTCTCTCTCTCCTCTCTCTCTCTCTCTCTCTCTCGTTAGATGAGAGAGCCCGTTGTTTCCGTAGATTGCATGTATGCGTATGGATGGATGGATGGATGACAGTTTTAGCGTATGTGTCCGTACATAACCAGTCGATCATTGGCTTTTAGATACGACCTTTAGATAATGTCACTATGGTCTCCATTTGTCTCTCTTTTGAAAATGACATTAACAACAGATAGTTAAAATTTAATTATTGAAATCAATCCCATACATTAATCAACAAGCTGAAACTAATTTTCTGTCAAAAACCTGTTTGTAGGAAATTCATTATATTGAGTGTTACCAAATTTATCTTTAAAGTAACAAAATATATACATACATATATATTTAAGGGGTGTCTCTCAAATAGACGGTTTGGATTAGTGAAATACAATCCATAGTGGGGCCTACAAGGGGTGTCCCTCAAATAAGCTTATTTAAGGGATCCCTCAATGGAAGCTCTCTGTATATATATATATTGAGTGTCACCGACTTCATTTTGGAGAAGGCAAGAGTATTAAATTAAAATTTAAAAAATTTCCTTTTGCCTTTAAGAGACAATAGGAGGAGGTGAGGGGATGAGTCATCGTGTGAGATGTGAATGGAAGAAACACCTTCTAATGTGCGCATGTGTCCCTACTAACGTGTGTGAGCTCGATTACCAAACCGAAAGGTAAACCTCTGGTCTGGCAAAATCTTTCTATTTTCTGCATTTGGCATCTAGTGCATTGTGCATGCTACGCAAACCCTCAAAATGAAGACAATCGCATAAAACATGATAGTAAATGCCTTGAATTATCATTTTCTCTCTTCCTGTTTTGCTTGGGTTTCCAACTTCTGAACCCAACTGATCTCAAGTAAATAGTACATGTTATAAAATATGTCTGATATTAGGCTCATTTTAAACATCTCCTTCAGATCTTATTAATGCTATATTTCTCATGATAATAATATTTCTACATTTCAACTTATATCAAAATAATTTGTACTAGTTAGAATTTGATAAAAAAAAGGGAAAAAAAAAAAGAAAAAAAGAAGAAGAAGAAGCCAGTTTAAACAAAAGTAGAGATGAAAAGCGCACTCGACTAGCTATGAAAAAAAGGAGCTAGGCGTTCAGTTCCAAACGACTCCAAATGCGAGGTTGTCTTCTGCACGCGGAAGCACATGCGAACGACTCCGCACGACCCCAATATTACCACACCCAACCCCTTGTTGGTTTTGTAATGAAATATGAAGTGCTGGAAATATGAGTTGCTTCAGCAGAGCTCTTTGTATTCTGATTCACTTAGCTTCTGTTTACAATGATAAGCTCAAAGGCTTTTTAAAAAGAACAAATATTCTAGAGAATGCTTCCTAGAGAACCTAAAAGACATTGCATAGGAACTCTACCAAATTAATTAAAGACAGCTACAACTACTATCAATGTTTTCAAAGGCATGCCTTCGCGCGCGTCGGCGCGAGGCGGGAGGAAAACGCCCGAGGCGTCCGGCTGTTTCGCGATTTGCACGTTTAGCGCTGGGAAGGCGTGAGGAGGCGTTGCAAGGCGTGTCCAGGCGGAGCGAGGCGTGAGGAGGCGTTGCAGATCTGGAATCTTCTGAAACGGAAGAAATTGAAAGTCTGCAAATTTTCTTTGAGGAAGATGAACTCGCGAGGAAGACGACTCGATTTTTTTTTTTATAGGTTTGTAACGAAACGACGTCGTTTTGGTTGCAGAGTTTTAAAAACAATCTTTAGTGAAACGACGTCGTTTCACTTGGAGTGTGTTTAAAAAAAAACTGCAAGTTTCAGTTTTTTGTTTTCCTTACCTTAATTGTAATAGGCAAGAATTAATATATTTAATATCTTTCTTTTTCTTTCCTAACTCCAACCGGCTGTAGCTTTGTACTTTTTTTTTTTTTTTTTTTTTTTTGTCTTGAATTAATATCTTTAATATCTTTCTTTTTCTTTCCTAACTCCAACCGGCTGTAGCTTTGTACTTACCTTTTTTTTTTCTTTTTTTTTCTCTAAATTAATATATTAACACATGGACTATATATATATATATATATATATATATTGTATAGTACGTATACAACCCTAATTTCTACCCTTACCAGATAACTCCATCAATTTCAAGAATTCTCTTCATCTTTCGACTGCAAGTAAGTCTTTTTTTTTTTATTTACGTACATGCATCATACTTGTATAATTTGACTGTAATAAACTATAATTTGAAGTTTCGTATAATTTTTTTTCAATATGTTTTAAATATACTAGTTATATTTAAAATATTGTTATAGTTGAATAAGAATTAGTTGTACAATTTAATTGTATTGTATTATTCATAAATTTTTCTTATTAAAATAACTTAATGTTCAAAAGGTTTACGCCTCAATGCCTCAAGGCTTACGCCTCGCATAGCGCTACTAAAAACGCCTCGCCTATACGCCTCGCCTTTGAAAACATTGACTACTATAATAAATAGAGATATTCTAGAGAATGAAGGAAGTGCATTAATTCCAACACTCCCCCTTAATGGACTTTCTTCACAACTCCAATGAGCTCTCTTAAATAGCAAAACTTCTCTTGGAAGTGCCTTGGTGAGTATGTCTGCCAACTGCTCCTCTGTCCTGCAGTATTCAAGTGCAACTTCACCTTTCTCAATTGACTCTCGAATGAAATGGTACTTGATGGCAATATGCTTTGTACGATCATGACTCACTGGATTTTTCCCAATGGCAATGGCTGATTTGTTGTCACAATATAATTTGGTGCCTTCTTCTTGCTTTTCGCCAATGTCTTCAAGTATCCTTCTAAGCCATACAACTTGTGATGCTGTCTTAGCTGCTGCAATGTACTCTGCTTCAGCAGTAGATTGTGCCACCACATTTTGCTTCTTTGATGCCCATGAACATATGCCGGAACCAAGTGAAAAAACATAGGCTGACGTGCTCTTCACATCGTCAAGACATTCTGCCCAATAACTATCTGTGTAACCAATAAGCCTTGATTTTTCTACTGCTGTAAACCAAATTCCATAATCAAGTGTGCCTTGCAAGTATCTCAACACCCTTTTTGCAGCTCTAAAATGAATCTGACTTGGCTCTTGCATATAACGTGAAAGTAAACTTGCAGCAAACATAATATCTGGTCTAGTTGCCGTAAGATACAAAAAACTACCAACCAAACTTCTATACTTCTTAGCATCTGACTTCTTTGCACCATCAAACTTCCTCATTTTCTCATTTGCTATCAAAGGAGTAGCCACTGATTTGCAGCCCAGCAAATTTAACTTCTTGAGAATATTTTCAACATATTTCTTTTGAGAAATGAAGATCCCATTTTCAGTTTGAGAAACTTCAATTCCCAAAAAATAATGAAGTAATCCCAAATCACTCATCTCATAGGTGCTCATCATATCCTTCTTGAACTGTTGGATCAAGTGTTCATTATTGCTCGTAAAGATCAAATCATCAACATACAGTGAAACAATAAGAATAGAAGCTCCCTTCTTTAGGATGTAAAGTGTGGGCTCACTTTGGCTCTTTTGAAAACCACTATGTGAAAAATACTTATCAATTTCAGCATACCAAGTCCGGGGCGCCTGCTTTAGCCCATAAAGTGCCTTTTTCAACTTGTAAACTTTTTCTTCTCCCCCTTCAACAAGAAAACCTTGGGGTTGCTCAACATAAACCTCTTCTTGTAGCACTCCATTCAAGAATGCTGACTTCACATCAAGATGATAAATCAACCAATTCTTTTGGGCAGCGAGAGAAATCAAAGTTCTAATTGTTTCAAGTCTTGCGACAAGAGCAAAAGTATCAAAAAAATCAATACCTGGCTTATGAGTAAAACCTCTAGCCACGAGCCTTGCTTTGGCTATAGGGTTAGATGTGCCAGTGGCCATCTCCTATCTTTGGCACCATCTCTCCTTCTTTCCTCTCTTATTTTATGGCAAAAGCTGGTAGAAGAAAGAAGTGGGTAATAGTGTTGGTCTGAAGGGTGTTTTGCTCCCAGCAGCCTGCACACGCAAGGATCCTTTGGTTTTTCAGGTGGTCTATTGTGGTTTTATCTCTGGCCATGGGTTCATAGAGCCGATGCGTTTTACAGGCTCGTTTCAATTCTTAGCGTGACAGATTGCATATTTATTTGGCATAGCATATGGTTGTGGCTCGTGCAAGCGTGCATGACGAATTTCGCGTGCTCCAAACCGGATCTCTTCTTAATAAGGTATCGCATTGGACCGGGAATTTATTTGGGTCAAGCCTTGGATTTTTTGGGCCTCAACAATAATATCTATAGCCTCCTAAAGCAATACAAGCAGAAGGCCCCAGACATCAGAGTGCAGGGGTCCAAAGGATAATATATGTAAAGTTCTGATCTCTTGGACTATAGGGGTCCAAAGGATTTGTGGTCACTCATCGTTGGATGTAAATTCAACGATTCACTCACTCTTGTACTCCTTTTAAGAAACTTTTTTGAACCATAAAGGTGGGTGATCACAATCGCTTGGACTTCTGTGATCCAAGAGATTGGGACTATATATATATATATATATATATATATATATTTATATTTACTTCTAGAGTAACTAGTCCCACCAAATGCTCAAAGGGCTTTGATTTCTAGCAATCCAAACACATGGCTGTACAATAGAAAGGTCCCTTTGCTGAGAGAAACCTCCTTGAAACGTCTTGGGATGACAAATTTTCCCAAGAATTAGGGTCTTCATGGGCTTCAACCCTAATGAATCGGGTATGGACAAAAAGAACAACCTTTACTTACAAATGAAGACGACAATAAAATATCAGGTTACAATTTTGTATACTGTGCTGTCAAAATACAGCAGATCATCAGACATATATACATATGTAAAATCTGAAGATTTAATCACCATAAGTCAATATTTAGGACAGTATATTATTCTTCAAATCTCATCAGATGCAGCTTGAAATCCACATCCTCGGCTTCTCAAGATACATTTAAGGCAACACAAGTTGTCAACTTCCAGAAACACCGGCAAGCGAAGATGGCAGTGCAGTGCAGAGAAACATTATTTGCAGTTAACAGTACAAGGAAGACAGGACCTAATGCTTTTCAGGCCCTTGTTTGCTTGTGCTTTGGTATGAAACTTATTCTATCTTCTCAAGAACGACTCAGTAGCAGAGAATAGATTAAACTGCAACTATCTGTTAACTGAAACTGAAAAGTCCAATAACGAGTCATGAGTACACATGGTATAAAAAAACAACAATCTGTACGGCCAATGTATTTCCATTTCTCTTCCATGATGAAAAAAACCTTATACACACACAAGCAATCAGCTTGAACTTTTGCCATCATTTTTTGCCCCCTTTAATAAGAGAATGCTTGCCATTAGTTATCCCCCTGCAGAAGCTCTTACTCCACTATTTGGAAGGAGGCCGTCCTTGGCCATATCACTAAGCACATTAAAAACTTCATCCACATTCCTTCTTTATGGTTGATGTCAACGAGTAGTTTTGCACGTTCAGCATCAGAAAGCTGACAGTTTCTCAGTGTGTTCCCTATGACTTGACTCATCATTGTTCATCCTCTCTGTGAAAAGTGCTTTAACCAGCCCAATAACCGTCACAGTACGCAAAACAAAACCAGAATGCAACATTTCCTTGTACAGGTTGCATGCCTTGATAACATTTCCACCTTTACAATGACCATGAATAATAACATCATAAACTGCTTCGTTACTCGTGTTTCCTCTCAATCGTTGTCTCAAAAACTAGGTGTGCTTCTTTCATCAAACCCTTCATACATTATCCCTTTACTAGAGCAACCACACTCTTAAATTCACCATTAGTGCAGTTCTCTATTAGCGTATTATATGTGGCATCATCAGGGACAGACTCCTCATAGAACAAGTTGAGCAGAAGCCTCTTTGCTTCCCTAGTTCGAGCTTGTTAGTTAAGTCCATAAATGAGCACACTGTAGGTAACAACATCAGGTAGGAATCATTTTTGTATCATTTCATCATTCAAATGAAGAGCCTTATTTAAATCCCCTTCCACACAGTAAGCATTGATTAATGTTGTGTACGTACATTCATCAGGAGGCATTCCCATACTCAAAATTTCTTGGAATAGATCACAAGATTCACCATGTCTTCATTGCTGACAGACACCTTGAATGAGTGATGAATGGGTAACAGCATCAGGTGATACACCCTCATCCATCATCTCCAGCTTCATTCAAAATGCGCTCTCCAATTCTTGATGCCGACAAAACCCAGTTATAATAGTACTATAACTTCGTACATCAGGGGAAAACCCTTTCCCTGTCATAACTTGTAGGATTTGAATGGCATTTTCCATCCTCCCCAATAATCAGTATCCATTGATAAGTGCATTGTAAGTCACAATTGAAGGTGATAATCCATCCCAATCATTTCCTTCAGACCATCATAAGCTTCATTTAAGAACCCTTGTAGGGAGAAACCATCAATCAACGTAGTATACATCCTCTCATTTGGACGAAGTCCTCTAACACGCATCTGATCGAAAAACTCCATTGCTCGATTTAAATTCTTAGCCTTACACTTAGCATTAATGACATTGAAAACATTGGGAGACAAGCGATTCTTCCGCCTCTCCTCTTGCAGAACAAGTGCTTGGTGAAAATTACCTTCCTCGCAATACCCACTAATAAGTGAATTACAATTTACAAGTCACCTCATCAGGAACAAAACCTTTTCTTTTCATCTCCTAGAGAACCTGCCCTTCAACGCCATCAATCTCAACAGTTCAAATGCCTGATCAATCCTATTCAATTTTCAATATGCATCAATCAACGTATTATAAGTAATCACATTCGGCAAACATCCATTTCTTTCCATTCCACCAAAAAACTACAGCCCCATTTTTAAATTCCCCGCCCCGCTAAAACCCCTAATCAAAATATTGTAAGTAATGCACATTCGGGGATACCCCATTGCTAATCATCTCAGAAAACAGCTCCTCAGAAAATTGAACAGACTCTTTTGACCTACTTATTGCATCTAAAATTGCCATAAATCCATGAACTTTGGCTAAATTAACAATATTCAGAGCCTCATCAATGAAATTCAAGAGAGAGTAAGACTTCCCCACCAAGTCGAAAACCGCCGAGCTCGAATTGCAGATATGCAGGGAGTCACTGAGGCACTGAAAGACCAAATTACCCCTGTCGTCGATGGTGTTGACGGCAACGTCCTCGGCGAGGGGTTGGGCGCTCTTGTAGAGCTTGAAGCGAATGAGGATGTGGAGGGCGAGTCACTTGCATTGGAAGGTGAAGAAACCATGGTTCCGAGCCCAGCTGAGGAACTTCACGGTTAGGGGCTGGTCGAATTGGGACTTGAGGAGTAAATAGGAGGCTGCCTCAGGGGTAAAACAGGAAGAGAGAGAAGTGAGGTTGTGGGGATGGCGTTTGAGGTATGTGATTGCTCTTTCTGCCAGCAGTGTGTCGGAGGGAGCACAGGGGAAGGAAGATGGCTTGTGAATATGAGGTCTCATTCGGAATTGAATAAGTTAGAGGTTTATCAGAAGCAAAGCGGGAAGTAGAACGGACTACGGAGAAGACGAAAATTACAAGATTTTTCAATTTCAGGCCCTGCTTTGGTTCGGTTCCATGGGCTGAAACCAGCTGTGGACTTTGCTCAATCCCTGCAGCTGGGCTTGGACATGGGTCCATTAGAGATGTTTTTATTTTTTTTTCCGCTCAAGCAAGAAAATGCTTGCCTCTTAGAAACTTATGTTTCATGCCAATCACAATTTAACATGTGTGTATAATTTTTTCTTATATTTGTAATGAAAGATTTCTGTAAATTGTGATTTACATAAAGAAAGAACATCTTCTTCAAAAGCAATCGTGGTATACTGCTCCCTCTTTATATGGATTAATATATAAAGTAGCCGTATGATCTTTAATATTATTGTGCATATTTTGATGATAACAAATTGTTCCTTATTTATCTAATGTATTTCAAGTGTGATAAGTTGTAAGGAGCATGTATTCTCAAATGGATCAAAAATATTGTACACATTGGATTACTTTTGGAGCATTGAAGTAAAAAATCGATACTCAAGCAAATATTTCTTCAATACATAAGAGTTAGGTTATTTTTGTAAAACTCTTTGTGAATTGAACATCTAAGACTCTTTACCTAGATTGACCTTAGGCTCCTTTATGCATTCATATCATAATATATAAAAATATGTCTTCAGTGTAGAACTTATAATGTCATCCTCTTCTTCTTCCTTTCTATTTCTATTTCCACTTATTTTTCATGTTCTTCATGTCAACTGAACATAGACCTTCATTTTTTCCCCTTTTATTCCTGACTTTGGTGCCAAGGGCGGATCTATGTATGGGCACTCTAGCCCAGTGCCTTTTAACAAATAGTGAGTCAGTGTGCCTTTTAAGTGCAAAAATCTACACCAATGCAACAGATGAGTGCAAAAATCTTAAAAGTTAAAGAGTAACTTGTTCCGTTCACTTTCTTCTTTTAGGTCGAATTGTGTTCCCTTTCTACTCGACATCTGTAACAAAAAAATTTATGACATCTAAAGTACGTAGCACTCACTATCTTTGATGGATGCTTTTGCTAAATGATGCGTTCCTTTTGCTAAATGATGTTACCTTTTGGTGCATGGAAACAGTCAATTCGCCGACATTTTTCTGTTCAAAAAATAAAGAGAAGAGTTGAAGGTGATTTAAAATGAATTTTACGAGTTTAAGTTAAATTTACTAAAATATTTAAGGAGTTTGTGGTAAAATATCCTTTTTTCACAATTTTTATTTTATAACAGCTCCTGCCTTATTTTGGTCGAAAAAGCCCATTCAAACTCCGAAGGGCTAGTAAAAAGAGCTCGATTACCAAACCGAAAGGACAAACCTCTGGTCTGTCAAAATCTTTCTTTTTTGTTTTTGCTTTTTTTGCTCTCAGGAGACTTTTGTACGTGCAATGGATGCCACATATATTTCTAGAGCATCTACTTTTTTTTTGTCAAGTATCTAGAGCATCTACGTTTAATGGATGCAAAAAAACAAAAACAAAAAAGGTTCTTAATTTGGAATTATTGAATATAAAAAGCATCTACTGTTTGGCAGGTTGTCTTCACTCTTTCCTGTCATTGTTTTTCACGTGTCGCTAAAAATCTCTCTCTCTCTCTCTCTCTCTCTCAAATTAAAAATATCTTATTTAATAATTAAAGTCTAAATATGGTTATGGTCAGGTTTTCAAACTCATTGCCATATCATAGAGAAAGGTGAGAAACTTTCTTGATCAGGTTTTCAGGGCAACATAACAACATTCCCTTTGAAATCAAAAGAAGAATTTATTCGAGGGGAAATGAGAGATATTTTGTTCCACCACACACAATTATTTGATTTTTGCTTTCAAAAGAATCAGTGGAGTTATAGAAATTCTTAACTTTGCTGCTACTATTGACTATTGAGAAAGAAAATATAAAGGCCTATAATTTAATCACCTTCGTTTAATATCAGTAATAACTAATAATTGATCTCCAATGGCTCTCTTGCACTTATACTTGCTTATCTAGGAAAGCTTCTTCTAGATTGCTTCCCACGTAGACATCCTTCACATAATTGATCTGGAGAATGATAGATGGCAAGCCCTTTCCCATTTCTTTCTTGCATAGCAAAATCAAATCACTCAAATTCACATGCCCAAATCTCAAGTGCCAAAGCCAGGAAGGATCTTTGAAACAAGACTTCAAACACTTTGCAGCTTCACTTTGATTATTCAGCAAAAACATCCTATTCTTTGTCATTGGAACTTTAGCAATTAACCTATTTTGTTCATCTCTAATTGAGAGACTACAATCAATCAACTGCATATTGTGTCCTTTCTCCAGCAATTGGCCCAAACTCAAAATATTACTCTTCATAGTAGGCACATAATAAACATATGAAATAAATTCATGGCTGCCATCCTTCAAACGAATTAATATTTTACCTTTGCCTTGAACTGAAATCTTCGAATCATCTCCAAAAGTGATCTTGCCACCCAACTTTTCATCAAGGTCAACGAATAAATCTTTATTTCCGCACATATGGTTGCTTGCTCCAGTGTCCAAATACCATAACTCTCCATTATGTCTAGTTTTTTCTTCACATTTGTAGGCCAACAACAAAGTGGCTTCTTTGTTTGCTTCTGCATAATTGGACTTCTCTCGGACATTTCCACCACCACCTCTGCATTCAAATGCTTTATGCCCATAGCCTCCACAAGAATAACTTTGGATTTGTGATTTATCATACCTAAAATTTCCTTGCTAGTTTGTATTACTTCATCTTCCACGTCCTCTTGACTAATACAAATTTTGTTCTTTTCCTTCATTGTGACTTGACTTGAAATCGCCGCTGCCACTTCTTCCTCCTCTTCCACCTCTTATTCCTCTGCCACCTCTTCCTCTTCCACGACCACAACTTGTTCCACTTCTTAATCTTTCTTCATCATTTCAAGTGAGCTTCGTTTGTAAGACTTTCTCCACAACTGGTTCTTGAGTTTTCTTCTTTAATCTTTCATCATGAGCTTTCAATGATCCAGAAAGTTGATCAACCGTCATAGTGTCCAGGTCCTTAGACTCTTCAATAGCAACAACAATATACTCAAACTTTGAATATAATGAATGAAGAATCTTCTCAACTATACGGGTGTCACTAATTTGTTCTCCATCTCTTCTCAATTGGTTGACATTGGCTTGAACTCTTGACATATAGTCTGAAATCGATTCGGATTCCTTTTGACGTAGGCTTTCAAACTCCCCTCTAAGGGTTTGGATGTCACACCCCGGATCGGCTCCACTATAGCACGATATTGTTCGCTTTGGGCCTTTCTCTCTGCCCTCACAGTTTTGTTTCTAGGAACTCATGAGCAACTTCCCAATAGGTCACCCATCTTAGGATTGCTCTAGCCCAAACTCGCTTAACTTCAGAGTTCCCATGAATCTGAAGCTAGTGAGCTCCCAAAAGGCCTCATGCTAGATGGAGGCGGGCATGTACATATAAGACATATCACCCCCTCTCCGTTGGTCGATGTGGGATGTTACAATCCATCCCCCTTAGGAGCCCGATGTCCTTGTCGGCACATTCGCACCACACGACAGAATGGCTTTGATACCAAATTGTCACACCTTGGATTAGCTCCGCCGTAGCACGATATTGTCTACTTTGGGCCCCCCTCTCTGCCCTCACGGTTTTGTTTCTCTGAACTCACGAGCAACTTCCTCGTGGGTCACCCATCTTAAGATTGCTCTACTCCCAACTCGCTTAACTTCGAAGTTCCCATGACTCTGAAACCAGTGAGCTCCCAAAAGGCCTCGTGCTAGATGGAGGTGGACATGTACATATAATGCACATCATTCCTTCTCTGTTGGTCGATGTGGGATGTTACATTGGAGCCCCACCTTTTTTACTTTATCAACTCCTCTATAAAAATTATGCAAAATCTCCCATGCATTTTTTGATGTTGTCGCATTTGCAACCTTCTCAAATGTGCTATCATCCAAGGCTTGACAGATGAGGGTGCCTTCTTGTCTTTCTTCCTTGTTTCCTTCAATGCTTCTCTCTGGGCATTAGTCAAATTTGCTTCATCTTCATGTTCACCAATTCCTTTCTCTACGACCTCCCAAGCATCATAGCAGCCAATCAAAGTCTTCATTCTAACACTCCAATTGTGATAATTATCTTTGGTCAGCAGAGGAACTTGAAATGGAGCCATCGAATTGTTCGCCATCTTCTAAACTTCTTCTTATGGCTTTGATGCCAATTTGTTGGAAGGTGATGGACCCTTACTCATAAAACTCACAATAAACAATATTTGGGAGAAGTTACTTTATTTTATATTGCTTGAGTACAGCCAACCGATTACATGACTTTGGCATATGTATAGCAATTACAACCACTGAAGGTAATAAAGCCCCACTACTTCCTAGTCTTGAATACATGCACCCAATCAACTTCTAGAATCTTTCCAAATGCTTATACATCAACTAAATACATAACGCATCAATCTAATTAATACAAATTTATAAATAAACTCAATCTTAGACATGTATTTATAAAAAAACCCAAGCACTATTTAAACATAGAAACACACCCAAAATCAACCCCAAAATCAACAATTGTATATTTTTTGGGTGTGTTTATAAATGGGTTTTGAGTGTGTGTAATGATGGGTTTTGGGTGTGTTTATAGAGTGTTTTGGGTGTTGGGTTTTTTTATAATTTCAGCCCCCATTTTGGGTGTTTTAGTGAAACTCCCATTAATTAATAAAGCATGTTTATTTTCAAGAGACAGAGATAGAGATGGAAACCCCACTTAAAGCCATGCACTCGAAGTTCCTTGGCCTACATAAGAGAGAGACAGAGATAGAGATGGAAACCCTACTTAAAGCCATGCATCGGAAGTTCCCTAGCCTACATGACAGAGAGAGACATAGATAGAGATGGAAACCCCACTTAAAGCCATGCACTGGCAGTTCCCTGGCCTACATATTTGACAAGTGCTACATCTTTCAAGAGGGCTACTCTAAAATCATATCCTACCTGTAGTGACCCGGTATCAGATTTCTCTTTATATAGTAGCATATGAGTGAGTTGAGCTCCTCTAAAGCAATGAAACATCAGAAGATAAGTAGCTAAGTGAACATTTTGTAGTTTGGTACTGAATTCATTTGTAAAGAGGGAGTGATGATATCGATGGATCTTGCACACGGTGGGCAGAAAGTGATCACGGCCACCGATGTTGGGAGACTTGTAGTGACCAGAGAAATTCTTGCTGTGCTGCCTCCTGTCAATCCAGGTAATACTATCTCAATCAACGTTTTCGATAGCCAAACAGATCGGGTTTATGTGTTCAAGTTAGCTGGTAGGCGCGGTAGATACCTGAAATCAGTTCTCCAGTCTCGAGGATGGAAACGCTTTGTCAACGACAGAGGCATTGCTGTTGGGGACGTCGTCTCCTTTTGGGAGGAGGAAAACCCAATTTATCAAACACAATACCGAATTGCACTGTTCAAACCACATCTTTTTCCCTGCCACCCAGATCTTCATGGTGTCTAGATAGAAATTAATGAGTTAGCAGTAGCAACGTGTTTGTTTTGTGTTTTGTCTAGTCGGTCATTCATAGGGTGTGTGCTTTTTTATCTTCATGTCAGTGTTGCTGTCGATCAATCACCATCTGTGTATTTAGTGAGTTTTTTTCCTTGGGTGTTTGTCTGTGTGTACCTGATGCAAGTACTGTTATAATGTACTAGCATTGTGGCTTATATATGTTGAATAAAAAAAATAATATTACTGTTGTTATGAAGATGGCTGGATGATTTTCTGTACTTGTCATGATGTGATTCATTAATGCAGGTACTCGACATGAACTGTGGATACTAACTATGAAATCTTGTATGTTAGGCTCAACTATGCAGCCACAGTAATGAGAAATGGTAACAAAGTTTACAATTAATTTCTTCAAGGTATTTAAGATAGGACCACCCGCGCTGCTCTAGAAGGAGAAAGAGAACAGAGGGAGAGGGAGAGGGGGAGACGGAAGGGGAGGGCTGGCTATACAAAAATTGACACGTGGCTATATTTGAATGGAATATGTATTAGGTTTAGGGTTACTACAGTAGTATTGTATAATGGGAGAAGAAAGGGTGCAGATACAATGAATTTAGACGACTTTGGGTGCCAAGAAATAAAGGTGGGTAGGACTTTGGGGTGTGATATGATGGTGTGGTTCGGGAAAGGGGCGTTTGGGTCGGTGAGAGAGAGAAGTGGCGATGGCTGGCGAGTGATGGGATGGGGGTAATGGGGTTTAGGGTTTCATATTATTATTTTTAATATTTTGTTTTTGTATTCCCCTGCAACTGGTGATGGAATCCGCACTAAAAGCGAAGGCATGAGACTAAGTTTGAGTTTCAGTTTGATGTACTAGTTCATTAAGCTCTTAGAGTCAAAACCAGCAAAATGAACAAACAAGCACTTTGAACTTTCACATGTAATAAAGCACGCACTTACTAAATTAATCAAGTAACACTTGTTAACCAAAAAACAAAAAAGTAAACTTGAGAAAGACAAAATAGTGAATGAAGATGTCAATAGTAACAATAATACCAAAATAGTGAATGGTAAGTAGCTTGAGATCCATTAAACATGTCCAATCCAACTCTGTTAGTCAAATAGTGAATGGCATCTAGTGCATGCTACACAAATCCTCAAAATGATAGTAAATGCCTTGAATTGTCATTTTTTTTCTCTTCCTGTCTCGCTTGGTTTTTCAACTTCTGAACCCAACAGATCTCAACTACATAGCATATGTTGTAAAAAAGGAGCATGATTAGATTTACTTTGGTGTGCATATTAATTCACTAGTAAATAGTATATGTTGTAAAATATGTCTGATATTAGGCTCATTTTAAACATCTCCTTCAGATCTTATTAATGCTATATTTCTCATGATAATAATATTTCTACATTTCAACTTATATCAAAATAATTAGTACTAGTTAAAATTAAAAGAAAGAAGGCATGATTGAACAAAATAATTTCTACATTTGTTATCTAAATTTTTAAAAGACTAAAACACACTCACACACACTCTCTATCTAAATTTTTAAAAGACTAAATTTATTTTTTTATTATAGGAATTAATTTTGTAATACGTACGCATTCAAACAAAAATTTACAAAAATATCTTACATTCTAAGATAATCATACAAAGAAAAATACTTTCTGTGAATGAAATTTCAAACCAATGTTTTGGTTCCTAACTCTTTCTTTAATTTTTGGGTTTCTACTCGAACCAAAACATAAGCAATGAAGCAATATTAAAGAAAAGACTTCCAATCATTATAACAAGGTCACGTAAGTGAGCATGCATGCATGTGTGTAGAAGAAGTTTCCAATCATTACATGATTATAATTACTTTAGTGTTGCCACATAATTAACTAGTAATATATATATATATATATATGTTCTAATTACAATATGTTTGATGTTAGGCTCATTTTAAAGATCTTATTAATGCTACATTTCTCAAAATAATAAGATTTCTTTGTGATTTCTCAATTTCTCCCTTTGATGTCAATTGAAAGGGTATATTTAGGGAATTAAACCGGAAAGCCTAAGTCTCTCTCTCTCTCTCTCTCTCTCTCTCTCTCTCTCTCTCTCTATATTAAAAAAAAAAAAAAAAAAAAAAGGAGAAAAAAAAGTAATATAACCAAAAATAAGAGCTGAAATTATAAATAAAAAAAACCCCACATAGAATGCACTTTAGAAACATATCCAAAAACTATTTACTACATAAGAAATTCGTGTTGAAGTTCCTATAAATTACATCTCTACCATTGATTAACTTAAAACAAGCCTAACACAAAAACCTCAAAAAAAAACAACCCAAACAAGCCTAGCCCAATTTGTTTTTATAGCCCACCCCCCCAACCCCCAACAAACTACAAAAAAAAAAAAAAAAAAAAAAAAAAAAAAAAAAAAAAATTTCAAAAAATCAAGCTGGTCCTTACGACCCTTCCTCCACCGAATCTCTGTACACTGTTAATATCATGTTATAGAAGTACATTGTTAATACCATGTCATAGAAATACACTATTAATACCATGTCATAGAAGTATACTGTTAATATCATTTCATTGAAGTACATTGTTAATACCATTTCGTATAAAAAATAAAGTAAAACCCTAAAAAAGCCCAGCAAGACATCCAATATCTTTTGCAGAAACCACCTCCAATTGTCCATAGTTTAACCACATACAATTGCAAAGGCAAAAGGAAATACCTCTACAAGAAAGAACAAAAGTACAATGTTAATACACTACAAAAAAGAATGCCTTTAGCGAGGGTGATTTATGGTCGGAAAAGGTGTTTTGCAGTCGAAAATACCCTTTTTTGACGGCAAATTGCCGTCGGAAGTCGTCGAAAAAACGCTGGTTGCAAATAGTTTTTTTCCAACCACTCCGTCGGAAATAATGTATTTTCGACGCCCATATTTCATCGATATTGCTTAAATTTCTGTCGAAAATGCATTTTCAAAACAATGATACAAATTCATTTGCAACCATAACTCTGGTCGCAAATACTTATGCAACTGTCGGAAATAATTATTTATCAAGATCTTTTGTTTTGCGACTATATTTTCGACCAATGACTATTTGCCGAAAATAATATTTCCGACCCTAAATTACTATTTGTGATCAATATAATTTGTCGGAATTGTGCATTTCCAACATGGAAGTGCGTCGAAAAAAATGTTTTTCTGACGACATTTATAGCAATTATCGAGAGTAAAAAGTCGTCGGAATGTACAAATATTTTGTAAAAGAAATATATAAAAGATTTCCAATGAGAAATTGTTGCCCGAAAAATAATATATATTATTATTAGTAAAAGACCAATGTAACAAATTCCAAAAACTCATTACAATCCTAAGATATATCCTATATCAATGGTCCTCGAAGCCCACTTCCAACCGAATAAGGTGTTTGAATGCAGCTTTCAGGTCTTCCTGTGACTTGTATGTAAATATGGCTTCCTTGAAATGCAAAACCTTATCCCATGATTCAAGCACACCTACATACAAATAGTTATGATCCTGAATTGAAAACATATAAATATTCTTTTGGATGAAAGAAAATATTATGAGGAATCAAAAAACATAACACATGCCTTAACTGAAATAAAGACACAACTGATTGAACAAAATTTTACACATAACAGAAAGTGGCTTCTTATTTCAATGTTATTTCAAACTTAAACTCAAGATTTTAATCATGATAATCACAAATTGATCTTTATGAGGTTAAAAAAACGATTAAGAGTTTAATAACATACCTAAAACATGACAAAATGGATCAAATAAAGAACTGAGGCAACAAAACTAGTTAAATAATAATAAAAGAGTACACATAGAATAGAAGAACCGTTGAAGAAATAACATGGTAATCACAGAGTGCTCCTCATGTCACTAACCTGTATCGATCAACAAAACAACAATATTATAGCATTCCAGAAACACACTGTTAGTGTAAGAGAACATGTGCTAGTGTAAGAGAGACAAGTCTATAAAAGTCTTTTAAGTGCACTACTGTGTAAGATAAAAAGAAAAGAGAATAATATATATCCTCCCATATTGAGAGATCCTTGCAGATTCAGGCAAACCTTTTGACAAAGAGAAAAAAGTTGTTTACTAGTCTAACCAGCATATCAACTAAGACTGCAAAACAGGGCTAAACATTATAATATAACATGACAGCAGCCAAAATGAAAACTAAAATACAGCAGCACTCAAATCATAAAACAAAGCCTATAAAGAGATATCCCAACCATCTCACGTGCTTCATTTGTCAGTCGTTCATACACCAATTTACCATTATCTACTAGAGTTCCACAGCTTCATCTTTCATATTCAATTAAAGAAAACAATGGCATCGAAAAAAAGTTAGGACAACCAAAATTATTGACAATCCAACATTCTTTCACCAACACAATATTTATCAGTACCTGTTCTTGACATCTTTTGTGGCCTATAGCAATAGAAAGAGTCAATAGACCTCTCAAATGAAAAACAGAACAACACATTAAAAAAAACCAATTAACAATTAACAAAATTAAAGCAATGAAGCAGCAAACTGATTTACAAAATTTAATTTACCTTTTTCCAAGACTCAAACGGACAAATTTATACCAAAATCAAGGAAAAATCGAAACCTGAAACTCAGAAAAAACCAAATTCAGATATATATAGAAAGGAAAAAAAATCACTTCTCCAAGTCATGCTCATTGATAGACGAAGATAGGGAGGGTGCATATACAACCTTGCTATTTTGGGGTTGGACTCAGATATTTGTGAGAGTTGGAGAGTTTGTAGATGAGAGAAAGGAAGTGAGGGTTTGGGTAAAAAGAGATAGAATCAAAGACAGAGAGACTAAGAGAGAGAGAGAGACAGACCGATGACGAGAGGGAGTGTTGAGATTGCTGGCTAATCTTCGAGCAAAAGAGGAAGAGTGGCCGAAAGAGATAGAACCAAAGACAGAGAGACATAGGGAGACAATGCGAGAGAGAGGCAGATTGAGAGTGGTGTGGGAATTTTAGGGTTTGGGTAACAGTAAAGCGCGAAATTAGAATTTTCGTGAAAAAAAAAAGCGCCATAGGAAAACAAAATTGGGCAGAAATTGGCAACAAATAAAAAGGAAGAAAAAGGATTGGTGGCGCCTGTGAGAAGCTGCCACTTGTCCATAAATTTGGTTTAATGTAAATTTTATATGATTTCACTCCTAAAAATCATAATAAATACATTAAAAATCCAAAAACTTCACCGAAAATTCCTACGAAGTTCTAGTGACATTCTCCTCATCCTAAAGCTTGGAAAATATTATTTTTATTTATAAAAATTCAAAGTGACAACCAAAACTCAAATTAGATTGTAAGCAAACCAAACACTAGTTAATGTTTGATAACCTAACGCTCTTGCTTCTTTGATCCAATTACTTTGAACTCAATTATGTGGAATCATAATTTTAGACTTCTAAAATTAAAGGATTTGTCATAAGGAGTGTGTAGCTTTGTTCGTTGTATTTTTCAAATTTTTATTTAATCTGTTATGAATTTTTTAAGATAAACAACAAAAAAGTAAGAAAAATGACATGTGGCGCTGTGGTATGAGGACACACATCACCAACAGAAAAAGCACCTGTAAGAAGTTGCGACTTGTCACTCAATTCAGTTTAATATGGATTTTATATGATTTCACACCTATAAATCATAATAAATACATTAAAAATTTGAAAAATCCATTGAAAATTCATATGAACTCCTAGTGACATTCTCTTCGTCCTAAAGCTTCGAAAATATTACTTTTACTTATAAAATTTCAAAGTGACAACAAAAACTTTAATTAGTTTGTAAACACACCAAACGCTAATTAACGTTTGATAAGCTAACACTCTTGCTTCTTTGATCCCTCAATTATGTAGAATTATGATTTTAGACCTCTAAAATCGAAGGATTTGTTGTAAGGAATGCATAGCTTTTTTCGGTGTATTTTTCTTATTTTTTATTTAATTTGTTATAAATTTTTTAAGATAATCATTTTCGACGGCTGCTAATTCCCCTTGTAAAATAGAAATATTATTACCGACAACCATATGTTGCCCTCGAAAATAGTTATATTATTCCGACAAAAGCGAATATGCCCTCAGAAACAAGCACAACTATTACCGATGAGGAAGTGTTTGGTCGTAAATATAACAGCATCACCGAGCGGACATATTTCTTCTCGGAAATAGTCAAACAATGACGACGAGATGAGAATCCCCTCGAAAATAATCATCTTATTTCCGACAAACATAATTTTTGTCGTTAATAAAGTTGGCGCAAAGTTTTCCCGCCAAATAAATTACATTTCCGACGACCATAGAGACTTTTTTCGAGGGTTGTTCCTATGTCGGAAATAAATTCCAGTCTCATGACATATTTCCAACGGACAACATTTTTTCGTCAGAAAAAACACTTTTACTGAGGGAATTTGGGAGCCCTCGGAAAAATTTGGTCGGTAATGAACCTTTTTTTTGTAGTGATACTATGTCATAGAAGTACAATGTTAATACTATGTCATAGAAGATGTCTTGAGTACTAAATTCTCCACAAGCTCTGATTACCACCCAGTAAAACAACATCCAAACTTACACAACTACGTAGTGCTTACATTATCAATGATAGACTCAAGAAGATCATCTGACAATTTCAAGTCAGATTCCATCATTATGGCAATCACCATTTGCTTAACCTGAAACCAAACAGAGGCTGCTTAATTTAAATATCGTGTATGTGTTATTCATACAAGGTATCAAACGTAAAAATACCCATAAAAACATAATTTCCTCGGAGACTTAGTAAAAAAGTAGTACAAGACTCACTACTTCTCGCTCAATGAACCCGGTTTGTCTCAGATCATAGAGCCTAAATGCAACTGCAAGTAATTAACAAACAACATAAGATAACAAGAAAGACACACACACAACATTTAGCTTTGCCTCTTATAGCAGTAAGACTTACAACAATTTTATCATCTGCAGAGGCATATGGATGGAAGACATTGAGTGCATGAACAAACTCATCAAATTCAAAGACACCATTTTTCTTTTCATCAAAGAGATCAAAAACCTAGAAAAGCAAAATCCAATTCGCGTAAGTAGGTGCAGGGAATTATATATATCCTAGTCAATTAATTCAAGATGGTGGTATGAAGCATATACCCTGTCCAGGAAAAGATTTTCACCATAGGGAGTTCTAAAGAGTGCTAGTTGAAACTCTTCCTGCAACATAATCATCATCCAAATAATTACTACAATGCATGAAACTAGAAAGAAACAACACATTTCATCATAATGGAATTTAAATGATTCAAAGAAATTTGGTTGCCATATGAATCGATATGTCGTGGATAATTGAACTACTCCACTTTTTAAACAGCTCATACAATGCCTCCAGCTCATTAACAATAACAGCATCATGATTTCATGCAAGTAAACAACAAAAACTAAATTCAAAATTCTCATTAACTAATCATTTATTTCTTCTTCCTTTTTTTTTTTCCAAAATTCCCAAAGCAAAAGAAAATAATTCACAATTCGAATATTTAAAAAAATATTTTGAATTCTCATTAACAGTAATTGCATCATTCTGCATATATATAGTTTTCTTAATCTTCTGAATATTTAAAAAAAAATTCATACATCTGGTTTCATTGGCGAGACAAACATATCGCCGAAAGCGAAACGACATTTGGTTGGGCGGGGACGGTCCCTAAAGCAATCGGTCACAGCAAAAATCAACACCCCTATGATCGCTTCAAATGATATAAATGGCACGCAGATCCACTCGCAACTCGATCTTTGCTCAACCCCAAAAATTTACAAAAATAAAATACGATTAATGCTTCTTAATTAATCAGAAAATTAAAAATTAAGCATAAACAATGGGAAATGAAAATTCACCCATTTTAATTTTTACCAAGAAATCCATTGTCATTTGCAACAAATCATCATATCTAGGCTGCTACTTCTGGCGTTGTGTTGCTTTGTGCTTTTCAATGAAATATGTCCACGTCTGTACCAGAGAGCTTCGTGAGGCTTCTTCTCTCTCGCTGCGTTGGCGTGGATTATACATTTGGTTTTAGAGAGAGAGAGAGAGAGAGAGAGAGAGAGAGTGATAATCCAATTTTGAGTTTTTTTTATATGAATTTCACCCTAAAGGGTAAATCAGAAAATCTGTATATTAAGTAAACTATAAAAAAGAACAGCTGGCAATAGTAGGATGTGTTTATAAAGTCTGTTTAATGTAAGGTAGGGTGTGTTTATGAAGTCAATTTCATGTATGGTATTTCTATAATTCTATAGCTAGAAATGGGTTTCTTTATAATTAACTGTAAATAATATGTTAAAATTAGGGCTAAGCAATTGAACCGGAAAGCCATCCAAATCAGATGAACCAAACTGATAAGTTTTTTTACAGCCTGATTTCTATTTTTATTTTTTAAAATGTCGATAGAAAACCAAACCGGACCAATCAGCTTAATACGATTTCATGCTTGCAAATATCTAAACTCCCGGTTCACATGAACTAAATCAATGTTAAAAAAACTAAATATTAGCAAAAGTCGGATGCATGAATTTTCAAACCCCGGACCTGCAACTTGGAGCGCCAACACCGGACCACTACTGTAGCATAACTTATATGTTTGGTCCATACTAAACTTGTTTGGTTTAAGGTGGTCACTATGTAGTTTAATAATATGAAAGATAATAATAGTTTAATAATATGAGAAAATTAAAGAAAGTGAACAGAAATCCCACAAATAATAGCTTTATGTTGATTTAATCTCACTTTTTCTCTTTCATACCCAAAGTTTATTACCAAACAAATCTCAAGAGTCATTACATTTACAATTGTCCTTATATTTTACCTTCCTCTGTCAACTACCTTAAGGCAGAGGTCAGTATATTACAAGTATTCTGTATCATGTTAAAGTGGTTTGCTTGTAAATGTGATTGAGATCATAAACCTATTATTAATTGAGAGAAGAAGCAAAATGACCATGCTGGTAAGAGACAATATGAGTAGCATAGCAGTTATGATCCCGACGGAAAATACGCTTAAAAACGAAGTAAACTACTCTCCTTCAGTGAGGTGCCTTAGGTCCTAAGTAAATGTTAATACTTGGTCGTGAAACACAGCTACAGAGGGCAGATGACTGTATGGCGCTGGATTGATGGAAAATTCCATAGATTTGAGGTTCCTGGAAGTACTGGTGAGGATACACAAGTTCTGCAAGGTAACCAATCCAGCGTCGATCCTAGACTTGGTTTGGTCAATAGGTTAAGACTTCAGAGGTCTCTTCAATCAAATTGGGATACGAGAAATTCTAGCATTCACGAGATTGATCACATAACTGGCACGTTATGTAGCTGCCGATCCGATTTTCAGGGAGGGGATCTAGTACCATATCAAATGCTATGCATGATGTTTCTTTCAAACCTTATTCATAAAACGAACTCAATAGCTGCACAAATAATTTTGCCCACTTAAAACTTACAAATGAAGACGACAATAAAATATCAGGTTACAATTTTGTATACTGTGTTGTCAAAATACAGCAGATCATCAGACATATATACATCTGTAAAATCTGAAGATTTAATCGCCATAAATCAACATTTAGGACAGTATATTATTCTTCAAATCTCATCAGATGCAGCTTGAGATCCACATCTTTGGCTTCTCAAGATACATTTAAGGCAACACAAGATGTCAACTTCCAGAAACACTGGCAAGCGAAGATGGCAGTGGAGAGAACCATTATTTGCAGTAGGAGCTAATGCTTCTTCAGGTCCTTGTTTGCTTGTGCTTTGGTATGAAACTTATTTTATCTTCTCAAGAACGACTAAGTAGCAGAGAATAGATTAAACTGCAATTATCTGTTAACTGAAACTGAAAAGTCCAATAATGAGTCATGAGTACACATAGTATACAAAAACAACAATCTGTACGGCCAATGTATTTCCATTTCTCTTCCATGATGAAAAAAATACCTTATTCATACACACACACACATTACCTGAACTTGTAAGAAAGTAACTGCATGATAAATGAAGAATCTTCATAAAAAGGTTGGCTGGATTGTAAGAAAACATGGGCATGGAGTAATAAGGCTTATCTGCACAAGCCACCATAGCACTGAAGTATTTTATCGGGCAATAATCACAATCAAGGTGAATATGTCGGCTTCATCAGTTACTCTGTCAACCAAAAAGATTGCAATCAGCTCGAACTTTTGCCATCATTTTTTGCCCCCTTTAATAAGAGAATGCTTGCCATTAGTTATCCCCCTGCAGAAGCTCTTACTCCACTATTTGGAAGGAGGCCGTCCTTGGCCATATCACTAAGCACATTAAAAACTTCATCCATATTCCTTCTTTATGGTTGATGTCAACGAGCAGTTTCGCACGTTCAGCATCAGAAAGCTGAAAGTTTCTCAGTGTGTTCCCTATGACTTTACTCAATTCATTGTTCATCCCCTATGTGAAAAGTGCTTTAACCAGCCACAGTATGCAGAACAAAACCAGAATGCAACATTTCCTTGTACAGATTGTATGCCTTGATAACATTTCCACCCTTACAATGACCATGAATAATAACATCATAAACTGCCTCGTTAGGCTTGTCTTTCCTCTCAATCATTGTCTCAAAAACTAGGTGTGCTTCTTTCATCAAACCCTTCATACATTATCCCTTTACTAGAGCAACTACACTCTTAAATTCACCATTAGTGCAGTTCTTTATTAGAGTATTATATGTGACACACTGTAGGTAACAACATCAGGTAGGAATCATTTTTGTATCATTTCATCATTCAAATGAAGAGCCTTATTTAAATCCCCTTCCACACAGTAAGCATTGATCAATGTTGTGTATGTAAATTCATCAGGAGGCACACCCATACTCAACATTTCTTGGAATAGATCACAAGATTCACCTAGTCTTCTTTGCTGACAGACACCTTGAATGAGTGATGAATAGGTAACAGCATCAGGTGATACACCCTTGTCCATCATCTCCAGCTTCATATGAAATGCGCACTTCAATTCTTGATGCCGACAAAACCCATTTATAATAATACTATAACTTAGTACATGAGGGGACAACCCTTTCCCTGTCATATCTTGCTGGGATTTGAATGGCATCTTCCATCCTCCCCAATAAGCAGTATCCATTGATAAGTGCATTGTAAGTCACAATCGAATTCGAAGGTGATAATCCATTCCCAATCATTTCCTTCAGACCATCATAAGCTTCATTTAAGAACCCCTGTTGGGAGAAATCATCAATCAACGTAGTATACGTCCTCTCATTTGGACGAAGTCCTCTAACACTCATCTGATCGAAAAACTCCATTGCTCGATTTCAATTCTTAGCCTTACACACAGCATTAATGACATTGAAAACATTGGGAGACAAGTGATTCCTCCGCATCTCCTCTTGCAGAACAAGGTGCTTTGTGAAAATTACCTTCCTTGCAATACCCACTAATAAGTGTATTACAATTTACAAGTCACCTTATCATGAACAAAACCTTTTCTTTTCATCTCCTAGAGAACCTGACTTGTCTCATTCATCCTCCCTTCTCGACACAACCCATTGATTACCACATTATACGAAATCAAATTCAGCTCCAACCCCTTCAACGCCATCAATCTCAACAGTTCAAATGCCTGATCAATCCTATTCAATTTGCAATATGCATCAATCAACGTCTTATAGGTAATCACATTCGGCAAACATGCATTTCTTTCCATTGCACCAAAAAACTACAGCCCCATTTTCAAATTCCCCGCCCCGCTAAAACCCCTAATCAAAATATTGTAAGTAATGCACATTCGGGGATACCCCATTGCTAATGATCCCAGAAAACACCTCCTCAGAAAATTGAACGGACTCTTTTGACCCACTTATTGCATCTAAAATTGCATTATATGACAGTACACCAGGCATAAATCCATGAACTTTGGCTAAATTAACAATATTCAGAGCCTCATCAATTAAATGCAAGAGAGAGTAAGACTTCCCCACCAAGTCGAAAACCGCCGAGCTCAAATTGCAGATATGCAGGGAGTCACTGAGGCACTGAAAGACCAAATTACCTCTGTCGTCGATGGTGTTCACGGCAACGTCCTCGGCGAGGGGTTGGGCGCTCTTGTAGAGCTTGAAGGGAGTGAGGATGTGGAGGGCGAGTCACTCGCATTGGAAGGTGAAGAAACCATGTTTCCGAGCCCAGCTCAGGAACTTTAGGGTCAGGGGCTGGTCGAATTGGGACTTGAGGAGTAAATAGGAGGCTGCCTCTGTTGGAAACAAGAGCTTTTCTGATAGCAAGTATTTAGAAGAAAAACTGATGAATTGATAATAGCAGTGACGGCTGTTTAAATAGCCTTACAAAGAGTAACCTAAGAATGAAAGAACAGCCCACGTTTGACAAACCTATTACGTAGATACTCTAAACAGACTAAGTCAAAACAAACAGATACTCCCTAAATAATAGGGATTTATTAACGAAGCAGTAACACACTAACAATAAACTAACAATAATTCTAACTGCAACCTAACAATTCCTCCCTTAAACTGAATGCAGCTTGCAATCAGTTTACACAAGGTTCTGGACAAACACCTAACATACTTCACAGCTTCACAAATGTATCCAACTTGAGAGGTTTTGTCATCACATCTGCAATTTGTTCTTGACTGTTGCAATGCACCATTTCCACAGTTCCTGCCTTTATAAGATCATGAAGAAAATGGAAACGAACGTCAATATGCTTGCTGCGTTCATGCATCACTGGATTCTTTGCAAGTTTGATTGCTGAGCTGCTATCACAGTGAACAATTGTAGGCCTATCTTGCTTCTCACCAAGCATCTCAAAAATCCTTCTCAACCATACTACCTGACATGCACAAGAGGCAGCAGTAATGAACTCTGCCTCAGTGGTAGATAGAGTTACTATCGGCTGTTTCTTTGATGACCAGGACACAACTCCTGAACTGAATAAGAAAACGTAACCTGAGGTGCTCTTCCTGTCTTCTTGGTCTCCAGCATAGTCACTATCTGTGTAAACATTCAACTCTCCTTTTCCTCCCTTCTTGTAGAACACCCCAAAATCAGTTGTTCCTCTTAGATATCTTAAAATTCTCTTTGCTGCCTCCATGTGAAGCTCAGTAGGATTACTCATATACCTGCTAATAAGACTTACCACAAACTTCATGTCTGGTCTAATAGTAGTTAAATACATGAGGCTTCCCATAATTTGTTTGTAGATGGTGCTGTCTACTTTTACTCCATCTTCATCTCTCAAAAGTTTGCAACCTAGGACAATGGGATTAAGAACCGGATTGCTTTTATTCATTCCAAACTTTTCAAGCACCTCCTAAGCATATTTCTTTTGGCTAATGAAAATTCCATCAGTTCTTTGCATAACTTCTATACCTAGAAAATACCTCATCTTCCCAAGATCAGTCATGTCAAACTCAAGCATCATTGATCTCTTAAACTCAACAAACATAGATTCATCATTGCCAATAAAAATGAGATCATCAACATAAAGACTCACAATTAGAATTTTACCTTCCTTTGCTGTCTTTGTGAACAAAGTGTGTTCATAATGACATCTTTCAAATCCTTTCTTCATGAAATAAGCCTCTATACGACTATACCAAGCTTGTGGAGCTTGCTTAAGTCCGTATTAAGCCTTTTTGAGCCTATAGACTTTCTGTTCATTGCCCTTGCGCACATAACCTTGAGGCTACTCAACAAACACTTCCTCATTTAATTCCCTATGCAGGAAGACAGACTTCACGTCCAGCTGGTAGATTGTCCATTGTCTTTGAGCTGCAAGTGCTATTACAAGACGGATCGTATCCAACCGTGCCACAGGTGCAAACACTTCTGTATAATCTATCCCATGTTGTTGAGAATATCATTTTGCTACGAGCCGTGCCTTATACTTGTCTACTTCTCCATTCTCATTAAGCAACGTTTTATATACCCACTTCACTCAAATCTTCTTTCCTCCAGCAGATAACTCCAATTCCCATGTATCATTCTTTTCTATTGCTTTGATTTCCGAATCCATGGCTTTTCTCCATTTTTCACTTTTCACTGCATCTTCGAAATGAACTGGATCAGCAGCTGGAAGCATGACAAAATGAGCCACATCATCTTCTTCAAAGAGACCCTCTCCTGTTTCATAATCTTCCATCCAGACTGGTGGTCTTCTATTTCTCCCTTCATTGAAATTGGTAGGATTTTCTTCAACTAGTTCATATGAAGAAGAATTTCCCATTTCTTCTCCTGCGGCATTATTAAAGTCAACAGCACCTTCATTATCCAAATCTGCAGCACCTTCTTCTTCATTTTCAGCGACTCTGGTTGCTTTTTTTGTCATTGTTACCCCACTCTAAATCAGCCAATATCACTTCTTCCTGTCTTTTGTTCCAATCCCAACTTTTATCCTCTTCAAACACAACATCTCTGCTTACAAGTATTTTTTGAGAGACTGGATCATACAATCTATATGCTTTAGACTCCTCACTGACACCAAGCAAGACACACCTTAAGCTTTTATCATCCAACTTTGTTCTTTTGCTATCAGGTACATGTACATGGGAGACACACCCAAAAACCTTGAAATAATCCACTGTCGGTTTAACTCCACTCCAGGCTTCTTCAGGAGTTTGATTTTTGACAGCAAAAGTTGGGCTTCTATTCAACACATGTACAGTCCAGTTAACTGCTTCTGGCCAGAAAATTTTGGAAATTTTCTTCTCCGAGAGCATGCTACAAACCATGTTCATTATGGTTTTATTTTTCCTCTATGCAACTCCATTCTGTTGTGGAGTATATGATGCCGTCAATTGTCTGCGTATCCCACTATCATTGCAAAAATTGTTGAACTCTTGAGATGTAAATTCACCACCCCTATCTGTTCGCAGCCCCCTTATACTTGAACCTGTCTCCTTTTCAACACGAATTTTATAGCTTTTGAAAGTACTAAAAGCTTCTGATTTTTCTACCAGAAAATAAATCCATGTCTTGCGACTGAAATCATCAATAAAACTGATCATGTACCTTTTCTTTCTATTTGAGATTGGCGTGACTGGCCCACAGATATCAGCATGAACGAGTTGAAGTATTTGAGAGGCCCTCCAAGTGCTCATTGTTGGGAATGAATCCCTGTGCTGTTTGCCCACCAAACAATCTTTACATACTTTGGAAGGAGTCTTGAGTTGGGGTAATTCTTTCACCATCTGATTCTGCTGGAGGGTTTTCAAGCCTTGGAAATTCAAGTGTCCATACCTACAATGCCAAAGATGTGTTTGGTCCTCTGTGACTGTATTGAAACACGTAGACTCTCTTGGCTGAGATTCAGCAAGTAGAACAAACATCCTGTTGGATGACATTCCGGACTCCATAATGGCTCTGATACCAATTGTTGGAAAAAAGAGCTTTTCTGATAGCAAGTATTTAGAAGAAAAACTGATGAATTGACAATAGCAATGACGGCTGTTTAAATAGCCTTACAAAGAGTAACCTAAGAATGAAAGAACATCCCACGTTTAACAAACCTATTACGTGGTAACAGACTAAGTCAAAACAAACAGATACTCCTTAAATAATAGGGATTTATTAACGAAGCAGTAACACACTAACAATAAACTAACAATAATTCTAACTGCAACCTAACAGCCTCAAGGGTAAAACAGGAAGAGAGAGAAGTGAGGTAGTGGGGATGACGTTTGAGTTATGTGATTGCTCTGTCTGCGAGCAGGGTGTCGAATGGAGCACAAGGGAAGGAAGATGGCTTGTGAATATGAGGTTTCAGTAGGGGCATTTTCGGAATTGATGAAGTTAGAGGTTTATCAGAAGCACGGCGGGAAGTAGAACGGAGAAGACGAAAATTACAAGAGAGTCAAAGTAGGACGTTTTATTTATGAATAAAAATATATGTTTTTCTTGTGGATCTTTCAATTTTAGGCCCGTCTTTGGTTCGGTTCCATGGGCTGAAACCAGCTGTGGACTTCGCTCAATCCCAGCAGCTAGGCTTGGACATTTAGAACCCTTGGATCCATTAGAGATGTTTTTTTTGCTCAAGTTGAAACGAAAAGGGAGAAAATGCCCGCCTCCTAGAAACTTCATGCCAATCATAATTTAATATGTATGCATAAATTTTTCTTATATTTATAATGAAAGATTTCTGTAAATTGTGATTTACATAAAGAAAGAACGTCTTTTTCAAAAGCAATCGTGGTATATTGCTCCCTCTTTATGCGGATTAATATGTAAAATATGGTGCTCTCTCTCTCTCTCTCTCTGTGCGCGCTACAGGGCTGACTATTTTAGATGTAAAAATACATGCTTGCCAGTCTTTCATTTAGGTAAGTTTCTCAAATATTCTAATTAAGATGCTCTAAGGTTTTAATAGGAATAAAAGTGATGGTGATGGGCTTAGCTCCATCAATATGGAATTTTTTAGTGAAGCGATAAAAATCGAAAACAAGTGGGTAAGCAAGTAGTCTTTGTAGTTTTGGCTAATCATGTAGTGATCTAAACTTTTATGGGAGATTCACTATTATACCCAATATAGGAGCCCAAATTATTAAAAAAAAAAACCAATATGAAATGGACTTTAGAAACACACCCAAAGCTCGTTTACAACATAACAAAAAGATTTTTAACTTCTTTTAAATTACAAAATTGCCATTAATTTCTTAAAACAAACTCAACCCCAAAACCTTATAAAAATGTCCAAAACAATCAATAGGGCATCAAAGTAATTTAATAATCCAAATTAAATTCAATAGGGCCAACTATCATTTTTGAGTTTTTTTGGGTTTGTTTATAGAAATTAAATAGTGTAGGTTTATTTATAATTTTAGTGTTAAGAATGAGTATATGACTAAATATCTCTACTTACCTGGTTTATTTTGCTTTGATTTACTTCTTGTATGATGAGTTTCTCGGTTACCTATCAAACAGTCAAGACAATCTATTAGAAAGGTTGAAGGGCAAAAGGTCTTTTAAAAGTGAACATATATGCTTGATATCTATAAGATTTGTTGGGATTCACAAAATGTCTCGATCATAAGTTTCACCAAGGAACAAAAAAGCATTCCTTAGACTACATGTCAGTTTGCCTTTTTCTTAGAAAAAGAGGGCCCGGGGGGGGGGGGGGGGGGGGGGGTGTAGTAAGAAGAAACTAAAAAAGTTGATTCATCTGGTGAGCAATAGCTGGTGAAGTGACATTCTTTTAATTCCTAGATCCGTGTAGTGTGTGTGAGTTTAATGTGCTATCGCCCTCTCAATAGGAAAGGTAAAAAAAAAAGATGGAAAATATTTTGGGTTTTGAACAAACAATACATATTAAGAAGAAATCACACCCACGTATGCATATACTAAGCAAGAAAATATAAATTAATGATAATAAAATGCATCATGAAACTTAGGAAATGCATATGGCCAGAGCTATAAAGAAGGCAACCATAGGCTGCATAGATTTGGGGGGGAAAAGCAATTTACTATATTATTATCTATTTCCAAATATAGCCCACTATGTATTTTTTTTTATAAAAAAAAATGATAGTATATTATTGATAAACGAACAAAAGTATAAAGCAACTATGTGCCGAATAATATGGATAAAACTTCTCTAGTGACCAAACACAACAACATATTGAATTGATGTGGAAAGAATCATGCACAACCCAAACAATGACTAAATCCCTGATTCAGCAACTAAACAATGACTAAATCCCTGATTCAGCAACTAGAAGCACATGTATTCAGACTTATGATACATATTTGCCGCCAGTTGCGGACCCACAGAGGTGCAAGGAGGTGCATGAATTTGCCCATTTACTTGTGCCCACTAAGTGTTCGATTAAAAGCTTTAAAGAGGCTGTTTTATTGCTTCTGGGCAATCCGTCCACTAATCTTAATCTGTTGAGATTAATTATGTTAAATTATATATTAGAAATTTAAAATAAACAATTTCATCTTTTGTTCTTATTTTGTGTAACTACATTCATTTTGTACATATTTGTGGGCGATGGATGCATGCTTTGTTTGTTTGATTTTAACATCTATTTGTCCATGGTAAAACTCATGGAAAAAAAAATATATTAAGGTACTATTTTGGTTTATAAAATTATACTCAAATCTTCATCTTCAAAAACAATAACTACACATGAACCAAAAAAAAACATTAAATTTTTAAGAGAGCCACTCTAGTCTTGGACCATTGAAGCATTTTTTCTTTTCAAATTGGTTAAGAAGGAGAATTCGAACATAAAACTTTCGTTTAATATCAGTAATAACTAATTGTAGGGGTATTTTTGTTCTAGCAGCCTGACAAATGGGCTTGGGCTGCCGTAAGAAGAAAAAGAAACAAAATTCCTCAAGTGTCTGAGTTCGAAACCAAGCTCCTAAAAGAGTTTTTGAAAAATCTGATGAAACTTTAGAAAAACACTCTTAGGTTCTTTTCACCAATAGCCAAATAAACATGATGAATCGATTAATGGCTTAGCTTGAGGAGCTTGTGGTATGGGAGCTAAGCTTTCACAAGTTTAGCAATTTGAGAGAGAGAGAGAGAGAGAGAGAGAGAGAAAAGCATGAATTTCTTACAGAAAACAAGGGTTTGAAGTGGGCAGAGGAAAATTAGAACGATTTCTTCCTCAAGGGAAGAAGAAAACGAACAAAGAAGAAGATTAGGTGGCTTGAGTAAATTTTCAGTTGCTTGACAATGCTTGGTCAGGCCTTGAATGGGTTGGTTTTCTGGGTAGCAGAAGCCCTCTTTATAGTCACAAAGAACCCTAATTTCATCTACCATTTTCCTTCATTTTTCGTTGCTTCTTTCCACTTTGTCTTCTTTGGTGAAATTCTCCCATCCAAGGTGCATGGGTAAAGAACCCTTTGTGGTTCCAAGGGTTTGACGCAGCTGGACCTCCCATGAGGGTGAGGCGCCACCCGCTTTCCTTATGGGTTTTCAAGATGGAGCTTACAGAGGAAAAGAGAGATGGATGGAGTTCTTTGTCTGATGGGTATTCGTTCTTCACACATGGATTTCTGTTGGTTCCTACCATGACTCCTTGTTTGACCGTATTGGAGTCCTAACAAGGATGGAGGATGATGCCAGATTTTCATAAGGCTTTGGGCTGGGCTTGTGTGTACATTGTTGGGTCATTAGCGTGTAATCTCCAGTATTTAATGGGTTTTCGTCAAGCTGCTGGAAGTGTTTTTGACAAAGTGTTTGGGTGCTCTAATTAACAAAAGGTTTCCTAAACAAGCCATTGTACTCCTTCTAAGGCATTGGGTTATGTTCTCTCTCTCTCTCATGCTAACCCATGTATTTGGGGCCAAGAAATGGGCTTGAGTTTTGGTGCTCCCAAGTTGCCCAAAATTCTAATTCCTTGATCCTTTAAATGGGCCTTGTGAATGCTTGTATCTATCCACACCACAACACTACTACGTTTCACTATTTGCGCGACGAAATATTGCGCGACGAAGAACAACTCGTCGCGCAAACCATACTTGCGCGACGAAAACAACTCTTCGTCGCGCAATCCACTGAAAATTTGCGCCACCAAACTTTTTCGTTGCGCAAAATGTATATGCGCGACAAAACAATTTTTCGTCGCGGTAAACAGAGTTAAAAAAAGCGCGGGGAATTTTTTTAGCGCGAAACATTTGCGCAACGAGAAATATCGTCGCTAAAGGCAACATTGCGCGACGAAGACATTCTCCGTCACGCAAAAAAGGACAGTCCCTGATTTAGCGCGACGGAAAGACGTTTCGTCACGTAAGAGAACAAGAGATATTTTATTTTTGGCGCCAAAAATGACCTGGGTGGGATATTTTTTTTTGCGCGACGGAATTTTGTTTTGCGCGACGAAATTGCGCGACGAAAGTTTGCACGACGGAAAGTTCCAGCGTCGCGCAAAAGTTAGATGTCGGCAGTGTTTGCGCGACGAAAAAATGGGTTTGCGCGACGAATAATTGGTTTTTGCGACGGGAGTTTGCGCGACGAATAAGTATGTTCGTCGCGCAAAAGTCCTTCTTCTTCATATTAGAATTCTGCCATTGCAGAGGCAGAATGCAAAAACAAAGCATTCTGCCTCTGCCTCTCTCTCAACCTCTCTGCTGCTGCTGGGATTTCAATACATTGATTGGGTAAGTATTTTTCGTCATTAGTTTAAAAGTATTAATTTAAGTTCGTACTAAGGTTTTTTAATTTGTTTTCGTTAGGGATATTTGTAATTAGCGATTGGTGAAGAACAATGAGAAGGTATTTTATTTGTTTTATATATGTTTAAAATGTTCTTGTGAAGTTATATTTATATTATGTTGTGCGTAACGTAGTACAATCTGTTGTGATGTACGAAGTTAATTGAAATTAACTTCGTGCTTTTATTTTTATGTTTAGTAACACTTAGTTTCCCGTTCGAGATTAGTTGGATTTCGTGCATGGATGCGTAATGCATGACTGCGGTCCAATTAATTCTTGAATTGTCCCATTATTTGGACAGTTTGGTAATGCATAGTGTTGTCACGTAATCTATGGCTACAGGATTAGGTTTCGATTGTGGATATTTCGTTGTCATCTCGGTACGTTCTTCGGGTGGTACATATGTATTTATACCTATGGCCACCTCAAGAACTGTAGCGAAATGCTGGCGAAATTCATCCACGTCGAAATCTAATCTCATGTAGTCGTAGGTTACGTGGCAGGAGTATGCATTCCCGAATGGGATAGGACCCTTACCGGAGGCATAAGGTGACATTATAACTTCGTATGAAGTTGTTGTGATTGTTGTGTTGTGATTCTGGTTTCAGGAATTATGGACAGAAGGTGGATACAAAACCCGAACAGATGCGCAGACGAATACTTGGATGGAATCGAGGATTTTATTGAGTTTGCACGTAGACACAACCCGGGTGCAACTAGAATCCGTTGTCCTTGTAGGAGGTGCAACAACACGTTATGGGAGACAATTGAAAATGTTGGATTTCATTTAGTAAGGAATGGAATGATTGAGACATATAGCATTTGGAACCTTCACGGGGAACAATTAGAGCATGCTTCGTCTTCAAATGCCACAAGAGTGGACAATGTTCAACCTATTGTGGATGCTAATGATGAAGTCATGGATATTATACAGGATGTTTTTCCATTTGCATCGACCAACATGAATCAAGAAGAGCAAGATGATGTGCCTACACCAATAGACAGTGCGGAGTTTGAACAATATGAGAAATTGTTAAAAAATGCCAACCAAGAGTTATACCCGGGGTGCGAGAGCTTTTCCGTTCTCACGGCCATTGTGGAGCTAATGCACGGAAAAATAAAGTATCGTATGTCGAACCTGTGTTTCGATTACTTTTTGGGGGTTTTCAAGAGAATGCTTCCGACGGACAATTGTTTGCCGAAAGACCATAAACAGGCGCAGAAGGTGTTGAATGGTCTTGGATTGGGTTATGAAAAAATCCATGCTTGCAAAAACAATTGCATGTTATTCTACAAAGAGCATGAATCGTTGGATACATGTCCTATATGCAATGAGTCGAGGTTCAAGATGACATCTCAGAATAGGACGACTAAGATCCCACAAAAAGTCATGCGTTATTTGCCCCTGAAACCTAGGTTGCAGCGATTGTATATGTCGACGCATACTGCCACAGACATGAAATGGCATCAGGAAAAAACGGGTAGACGATGATGTGATGCGGCATCCTGCAGATGGGGAGGCATGGAAAGAGTTCGATCGAACGTTCCCCGAGTTTGCTGCTGATCCCCGAAATGTTAGATTGGGACTTGCCACTGACGGATTCAATCCGTATGGGGTTCTAAACCAACACCACAGCACTTGGCCGATTTTCGTATTCCCATATAATTTGCCGCCTTGGAAATGCATGAAAAAAGAATACATGATGATGACTGTTTTGATAACTGAGGATCCTGGGAGGTCAATCGATGTTTACTTAAGGCCGCTGGTTGATGAGCTGAAGGATTTGTGGACAAACGGTGTTCGCACGTACGATAAATCAACTGGGAAGATGTTCACTTTGCGGGCAGCAGTTATGTGGACTGTGAATGATTTCCCAGCATATGCAATGGTTTCTGGGTGGAGCACAAAAGGTTATATGGCATGTCCTGTATGCAAGGAAGATGTAACTTCTGGTTGGCATGCTGGAAAAGTTTGTTACCTTGGTCATCGGAGATGGTTGCCATGGGACCATGAGTGGAGGGAAAAAGATAAAGAGTTCGACGGGAACACTGAGCGTCGCCTTAGACCCAGAGAATGGTCCGGTGATGAGATATTGGACCAGCTTAACCGGTTGGATTTTGCTCCCTTCGGGAAAACAGTTAGTCGTATCAGACCTTCTACACATATGAACTGGACGCACAAACCTATGTTTTTTGAGCTCCCATATTGGTCGAAACTAAAATTGAGGCACAATCTAGATGTGATGCATGTTGAGAAAAATGTATTCGACACATTGGTGGGCACGATTCTAGATATCGAGGGGAAGACAAAGGACACGATCAAAGCTCGTCTTGATTTGGAAAGAATGGGCATACGAAGGGGTTTATGGATGAATAGGGACAATGATAAAGCTAGAAGGGATCTTGCATTCTTTTCTATGAAACCGAATGACAAGAAAGAGTTTCTAAAGTTTGTATCGTCAGTAAAGTTTCCCGATGGGTATGCTTCTAATATCGCACGTTGTGTGAATGTTGACGGGGGGTAAATTTACTGGACTTAAAAGCCATGACTGCCATGTGTTTATGCAACGCCTACTTCCTGTTGGTATTCGACACCTATTGCCGGAAGATGTAGTGAAGCCAATCATTTTGTTGTCCAGATTTTTTTCCCAACTGACGGCGAAAACTTTGCGAAAAACGGACATGTTTCAGTTGCGCCATGACATTGTCCAAGTCCTATGCAAGTTTGAGATGATATTTCCTCCAGCTTTCTTCACAAGTATGATGCACGTGATGGTTCACTTGCCAGAAGAGGCATTACTTGCTGGTCCTGTCAACTATCGCTGGATGTATCCAATAGAAAGGTATATAATCCTTATCATTTGTGTATGCATCATTATCACATGCTTGCTAATTTCAATCATATCGTTTTATTTTGGCAGGCTTCTCGGAGAGCTGAAAAAAAGTGTACGCAACAGGGCGAAGCCCGAAGGATCAATCGTAGAGGCTTGGGTTCAATATGAGTCGCTTACTTTCTGCGGAATGTATTTAAAAGATGTGGAGACGGTTTTCAATCGTCCTCAGCGCAATCATGATGGAGGTATGAGAAATGAAAAACTTTCTGTTTTTGCCCAAAGCGCACGACCCTTCGGAGATCCTGGACGCGGAGAGTCGTTTTCTAGAAATGACATGGAGGTAGCGCATTGGTTCGTACTGAACAATTGTGATGAGATCATGGGATACTTATATGAGCATGAAGAGATGATGAAGCGAGAACATCCATCACATTTGGTTGCCCAAAAACACCGTGAATTGTTTCCACAATGGTTTTTGGATTCTGTAAGTTATCAGTGTTTGTTATTTGAGAAATATAAATTTTTTTAATAAATTTTGTCAGACTAACATATGAATGGTTTTGTATAATATTAGGTGAATAAGTTGAAATCATCGAATTCCCCAACTTACAGTGATGAGTTATATAACTTGGCGTTTGGCCCGATTCGCGCTGAATTGTTCTCGGGTTGTAATGTCAACGGTGTCAAATTTTTGGCCGAAGCACGAGATGACAAGTTGTGTACGCAAAACAGCGGTGTCCATGTCCCAGGTGGAGGCGAAAGTACGGACATTGATTTCTATGGCAAACTCACAACTGTCGTGCAATTGCTTTACAAAGATCGATACCAAGTGATCATGTTTAAGTGTCGATGGTTTGACACCAACCCAAATAGGCCGGGAAGTGTTAAAATCGATCATGGCTTACTATCTGTGAACATGAACAGAACTTGGTATGATGACGACCCTTATATTTTGGCAAACATGGCAACACAAATTGTGTATCTAGATGACCCTAAAGCCGGAAGCGGTTGGAACGTTGTTCAAAAGATGGATCACAGGAACGTGTATGCTATACCAGAACTAGACCCAACTGACAACAACGTCAACAATGTAGCTGACCAACGTTTAGAATCTTCAATGGAAAATGATGCGGAAACACTTCGAGATACTAATGTTATACAAGAGCCATTTCAAATACAAGGAGTGTCTTCAATCGAAATACCGATTCAGTCAATTACAATTGACCTCGGTGATCTTCCGCGATATGATGTTGCAGTTGGCCCGAGCAACGACGATGATGTAGTTATAGAGGAGGCGGAGGAGGAGGAGGAGGAGGAAGAGGATTGGGAGACCGAAAGTGATGATAGCAACGATAACGAAAGTTATTATAGTTCAGATGATGAATGATTAATTTTTTTGTAATTTTATTATGTTAGTGGACATATTTTGTGTAATGCAAATGTTTTCATATATGTACTTGTTATATCCAAACATTATATATGATACCAAGTGAAACATTATTAAAATAATTGTAGTTATAAACCATTGGTAAATAAATATAGCCAACTAATTTGTATCATAAAGTTTAAATTTATTTTCACAAAAAACTTTTAAAAAATGAAAACCATATAACCGAAAAAATGAATACAAAGAACATAAGATTATCAACAATCCTTCCATTCTCAAATCGAAAGAAAATATAATAAATCATACTTTCATACAAGTAATTATATGTAATAATGAATTCTTGCGCGACGAAGGCATAATTGTCGCGCAATTTTTGCGCGACGGATAACGTACACGTCGCGCATACTCTATCATTTGCGCGACAAATAATATCGTCGCGCAAGTATCTTTAGCGCGACGAAAAAGAGACCCCGTCGCGCAAACATATACATATATATATTTCTGAATTATACACACGTATATAGTTGAAATTGACGATCGAAGTAGTTCACTGTATTCACATAGGGTTAAACAGTATAGCTGTAAAAAATCATCAAAATCAGAGTCAAAATAACCGTTAAATCATGACTTTTCGTTTATAACCGTCGAAACGTTTTGTCCCGTTACTTGAGCTCTGAATGTTTTTTTTTCTCATTTTTGACGTATAAGATCTCGAAGTATAAACAAACATATTTGACGGCTAGATTACTGAAACTAGTTTCCTAGAATGCGTATTCCATAAAAACACAATATTCATAAAAACTGAATAATTTCTTTATACATTCCTTCAGTCTAACATAAGATTATGTGATGTCTTGTACTGTAAATATCTGAAATTGAAGATCGAATTACATCTCTGTATTCATATAGGGTCAAGAACCGCAGCTGTAAAAAATTTTCAAGATCGGAGCTAAAATCACCGTTGAATCGGGACAATTTGTTTACAACCGTCGAAACGTTTTGTCCCGTTACTCAATCTCTGAATGTTCATTCATTATGATTTTTGACGTATACGATCTTGAACTATGAAAAAAGAAGATTGCCGGTTGGATCATTGAAACTAGTTCAGGAGTTCGGGTTTAGGGCTTAGGGTACAGGTTTTAGGGTTTAGGGTACTAGGGTATGGTTTTGCGCGACGAACTTACGCTTACCCGTCGCGCAAACCATATGCGACAAACATTATCCATTCGTCGCGCAAAATCATTAAAAAATTCGCTCCCCTCTCAGCTCCAACACTTGGTGAATTTTTTTTATCAAAAGCCAGTTTGCGCGACGAATACACGCCCATTCGTCGGGCAAAATCAATAAAAAAAATTCGCTCCCCTCTCAGCTCCAACACTTGGTGAAATTTTTTTATCAAAAGCCAGTTTGCGCGACGAATACACGAACTTTCGTCGCGGAAAATCAATAAAAAAATTCCCTCCCCTCTCCGCTCCAGCACTTAGTGAAATTTTTTTATCAAAAGCCAGTTTGCGCGACGAACACACGCCCGTTCGTCGCGCAAAATAATAAAAAAAATTCCCTCCCCCCTCCGCTCCAGCACTTAGTGAAATTTTTTTTATCAAAAACCAGTTTGCGCGACGAACATACGCCCGTTCGTCGCGCAAAATCAATAAAAAAAATTCCCTCCCCTCTCCGCTCCAACACTTAGTGAAATTTTTTTATCAAAAGCCAGTTTGCGCGACGAATTCGTGTCCAGTCGTCGCGCAAAATTTTTTTTGCAACAGCTAGCATGCGCGACGAATTGGGCATTCGTCGCGCAATCTCATTGCATTGATTTTTCCCGCGCAAAATCAAATCCCAAAATTTTGGGCGGCTGGACAAGAATGCGCGACGACAGTAGTTTTTTCGTCGCGCAAGGTATATCTGTTCACAACTTTGCGCGACGAAATCAAGTTTTTAAGTCGCGCAAAGGTCAAATTTTTATAATATTGCGCGACGAAAAGTTTATTTTTGCGTCGCGCAAACGTTATTTTAATGAACTTTGCGCGACGGATATCTTTATTCGTCGCGCAAAGTCAAATAAGTTTTCTGAAAATCGCGATCTTCTCCTTCTTCCCCAATTTCTGAAACAGAACCCTAAAACCTCCCAAATCTCTCCGCCGTGACCTCAGCCCCTAATCCGCCCCAAATCAGACCCTGCCGCCGCCACCGTCAAACCCAGGAGCTTCTCCGCCGTCGCCGTCCATCCTACCGCCGTGAATTGCTCCGTTTAACCCGAATCTCCGCCGCCGTTGTTCTCTCTCCTCCGGGCACCAAATCCGGCAATTGAGGTATGCTTTCGGGGCTATTTTTCATGCTCTAGCTGATGGTTGTGTAGGATTTGATTGATTGTGTGCATAGGGTAGTCAATTTGAAACCCTAGGTTTCGGCCGGTTTTGAAATTGAAATTCCGGCCACTTCCGTCCGTTTTTCGGGGTAGGTCTGAGAACAAAAGTGCCTCCAATTGATGTTTTAAACCTAGGGTAGGAACCTTGCCCCTTAATTTGTAGGATTTCCTGGGGATTGTTATCGCTTAGGGCACCCACGCACTGCCGGCGCGTGTGGTGGCGCGTAGGGTACTGTGGCATAGGGCATTTTGTCCCAGTGCAAACATTTGGTTATCGTTTGAGTCTCGAACGGTTCGAACCTATTGTGCGATTTTAGGGTTTGATATGTTCGGACCGTTGGATCGAGCTGAAACTCACGTATGTGGTACCATGTATTTATAGGATCGTTTAGGAATCGACGGATTGTGGATCGGAGTCCCGGATACTTCGAAATCGCAAACCCTAGGTCAAACTATGATTTTAATTAGTTAGTTCAATTTTTTACTGACATTGTATGTGCTACATTGGATTAATGAAATTGTGCAGATGTCAGACTTGATTAGACGTCGTAGGGCGGTGACGGCTACACCGAGTTCGGAGCCCCCGGCTCAGCCGGTATCAGCTGCCACTGCTCCAGCACTGATGGAGCAGGACCACGTGCTAGCTGGTCCTGGGGGATCCCAGGCGGCTGCATCATCATCTTCTTCGGTGGTGCAGCCTCTTAGCGCTAGGCGGCGACACCGGCCCGCTACCACCACCGACACCACATCCACTGATTGTACTGGTGCCTCGGGGGCACCTACAGGTAATACCTTTCCCCTTTCATTTTTTTTTAACATTTTTTTAATTGGGAATTTTATGGTTCAATTTGATTGTATATGTAACAATATTGTCATATCCCTTTGCAGCCAAGAGGAACACCCGAGGGCCGTGTCGGCAGCTGAAGACGGCGAAGGTCACCCGGGTGACCAACAGTCGTATCAGCATCGGATATGACGAGCGCCATCGGGCTGCACCGACGGCGGACTTGCATAGCTCCTTGGCCCACGACATTGGCCACGTCGTTCGGACCCATTGCCCGATGCAATGGAAGTCTTGGAAGGTCATACCTGACGAGATCAAGATGCAAGTTCGCGGCCAGTTGTCGGTATTTTTCCTATCTTTTAATTATTTTTCTTTCAAACTTTATATATTTCTATTACTTAATGTATGTAATCAATTTATTGCAGACGAACTACGACTTAGAGGACATCAACGAGGAGACTTTGGCGTACGTCAACAGACTCTTCGGTGAGAGGTACAAGCAGTGGAAGAGCGACTTGCACCACCATTTCCAGGCGTTTGATGATCCGGAAGTCGCTCTTCAGGAGGGTTGCCCGAAGGAGCTTGAGGGGCGGGAGGATAGTTGGGCGTGGCTCTGCGCTCATTTTCAGGCGCCCGATTATGTGGTATTTTTTTAATAATATTTGTTTAATGTTTATTTTATTTTTTATATCTCATTATTATTTAATTTATTTATAGTTCAATTATTACGTTTTATTTTTTGTATAACAGAATAAAGCCCAAGTGAATAAGGGCAATAGGAAGAAGAAGACTCTTCTTCACCATTCCGGCTCCAGGCCCTTCTCATATAGGATGGATGCACGGCGTCGGGTAAGAATAATATAATTTATATTTAATTTTTAATACGTCATTATTATTAATTTCTTTTGTTCATACTAATATTTTTCTTCTCTTGTTCAATTAAGGGGGGGGTCGAAATTCCCAGAGATCGACGTCTTTGGTGACGTTTATGTTCGACCTGGGAATGAGTTGGCCGAGTCCCTTCATGTAAGTATTATGTATTTTTAATTCTTATGTTACACTTTCAATTTATATGCATTTTGAATTTATATTTTATGTAATGTTAAACAGACGACGATGGTGGAGAGGAGCCAGTTGGTTCTTCAAGAGTCCGCCTCCCAACTTCCTCCCGAGACTCCGATCGAGTCTGTGGATCCTCCGCATGATGCTGGATTTCAGATTTTGACGCAGACGTTGGATCAGACTCTCGGGAGGAGGCCGGGAACGTATTGTAGGGGGATGGGGAATGCCCGACAGAGGGAACCTCGACCGCGGTCATCGTCGCAGGCAAACAGTCAGGTGACTGTTTTGACATCGCGGGTTGCCGAGCTTGAGGGTCAGATGTCGGTGATTCTGCAGTCCCTCGCGCGGTCCGACATTCCAATCCCGAATTTTGGTGCGTCGACCTCCGAGCCCGTCCACCCAAGCATCCCCAGCACACCACGACCCCTGCAGACACCCATACCTCCGAGCCGCATGTGGCAGATGACCAAGTAGATTTCGGAACATTATTTGATTAGTTTTTTATTTTTATAATTACTTTTACAATTTGTATACATTTATTTTATTTTATATTATAGATGTTTTCTTTACGATTAATTTTTTTTATTGTAATTTCATTTTAATTTTAAAAAAAAACAAAATTTATTTTTTTACAAAATTAAAAATCAAATAATAATATATTTTTTTAATAATATATATTGCTTTTGCGCGACGAAACGTAAATCGTCGCGCAAAAACATTTAAATAACAAATCGACAAATATATTTTAATCTTGCGCGACGAGTAATTTCGTTGCGCAAGATGTGTATGCGCGACGAATATGATGTCGTCGCGCAAGGTTCATGTAGCTCGCGCGACAGACAATTCCGTCGCGCAGTTTTTTTTGCGACGACCGCTGTTTCGTCACGCAAATATTGTGCGACGGACAATGAGGTCGTCCCGAAATGTTTTTTGAAACGAAGATGTTATACGTAGCGCAAACTGCGCGACGAATGACATTTGTTCGTCGCGCAAATCCTTTCTTCACGAACTTTGCGCGACGGATTGTGCGCGACGAAGCTTCTGTCGCGCATAATGATGTGCGACTAAAATCATTTTTGCGCGACGAATACCCTTTCGTCGCGCAAAGACTAAAATGTAGTAGTGCAACCTTCTCAGCAAGCCCCTGGTAATTTTGTGGCTTGAGCCCACTTAAGCTTGTGGCATAACTTGGTGTTAGAATAATGACTCTACTTGCATGACACCTGCGCTTGTGCTTGAGTTTTATTATTCCGTGATAGGCTGTAATTGGGCCTAGTAACAACTAATGAGTATGTGAGCGTGATTTTTGTAAAGTTGGCATGTTCTTGGCCCTTTTTGCATGTGCTTGCTTGGCATGATGCATGGCCAGTAGCTTGTATGGTGCCTCATACAAATTCTCTTTTGTCATGATTGCACCTCTTTTGCGTTCAATTATCTGTGTTGGGCCAATAGTTAATTTGGGCTTAGCCCCTTGGATTTTTGGGCCTCAACACTAATAATACTACAAGATCAATTTGATCCATAAAAACATCTTTTGGCATCACAAAACAGATGTAATGCCATCGACTGCACCATCTTTCTTTCTTTTCTTTTAGTTTTTTATTTGTTTATCTTTGATCTTATTTAAAAGAAAAGGGAGTATATATATATATATATATATCTTGTTAATTCTTGGATGCATTGTTGTACTATCCAAAAGGAGTATCCAAATTGGCCGTATTGCAGGATCCTTCCTGAAAGCGTATTGTATTTCTGTCTTATTGTCGAAGGTTCACATTTCTAAGTAATAATTAGGGCAATTGAAGGAAGCATTAATTGTCCTTGTGATTGGGAATTGAGACTTTGTTTTGTGTGGATTAAAATCATCCAGTAAATCAAACTTACCTTAACATTGTTATACCATTCTAGGAAAAAAAAACATTGTTATACCATTGGGAAAAGAGTTTTTATCAAAAATAACCAAAATTTAACCTCCAAATTCATAAATGTCAATTTTTTAAAATACTTTCAAATATAGCCAAAAACTCACTTAAATTGACCCAAATGCCCTCTAAATTATAACTCAATTACACCTAAAAGCTAAAACCCAAAATTACAGGAGCACGAAAACAAGATTGGCTTCGTCAACTTAATCATGCCTATGAATCCTATTATAAAAATGACAATGTAATTACCAAAAAGAAGAAGAAAAGTAACAGTCAATGTTTTCATAAATCGAAGCAATAAAAATCATCTCTGCGACTATGGCTTGATTCATGCGTTTGGGAGTTTTTTACAATAAAAATAGTTAAAGTCAGTTTCTTGACATAATAATTTTTAATTGATAAAAAAAGTTGAACTTTCTCGCAAAATTTGTATCATAAATACTGTTAGTCTGCATATGATATGGTGGTTAAACTTTCTTGCAAACCATCATATGTGTTGCTGCCTTCCCTCACCACAAGAGGTCTAGAAAAATTGCAAGGCCCTAGTTGTTCATAGACTATCTTCCCACAACACAAACTTGCCTATATTAACTTTGCTTTCCATTAAGGATGATTGGCGAGGGGCAGTGTCCTTGTGTTTGAGGGTAGGCTGGGTGGAGAGTGAGGCTTGTGCTCAGTAGCTTACGGCTTGGAAGAGCATGCTTTTTGGTTAGGTTTTAATTTAGAGGGCATTTGGGTCAATTTAAGTGAGTTTTTTGTTATATTTGAAAGTTTTTAAAAAAACTGACATTTATGAATTTGAGGGTTAAATTTTGGCTATTTTTGATAAAAACTCTTGGGAAAAGTATATATGCATGCTTGTTAAGTATAGTTGGACATGCATATGCACACTCTCTCACTCACTCCTCTTTAACGCCACTAGGTCGCTACTTGACTGATGTGCGTATGATACTACTTACAGGTTCCTATTTCAAACATAGCCATATGTTCTCGTGAAAATGGAGGCTGAATGAGAATGGACAAAGTTAGATGAGAATGTGGGCAGGAAACATGTCTATATGTATATGTCTCTCTCTCCCTCTCTCCCTCTCTCCCTCTGTATACGTATATATTATTCGCATTAAAAAAATCATGTGTATATAGTATTTAGTCTCTCCCTAACGTATTCTGGGTGGGAACTGCTGAGTTGATGTTTATACGAGTGGGCCATAATTTTTATATACATAAATTAAATAAATACAAGAAAATAAATTAGTTATATAAGCCATTTTAAGTTATTTCTAGACATAGAAATAATCTTGTAAAATATATACAAATTTATAAATAAACCTAATCCTAGACATGTATTTATAAAAAAAACCCAAGCACTATTTAAACATAGAAACACACCCAAAATCAACCCCAAAGTCAACTTTTTGGGTGTGTTTATAAATGGGTTTTGAGTGTGTGTAATGATGGGTTTTGGGTGTGTTTATATGTTTAAATAGTTGTGAAACCCCATATTTTTAAATACATATATTTCATAAAATTAAATATTTACAATTATTAGTCTTCAAAACTATATAATATATCTATAAATATAAATTGTATGGCAAGTTACGTGAAGTTAACTAGTATAGCCTATCAAATGTTTTTGCATGGCTTTAATTATTTCAATTCATTTCAGCATTATTTATTTATTATTATTATATATAAATATATATATATATATATACTTTACAAAAAACTGTTAGAAAGAGTTAGAAAGACATTTATGCTTACTAAGCATTGTTGAAGACTGACGTGTTGCAATGTAGTGTCCTCAAAACCAATTAAAACATGAGGTGTAAGAATGATAGTTATACCTATATATATAAACTTGATAGGAGAGTGCTGACTAAACACTCTACAAAGCCAACACAAAAGGCTATTTGAGAGTCTAGGAACCTATAGACTAATTAGGTGGCACAACATTAAGCTTCATCTAACCGACTCCAGCTTACTATAAATAGGTCTACTCAATAGTTCTTTGATCATAGGTACTTCAAGTATGTTAGTCTCCTAAAAAGCTTAGACAGAATAAAGAAAGAGTGAAGTGTGGTGAGATTTTGGAAAAAGCTCAACTGGGAAGTGTACAATAAGCTTTGGATTTGAGGTAGGGGTTTTTCTTGGGGAAGTTTTGTTTTGCATACATTGAGTTAATTAAATATTGTAAATACTACATTATACTTGATAATATTTGATTGTTGTTATGCTTGGTTATATTGTTTGATTGTTATCCTTGATATTAGATATATACATGTTGTCAATTATCATTATAATTTGATGAATTTTGACATATTCATATGTTGTCGGTGGTGGTTGGAATTTTTGGGTTGATAAAGAAATTATGGAAAAGAGGATAATGGGAGGTATCTTTTGTGTAGTTGAGTCTAACCATTGTAGGGACCAAGTTCAGGCGAGCCCGTGTGCACAGTAGATTAGGAAATCGGCGGTATAATTGTCGATTGGGTGATTTGGGCTTGGAGATCAATGGTGTAGACAAGATGACTAGCAAAAGGGGAATTATGGGATGATTGAAATGGGTGTTAGTTTATATAATGGGGCATTCGGAATCACAGTGGTAAAATGCATGGTATGGGACATGCAGATTTGCTTGCCCTATTATATAGATTAACGGGTTGGGTAGAATTGAAGTTCATTCATGCATTGTATAAATTGTACATTATAAATCTCACCAATCACTTAAGGCATCGGACCCCTACTGAGCATGTAATGCTCACCCCTTATTGAATCTATTGCAGGCTTTGAAACTGAAGTGTAGTTTTTGCTGAGGACAAGAAGAATGGATTATGGATAGTTTTGAGTATTTTGTTGAAAGTTTGTTACTTTCTTGTTATTTTGCTTGTAATAATACAATGTAAATTACTTTGACTTAAATGGAAGTTTACATTCAATCTTCATGTTTCTTGATAATTAAATTTTTAGTTTTAGTTTTGGTTTTTTTTTGTTTTTTTTCTTTTACCTCACATTCCCAAATAATAATAATTGGGGTGTGACAAGTTGGTATCAGAGCATTAGGTATACAATCCTATAGAATAGAAGTTATCATTTAAGTTATTTTTTTTTAGAAATTAAGATTTAGAAGTATAAAAACTTTTGAGTTTCTAATATACTTTCATTTGTATTTTAGATACTAATATTTTGGTAATGACAGATTTTATGGAATCAATAGAAAGTGACGATACCTTTGGAGGTTTCCATGTATGCCCAGAGGGACTGATACCATTAAACCTAGAAAACTATAACAACAACCTGAGGCATGGCGCAAAATTTTGTATGAAAGAGAAGATAAGGAGTACTGCCATAAAAAGACATCATTACCCTCTCCCAATGCAGCGACTGGTAGCAATGCATAGTATCTGGTCAAGGAGAGAATTCTGGGATGGTGCCTATGAGAACATACAGTGGCCACCATGTAATTACCAACCACAACGAGTCCCAAATCCACCAAGTGATAATGAGGAATTTGCTCAGGAGCCTACTAATGAGCCTACTTGGGAGCCTACTGAGTCAATCGGATCAGTCATTAGGCCTATAGAGGTTCAGTCACCACCCGAAGTGATTATTATCAGTTCGGATGAAGAAAACTAGTACTGAAGAAAGAAAGTTGTATAAATGTTTATAGTTGTAGAAATAAACCATAAGGTTTTGTAAGATAAGTTTAAGTTTTTGTAAAATTGTGTATACTTTTGTAAATATTTTGTGAAATATAATAAATGAGTGTTTTGTTTATTCTTTCTCTTAAAATTACATTTTACTATTTTATGATATTGTTTTTAGATAATTTCCTTTTTATTCATTTAAGATGGCTGAATCTGGAAATGAGTTCAATGGAAATGCTGGAGTAATCTTAGCCATTCAGGATATGGCTTCAGCAATTAGAGAAAATAGTAACCAAGATCACCGTCATGAAACTGAAGAAGATCGAGTTATGAGAATACAAGGACAATTCCGTAAGACGAAACCAACAATATTTAAAGGTGAACCAAATCCTATGGCAGCTGAAGAATGGTTGAGGCAAATTAAGAGAAAGATGGATAATCAAAGAATTCCTGCAGACATTAGAGTTGTTATTGCTTGTACCTATCTGGAAGGACAAGCATACCTTTGGTGGGAGTCAATTCTGAGTATGCCAGATATTGAAATTACAACTTGGGAGGCATTCGAAAGTGTTTTCTTGGAAAAATATTTTCCAAGTACTATGAAAGCAATGAAAGCAAGGGAGTTTGTTAACCTTGTCCAAGGCAACTTAACTGTTGATCAATATCAATCTAAGTTTGAAGAACTCATGCGTTTTGCACCATATATGATCCCTGATGATGCAACAAAAGCAAAACGATTTGAAGAAGGATTGAGACCATCAATTTTGGAAAAGGTTGACATTTTGAAATTAAGCAAGTATGCTGATGTGGTTGATAGAGCACATATAGCAGAGCAAAGACCCGAAACAAAGAGAACTTGGGATTCAAGTAGTGGACAAGTAAATAAACGGACAAGATTTAATACTCCTCAATCACAAGAAAAGTTCGGACCACCACTATGTTATTACTGCAAACAAGTGGGACATGTAAAGAGATTTTGTCCACAACTACAAAGATATCAAGGACCTCAAGTACAGCAGACATTATATCGTCCTCCACAAGTACCTTTTCGTGCTCCGCTGCCACCTCAAAGTTATACTACTTATCAACCTCAGTCTAACTGGGCAAGGCCAGTTACTAGTCAATCATCACAACATCCAGGAGGACAATCTTCCCAAATTAGACCAAGGGTCCCTGCAGTTGGAAAGAAATCTGGATCATTCACACAAGGAAGAGTATATGTTATGGGAAATGTGACAGATCAAACTGAGCCTAAGACAATAGAAGGTATGTTTTTGGTATTCAACTCTTGGGCTAAAGTGTTATTTGATTGTGGAGCTACACACTCTTTTATATCCACATCTTTTGCATCAATACTTGAGTTAGACTCTGAAAATATGAAACCTTCTTTGTTAATTGGATCTCCTTTGGGTGGTAGTCTAGAAGTTGATAAAGTATGTAGATCTTGCATGATAGAGATGTCGGGCCATAAAATTGTTGTTGATTTGATGATATTGGAAATGTTGGAATATGATATTATTTTAGGAATGGACTGGCTTACACGTTACCAAGTTACAATTGATTGTGGTAAAAAGAGAATTATCATCAATACTCATAAGGAAGAAACCTTTAGCTTCTTTGTGAAAAAGGAAAGCCAGAAATATGGTGTTGGAGATTATAAATATTTGAGTCAGATAGCTAGAATCGGAACTGAAGAAGTAGAAACATCTCCAATACAACTTATTCCTGTGGTAAAGGAATTTAGCGATGTTTTTCCAGAAGAATTGCTCGGCTTACCTCCAGAGCGCGAAGTAGAGTTTGCTATAGAAATATATCCAGATACAACACCTATTTCTATACCTCCTCATCGCATGGCCCCAGCTGAACTGAAAGAACTTAAGATACAACTCCAAGAATTACAAGCAAAAGGATATATCCGTCCTAGTACTTCACCATGGGGTGCACCTGCTCTCTTTGTGAAAAAGAAAGATTTAACTCTTCGAATGTGTATCGATTATCGTCAATTAAATAGGGTCACCATAAAGAACAAATATCCTTTACCTAGAATTGACGATTTATTCGATCAGTTAAGAGGTTCTCATTTCTTTTCAAAAATTGATCTTCGATCTGGCTATCACCAACTTCGAGTTAAAGCTGAAGATATACCCAAAACAGCTTTTCGAACTCGATATGGGCATTATGAATTTGTAGTTATGCCTTTTGGATTGACAAATGCACCATCAGCTTTTATGGATATGATTAACCGAATTTTCCGACCTTATTTAGATCAGTTTGTCATCGTATTCATTGACGATATTCTAATATATTCCAAATCTCAGGAAGAACATGAGGAACATTTACGAATCGTTTTACAAACATTAAGAGAAAATCAATTGTATGCAAAGTTGAATAAATGTGAATTCTGGTTGAGACAAGTAAAGTTTTTAGGACATGTAATTTCCAATGAAGGTGTTTCAGTTGATTCTTCCAAAGTTGAGGCAGTGTTGAATTGGAGTCAACCAAAGAATATCTCGGAGATACGTAGTTTCCTTGGGTTAGCTGGCTATTATAGGAGATTTATCAAGGATTTTTCTCGAATAGCTGCACCAATGACCAAGCTGACCCAGAAAGGAGTGAAATTCATATGGACTCAAGAATGTGAAAAGTCATTCCAAGAATTGAAAACTCGATTGACTACCGCACCAATACTGATTATTCCTGAACGGGACCTAGGGTATGTGGTTTACACTGATGCATCTAAACAAGGGCTAGGATGTGTTTTGATGCAAGCTGACAGAGTAGTAGCTTATGCTTCTCGTCAACTGAAAAATCATGAAAGAAATTATCCAACACATGATTTGGAGTTAGCAGCAATTGTCCATGCTTTAAAAACTTGGCGACATTATCTGTATGGTGAAAGATTTGAGCTTTACTCTGATCATAAAAGTTTGAAATATCTTTTCACTCAGAAAGAGCTTAACCTGAGACAAAGACGATGGATGGAATACTTAGAAGATTACGATTTCGGTCTACATTATCATCCTGGAAAGGCTAATATAGTGGCAGATGCTCTAAGTAGGAATACACATGGATTTGTAGCAGGACTACAAATTCAGAAATGGAAGATGATGAATTGTATTCAAGATTATAATTTACATGTGAACGTACTTGAGCATGGTGCTTATCTTTATAACCTGGTAACAAGACCAACTTTGCTAGGAAAAGTTGTTGAAAAACAACAAGAGGATAACTCCTGTAAATCAATTCAAGAACATATTTTGAATGGAGATAAAATAGAAGGTTGGACCTTTCATGAAGAAGATGGTTTAAGGTATTTAGGTAAATTATATGTACCTGAAATTCCAGAATTAAAGAATGAAATTCTTCATGAAGCTCATTACTCGTCCTACACTATTCATCCCGGAAGTACAAAAATGTATCAGGATTTACGTCGTCAGTTTTGGTGGAATGGTATGAAGAAAGATGTAGCCATTTTTGTCTCAAAATGTTTAACCTGTCAGCAAGTGAAAGCTGAACATCAGAAACCCGCTGGCCCTCTTCAACCTTTACCTGTTGCACAATGGAAATGGGATCATATCACAATGGATTTTGTCACAGGTTTACCACGATCACCAAGAGGTAAAGATGCAATATGGGTTATTGTAGATCGTTTAACCAAGTCTGCACATTTCATATCAGTCAAAACGACAGATTCCACAGAGACTCTTGGGAAATTATATTCAAGAGATAGTGAGATTACATGGAATTCCTATTTCTATTGTTTCTGATAGAGATTCAAAGTTTACTTCTCAGTTTTGGGGTGCTTTGCAAAAAGCATTAGGAAGTCAATTGAATTTTAGCAGTGCATTTCATCCCCAAACTGATGGACAATCAGAAAGGACTATTCAGATTTTAGAAGATATGTTAAGAGCTTGTGTTTTGGATTTTCATGGAACTTGGGAAGATCATCTTGCTCTGGCAGAATTTGCTTATAACAACAGTTTTCAATCCAGCATCGGAATGGCACCATACGAAGCACTCTATGGTAGACCATGTAGATCACCTTTATGTTGGGCGGAAGCAAGTGAAACTGTGTTATTAGGACCTGATTTGGTACAAGAAACAACAGAGAAGATCAAAACTATCAGACAACGCTTGCTTACAGCTCAGTGTCGGCAAAAGAATTATGCTGATAGAAGAACAAGGCCATTGAAGTTTAATATTGGGGATCATGTATTCCTTAAAGTTTCACCTCGAAAGGGAGTTAAAAGATTTGGAAAGTCTGGAAAATTAGCCCCACGATTCATTGGACCTTTTGAAGTACTACAACGGATTGGGGAAGTAGCTTACAAGTTAGCACTACCACCTCAATTTTCGAATGTTCATAATGTATTTCATGTTTCTATGCTTCGAAAATATGAACCGGATCCAGCACATATTTTAGATTGGGGAGAACTAAACATAGATGAGCAATTATCTTTTGAGGAAAGACCAATACGGATATTAGATCATAAAGAACAAGTGTTGCGAACGAAGACTATTCCACTAGTCAAAATCCTTTGGTTACATGGAAATACAGAAGAGGCTACATGGGAATTAGAACCTGAGATGAAAGAAAAATATCCAGAACTTTTTCTTTGATTCGGGTAAGTTTCAGAATTTCGAGGACGAAATTTCTTTTAAGGAGGATAGATTGTGAAACCCCATATTTTTAAATACATATATTTCATAAAATTAAATATTTACAATTATTAGTCTTCAAAACTATATAATATATCTATAAATATAAATTGTATGGCAAGTTACGTGAAGTTAACTAGTATAGCCTATCAAATGTTTTGCATGGCTTTAATTATTTCAATTCATTTCAGCATTATTTATTTATTATTATTATATATAAATATATATATATATATACTTTACAAAAAACTGTTAGAAAGAGTTAGAAAGACATTTATGCTTACTAAGCATTGTTGAAGACTGACGTGTTGCAATGTAGTGTCCTCAAAACCAATTAAAACATGAGGTGTAAGAATGATAGTTATACCTATATATATAAACTTGATAGGAGAGTGCTGACTAAACACTCTACAAAGCCAACACAAAAGGCTATTTGAGAGTCTAGGAACCTATAGACTAATTAGGTGGCACAACATTAAGCTTCATCTAACCGACTCCAGCTTACTATAAATAGGTCTACTCAATAGTTCTTTGATCATAGGTACTTCAAGTATGTTAGTCTCCTAAAAAGCTTAGACAGAATAAAGAAAGAGTGAAGTGTGGTGAGATTTTGGAAAAAGCTCAACTGGGAAGTGTACAATAAGCTTTGGATTTGAGGTAGGGGTTTTTCTTGGGGAAGTTTTGTTTTGCATACATTGAGTTAATTAAATATTGTAAATACTACATTATACTTGATAATATTTGATTGTTGTTATGCTTGGTTATATTGTTTGATTGTTATCCTTGATATTAGATATATACATGTTGTCAATTATCATTATAATTGATGAATTTTGACATATTCATATGTTGTCGGTGGTGGTTGGAATTTTTGGGTTGATAAAGAAATTATGGAAAAGAGGATAATGGGAGGTATCTTTTGTGTAGTTGAGTCTAACCATTGTAGGGACCAAGTTCAGGCGAGCCCGTGTGCACAGTAGATTAGGAAATCGGCGGTATAATTGTCGATTGGGTGATTTGGGCTTGGAGATCAATGGTGTAGACAAGATGACTAGCAAAAGGGGAATTATGGGATGATTGAAATGGGTGTTAGTTTATATAATGGGGCATTCGGAATCACAGTGGTAAAATGCATGGTATGGGACATGCAGATTTGCTTGCCCTATTATATAGATTAACGGGTTGGGTAGAATTGAAGTTCATTCATGCATTGTATAAATTGTACATTATAAATCTCACCAATCACTTAAGGCATCGGACCCCTACTGAGCATGTAATGCTCACCCCTTATTGAATCTATTGCAGGCTTTGAAACTGAAGTGTAGTTTTTGCTGAGGACAAGAAGAATGGATTATGGATAGTTTTGAGTATTTTGTTGAAAGTTTGTTACTTTCTTGTTATTTTGCTTGTAATAATACAATGTAAATTACTTTGACTTAAATGGAAGTTTACATTCAATCTTCATGTTTCTTGATAATTAAATTTTTAGTTTTAGTTTTGGTTTTTTTTTGTTTTTTTTCTTTTACCTCACATTCCCAAATAATAATAATTGGGGTGTGACAATAGTGCTGGGTTTTTTTATAATTTCAACCCTCATTTTGGGTGTTTTAGTGAAACTCCCTAAAATATACTTGGGATATAATAATATGTCAACATCACCTAGTCAAAATTTAATTGAAAATATATTTCGTTTTCAATTAAATTTTAAAAGAAAAATAAATGTCTTTGACTGATGCTTGCCAAACTGATCCATCAAATTCAACCAAATTGCAATCAGACAACATAATAAACCCGGGACTTCCAACCCACATATTTTTGCACTGACTCCCATTAATTCGGGAGCATAACTAATAAGAATAAAGAAAGCAAGTCCCTTGAGATGCTTCAATTCCAGACCAAAAACCCAGTTTTCATTTCTATTTCTTGCATTTGGCATCGAGTGCATGCCACACAAATCTTCAAAATGAACATGATAGCATATGTTAAAATTCTTTGTCATCAATAATAATTAATATATTTTTTTGAAGAACTTTGTTCAATTTCTCCTTAAGAGCATAAATGTTTGCCAGACACCCCTCCTCCAAGTTTCTGACTGGGAATCCCAGGAACATGGCGGTGGCGTTCAACACTTTCTCAAAACGGCCATTCTCCATCTCTCCTCTCTCTCTCTCTCCTCTCTCTCTCTCTCTCTCTCTGTGTTTTCCAAAGTGGGGTGGGGTCATCTTTTCCAAATTCCAGTCCTAGTTTGAAAACTTACTAAAAATCACTTCCTTAATCATGCGTTTTGTCAGTGAAGCTGGCAGAGGATATATTTTGCTGTGGTTTTGTTTTGTGATCCGATCCTTTGCTGGTTCTGCTTTGTATTGTAATGCTTAATTGTGTGTATATTATCACCTAATTGCCAATAAAGCAATAAAAGGCTGACAAGGTAGTCCTCTGGATGTGCAAAACAAACGAGTCAGACAAGCCTAAAATAAAATTCAACATCAAATGCGTTTTGGATTCAGCGCAGGGCTTTGACTGGCACACACAAACATGGTAGACAAGCAAGCAGTTAGACAAGCCTACTTGGGCTTTGACTGGCAATCCTTGATTCTGTACATGTAATGTAAGTATTCCTTTTGTTGTGTGGTGTGATCGGATCCTTTGCTGGTTCTGCTTGGTATTGTACGGCTTAATTGGTGCATGTGTGATCAGAGAAAGAGATTTACTGTACGTATTATCTCACAGCTTATTCTCCTACTGGGTTTTGCCTTGCCTCCTTTAGATTTTGATGTGATGATATATCCCAAAGTTGCCTAAATTCAATGTATCTGCACCCTTTCTTCTTGATAACTTTTCGTTCACCTCACAATCTATTTTGAAGAAAATAAGATTGAGAGAGAAAATTCACATTTCACTTTTTTATATTAATTTATGAACAGAGTTTATATATTTATACAAGGCCTTGGATTTCTCTAGAATAAGTTTGTTACAAAAAATATGGATAAGAATGTAATCTGGAAATTCCTCTAGCGTTGTCAGTGATTTGGCAAGAATAAGTTCAAAATATTCATTTTCCATCTCGTTACAATGACAAGACTGATTGGAATGATTAGGAAAGGAATCAATCCATCAAATTATGCCCTAATGCAAATGCGCTTTTAATTTAATTGACAAAATCTCAATTTAATGTCACCTTTCTCTTCTCCTTCTCATTCTCATTCAGGTTGTGCTTTTTTCTTTTTCTTTTTCCAAAAGATGGAGACCAATGTTTACATCAACAGCCAATAAATAAAACAATGCATCGAAGAATTAAGAAGATATATATACTCCTTTTTCTTTTAAATAAGATCAAAGATAAATTTTTGTAAATTTTTGTTTGAATGCGTACGTATTACAAAATTAATTCTTATAATAAAAAAAATTTAGTCTTTTAAAAATTTAGATAGAGTGTGCGTGCGTATGTGAATGAGTATGTTTTAGTGCATCAAAGTGAAACTGAAACTTATATCAAGTTCTAACCAAAAAGCTTGCAACTTTGATTGCTATATGCCCTGCTCTGCTAGGTTGCAGGTTATATAGGTGCCAAGAATATTGGCCACCACCAGGGAAAAAACTTACATGGACTAGATGCCAAATGCAGGAAATAGAAAGATTTTGTCAGACCAGAGGTTTGTCCTTTCGGTTTGGTAATGATGACCTTTAGTCATCTGCCTCTTCTCTTGAAAATGCTCGCCACGTGAAAAAAAAAGTTAATCAATTAAAAATATATAATCAGCAGTTGCATGGGAATATAAAAACAAAAGATTGAAGATAATAATATGAAACCCTAACCCCTATCCCATCACTCGCCAGTCATCGCCACTTCTCTCTCTCACCGACCCCAATTCATTTTTCATTACAAATCCTAAACTTTGCTTCTCCTTCCATACCAAGAGGACCGTACAAGATAAATACCTATTATGGGTGACAACACCTGATTGGAATTATTAAGGATGAGGGAAAAGATTTGGCTTGCACAGTGCAATGCGATATTGAGTTCCATGTAATAGGCATTCCTCCGCCCAGAAATAGAGCTCATCCCCAGCTTCAATGCCTCTGTCAATGACAAACACTGTCCATCCACGAGACTGGAAAACTGGCTTTGTACCCCCTTGTCTGCAGGATAATTTGAACTCGTAAACGTTGTGCGTCTGTGTGTCGACAACTCTGATGGGGATATCACGATCTGGATCCACCGGCGGCAGCATTTCAAGCATGGCGGTGGTCACCACAAGTCTTTTAACATCGCTGGCCGTCAACTTTTTCTTAAAATGGTCATGCTCCATCTCCATGGATTATAATCTGCTCTACAATCCCCTTTTATATATAGAAAAAGAGAGTTTTGATTGTAAAGCTTCTTCTACACACGTGCATGTAACCTACTCACGGGACCTTGAAATGTAGAAAAGGAGAATTTATCTAGTACTAATTATTTTGATATAAGTTGAAATGTAGAAATATTATTATCATGAGAAATATAGCATTAATAAGATCTGAAGGAGATGTTTAAAATGAGCCTAATATCAGACATATTTTACAACATATATATACTATTTACTAGTGAATTAATATGCACATCAAAGTAAATTTAATCACTATTGAATATTTGTAAATGAAGTAGATGTTCTAGATAGATATGTAGGTGTTCTCTTCATCGTCACAAAGACAAAGTCACAGTCAACAGGTTGAAAACATTCAATGCTGATTATATTCACAAATGAGTAATGAAAATGAAATGAAGCCACGCTAGAGTCTGCGGTCTCCAACCTCTTAATTTTGATAGGAATAAGATTATCGTAGTAGATGTCCTTATTCTTAATTATTAATTATTTAGAACACAAACTATTAATTATTACCACAAGTCACTGTCTCTCACCGCAGTACCTACCCATGCAAGATAAATTTTACAAGATAAATGGGGCCGTCCCTGTCTGGTCTGCTATGTCGAAAAGGATGTCAGTATCAGCAATATGCATATTGGCAACGTTATGATGCACATAAAAGGATGTCAGTATTAGCAATATGCATATGGGCAACGTTATGAAGTATATTCTTCAAATGCGAATGGCGGTTTTTATTGGTTTCGGGAGCAAGGATGTTATGCGTATGGGCAACGTTATGAAGCATATTCTTCAAATGCGAATGGCGGCTTTTATTGGTTTCGGGAGCAAGGATGTTATGCGTATGGGCAACGTTAACTTTTATTGGTTTCGGGAGCAAGGATGTTATACGTATGGGCAACGTCATGAAGCATATTCTTCAATGCGAATGGCGGCTTTTATTGGTTTCGGGAGCGAATGGCTTTCGGTGCACTGTCCATCTCCACTTTACAACATATACTATTTACTAGTCACCAAAGTAAATTTAATCATGCTCCTTTTTTACAACATATGCTATTTACTTGAGATCTGTTGGGTTCAGAAGTTGAAAAAACAAGCGAAACAGGAAGAGAGAAAATGACAATTCAAGGCATTTACTATCATGTTTTATGCGATTGTCTTCATTTTGAGGGTTTGTGTAGCATGCACTAGAAGCAGGAAATAGAAAGATTTTGCCAGACCGGAGGTTTGTCCTTTCGGTTTGGTTTTTAATACTCATTCTGACTGACTTTTACGACCAAAATAAAAAATAAAAACTCATTCTGGCTTACAGATAATATATTCATATCATATATAATTAATAATAAAGGCGTAGTGTAATGAAGTCTTTTATTTTAATCTTATATATAGATGTATGCCTGCTTCATACAGCCGACATCTCTCAGGACCCACTTGGAACTTGGACACGCTTGGAATCTTGGAGTTTAAATTTCTTAAGTGGCACGAAACAACATATGCAATTTACTTGAGATCTGTTGGGTCAACATATGCTATCATGTTTCATTTTGAAGATTTGTGTGGCATGCACTCGATGCCAAATTCCGGAGCATAACTAATAAGATTTGTGTGGCATGCACTCGAAATTACAATTATTTCTAAACGTGAGGCCAGCTAACTTCAATAGTAGTAGAATGTGTAGCATGTTGATTTCGATATAATTTTTAACACGCAAATGAAGTTAAGATGAGCATGATAAAGGCTAAGAGCTCGTTTGGGAGTGATTCTAGATAGGTCATTTGAATCATTTCTATACCAACTTACAAAGTATTGGGCCATGCCTAATTCAGGTATATGTTATCTGCAGTGTGTGGGTGGACCCAAGGTGTCAAGTGCTGCAACATATTGACAAAACAACGGATTGCAATCTACCAGTCCGCCCTCTATTCTACTGTGAAATGTGTCGTCTCAAACGTGCAGATCCACAGCATCCTGCTTTTATCAATTTTAACTTAATTGAATCTTTATTCTGAAATGATGTAAAAGTTGCAGTCGCGCAGCTTATTTTTAGTTTGGTACCTGGGGTGTACTTCAGGATTTGGCATCTCAAGGGACTTGCTTTCTTTATTCTTATAGTTATGCTCCGGAATTGAAGCATCTCAAGGGACTTGCTTTCTTTATTCTTATTAGTTATGCTCCGGAATTTGGCATCGAGTGCATGCCACACAAATCTTCAAAATGAAACATGATAGCATATGTTGACCCAACAGATCTCAAGTAAATTGCATATCTTGTAAAAAAGGAGATGATTAAATTTACTTTGGTGTGCATATTAATTCACTAGTAAATAGTATATGTTGTAAAATATATCTGATATTAGGCTCATTTAAACATCTCCTTCAGATCTTATTAATGCTATATTTCTCATGATAATAATATTTCTACATTTAAACTTATATCAAAATAATTGTACTAGTTAAAATGAAGAAGAACAAAAAGCCAGTTTAAACAAAAGTAGGCTAAATTTCACTTTGATGCACTTGTAAATCGTCTCTGATACAATTTCACTTTGATTCCCTTGTAAATCGTCTCTGATACAATTTCATGGGGGGCCCTTTGTTTCTTCCGTACATGACCAATAACGTTGATGCACTTAAGTTGTTTTTCATGTCTAGTTAACAATCTCTCTCTCTCTCTCTCTCTCGGACTTAAAGTGCATCCTGCTTTCCTAGTTGCTGTTGTCCTCTAGCTTTGGACTCTAGCTTTGTATCTTTGGCTTTTGCCCTGGTAATGCATTTCTAATTATTAGACTAAGTATCTTGGCTTTTGACCAAAAAAAAAGTGAAAGTGAAACTTAGAAAGCCAAAGATTAACTTTCACTTTTTTTTTGGACTAGTCAATGAATAAATGCAATTCCTTCCGCATATTCCCTTTTAATTCTGTGCAGTCTACCAATTCTGGTATCAGAACTTGTTCCATTCATGGGCAAAAAGAAAACCCCACCACCGACCTCGCTGCCTCAAGCCAAGAGGTGGACCCTACCCATGATTATTTGGGTGGACAAATTCAACACTATTCCAGTTGTGATAATTAATGGTAGTGGTGATATTGCCCGCAATGGTTAATTGATCATAGTTTGTGATATTATACGCCATGTGTCTGACGCAAAGCAAAGCAACTCTCTCTTTTCTTCTCATTTTTCAATCCTAGGGCAAAAATTCATCTATTTCCATTATTTGCTTTGAAATTGAATTTACATCCAAACCCTAAACTCCCTTTAACATTATATTTGTCGAATCCAACAACAAGAGACAGCGCGAAACCAAAGAAAACCAATCTGGAGGAAGCTTGATATTTATTGAAGATCCCTCGTTTTGATAGCTGAACCAATTTGGAATTTCTCCTACATCTGATGCTACTTCAATTTCTTCGGAAAATTCTACATCTGATGCGTCTTCAAATTCTGCTTCAAGTTCTACATCTGCTGCTACTTCAATTTCTTGGAAAGTTCTGCATATGAAGCTACTTCAAATTTGTCAAACTTTGATGAGGCAAATGCCAAACGCATAATTCTAAGTTGTGCATCCGCCATTATGTGGTTCCATGTATTCTGATCCAATTTTAGGCAATTAGAGAAGATAAGTTCCTGGTTAAACCCTGGAAACAAATTATATCCATCCAACCCATGTGTGAGTGCAGTCCTTGGGCTTGACACTGTGTTAAGCAATGTGCAGCCATGTGCTTTAAGAGAATATAGCTTTAATGGGAGCTCTGGTCCCACTAAATTTTATATAATAAGCGAAATAAGCATATACCTGGTCTTTATTCCAAAGTTGCTCAACTCTGCTGCCGTGCTTTCGAAGCCAACAAGATTTTCTGGAAAAAAATTTGATGGCATAGATTTCAAAAGATATTCTTGCCAGGAAAGATAACAAAGAGAATTGGGAAGAGAAACTTTTAATTGGCAAGTTGCCAAAGCTAGAATCGCCGAGATTGAGTAAACATAGATTAGACATCTTTTTGAAGTCTGCACAATCCAAGTGTGGTTCTCCAATCTTAGATCTGTTAAAGAATATGGCTCGAACGGTTTCAGTTCCCTGACCATAAGAGCAAAGTATAAATGATAATGCAATATACAACAAAGTTTAATCAAAACTACATTTGTATGTATCTGACACGACTTGTTCCTAGGTGTCTTATCATAGAAAATTCACAAAATTGTTAATTTTCTTTTCAAAGAAAGTGAATGCATTTGGCTCTTACTGTATTATTTCTCAATACGTGTAACGTGACAGATATCCTCATCAATGAACAACCTACTACGTTTTCTAGGCTCTTAAATACATTGTTCGTAAACTATTGCCCTACCCATTTCCTGAACCAAATCATGCATCTCTAGGCTGTTCCATCTTGAAATTGATACGAGAGACTTATCAATGAGAACTTTAATTCCACCCGCAAATAAACCACTTATATCTATCATTTCCTTTGCAAAATCTATTGTCATCCCTTTATAGAAACATGCTATATCAAGAAATATCCCCTTTGCATTTTTGTTTAATCCATCAAAACTTAATTAGTCTCAACATATTCTCAATATCTTGGTTGGGAAATTTTTTCAACTTATTCCATTCATCTTTCAGTCTTCATTGTTGTCGCAGTGAAGGAATATGGAACCCAAAATCTTAAGAGCTAATGGCATGCCTCCGGCATAATCGACCACCATTCTGAATACCTCTGTATAACATGTTTCAGTACAGTTATGTTTCAAAGCATGCAAATGAAAGAGCTCGATAGCTTCAAAATAATATAATCCCTCAACCTCGTAAATCTGTTTCGTTTAATATCTCACGAAGGACATTCGCAAGTGCTTTAGTCCATGTTTTTCAGACTCCACCCTAACATTTGCAAGAAAACAAGAAGCTTCAAATTTAGAAGAAAGTCGGTGATACACAGCATCAGCGAGAGTGGTCTTGCCAATACCACCCATGCCCCAAATACCTACAGTGAAAACATCTGGTGAATTAATGCATAATAACCCTTCTATTTGTCCATCAATTCCTTTAAATCACTTGACGATTTGCAATTCAATATGGTAAAAAAATCTTCGACAATATTCTCAATGAAATTGGCCTCTGTCCTGGCAAATATGATTATGAGGACAAACAATTAGTTAGCCTTAAGGAATCTTGTTGAATTAAATGGTCACAAGTAGAAATAGCAGAGTTAGTTACCCCCTTTTGTTTGAATTATCAAACCCAGCCATATTGGCTGCGGCCTTCAAAGCATCTCTCCACTTCCACACCTTCATAACTCCCTCCGTGCTGTCCTTGAAAGTTGAAACGTGTTTCAAGTTGAGAAAATGCATATGCATAACTTCCCTGCTGATTTTGAACATGTGATGGGTCGATGCAGTAAAAAATTGGTAGAACAAACTGTCCCCTCTTGCCTTGCATCGTGGTATATGCACTAGTTCATCCAAACACCATGTGGATGAAGCATAGTTTTTTGAGAAAATGATCACCGAAAGCTTTGATGTCTCAATTGCTTCGAAAAGGGCAGGTGCAATTTGCTCTCCTCTCTCAAGTATGTCGTCTATGTAGGTTTTGATTTTCTTTGAGCATAAAGCAGCATAAAGATGGCTGGTAAAAGTATAGCGGGTGTCCTCACCTCTGAAACTAAGAAACACGTCATACTTTTCCTGAGGAGGGGATTGCAGCAGCAGAGGAAGCCATATTGATAACCTGCAAACCCACTACAAGTCAACACTCAAAACTTTGCTATATTCTTGACCAAAAAACCCATGCATATTCATAACACATGCAAATTAACAACACTAGCTGCACATTGGCTGTATATATTCAGAATGAGAAATTCGTTGGATTTTCTTATAATACTAGCAGCACTAAGAGATCAATATAAAAACATCAGAAAAGGATAACAAAGACTGTGATGATGAACTATTGAAACTTTAAGTGCATGCTCTTCACTGATTCTGAGCTTCTAGCAGAAGAGAGAGTGTATATAATTTGATAGAAACATCACCTCAATTTGACCCTGAAGGAATCTGATATACCCAATGGCTTCTAGCAAGACTGAAGCAGTGTCAGTCTGCAAAAGAGAAACACACATACACACACCACAGTCATCTCTCTCTGGTCCTCTTTTATGTTAAAAGAGAGAATCCAAGTGAAATTTAAATAGAAAAAAGTTAAAGAAGTAAAAAGAGCTGCTTTGATCTGCGTTTGGAAAAATAATTCTCTTCATTGGATTTTATCATAGAAAAAGGAAACAGAAAAAAAACAAAAAAAAGATGCTAAAAAAAATGAAATTCCTAGTTTTCACCTTTCCAAATGGGGATACCAGTTGGTGAAGGGCTGTTTCCAAAGGTCGGCTCCTGCTTCTGGGACCAGACTTGTTTTTCCTACCTCGATAATCTACTTTCCTTGGTACATATAGAAGAGTTGTCTTCTGGGGAAAGGCTGATAATATCAACCAGCCATACAAATATAAGAAGCAAAGTAGCTTCTTAAAGTCCTTACAAACATAATACAACAAAAACAGTTTCTGACAGAATAGGCTTGAGCCCCTTTTCACATACAAGAATTAGCCCGAGCTCTTTTTAACATAATCTCAGATATATAACAAGGACATTAACATTAAATTTAAACAAAATAAGGAAAAAAAATCCACAAAATTGAAGATCTTTGTACAACAGAGATATAAGTTAGAGGCAGTCTCGAAGGGGAAGTCAGGGGATTACCTCAGGATCCAGATCAAGAAAGACGTAAAATGTAAGAAGACGTTGCACCTCAGGATTGTCTTAAGCAAGAGAGAGAGCACTAGAAAGCAGTTTCAGAGAGGTTGCCTTTCTTATTAGGAAGCAATAGATTGTTGCAGTTGCAGGAAATTACCCAACCACTCTCTGCTAAAGAAAAGGCATTATATCGGGGAAATGGCATGCACACCATTGTTTGGAAGTCAACTTTGTTAAGTTCAACTTAGATGAAAGTCAGCTGTATTCTGTGCAATTCTTTATACTAATTATTTAGCAATACTCTCAAAAGAATGTGCTGTCTTGCTGGAATCCAATTTAGCACCTCTCGTTTTTTTCATAGGGTCAATCTCATTAGTTGCCCTGCATTTGAGGTCACTTGCAAAAGTAACCCTTGAATGTTTCTTAAAAATGAACAATTCTAATCATGAAATGACAACGTAGGGTGAGTCGTCGAAACAAGTAGTTAGAGCCGTATCAATGAAAAGGAAGCAAAAAGACATTAAGAAAAAAGAACTTTTGGGCTTGTCTGAGTTAGAGCATCGCTCTGAAAAGTAAGCTTAGTTCTCAGTTGAAGCCCAGAGGAGTTTTTACAACACTGAGGCAATTCAAGCATGTTTCACAGTAACTAGACAGATGTTGGAGACGAGGTTAATTTAACGTGTACAATGCATCTAAGGAATTGAAGAATATGTAATTACCCATTTAGGCAAACTAACTACAGCTTTACACTCAGAGTATCAACAACACAGAATTCAAATGGTAACCAAGCTTGCACCTGCAGTGTATGGGAAGCTCAAACCCCTCTCCACCAATTGGCAGGGAAGCCTCATTTCATTGTGTGCCAAAGCAGACTGTAAATTGGCCATCTTGCCAGATCTCCAAATCTTGAAATTCAATCATTGGGCACAAGCACCATGTCTATCAACACATAGCACATCTCGTTTGGCTAAAACGCATACACAAATAATGCTCTATATCTTCACTGTGCTTTCACAAATCTGGCTGGACACACCCATACAACAAATCCAAGTTCCCATCAGTGTGCCTAATCCAGTCATGGAGAACCACATGAAGCGGGATTGAGGGACCAAATCCAAGTTCCTGAAACACATTTTGAAGAGAGCGTAAATAAAATAGTCTCAGTTTGCTACATTCCAAATTGTACCGAGCCTTATAACTCTTTTTTGTTTCTAGAATGGTAAAAGTAAGAAGGGATTAAAAGAGAAGGCAAATCAACATGTCAGATGGTGTTTACTAATATGGCGTCAAAGGTCAGTAAAGGGCATATGCCATGCAGCTTTCCTGCCACCTACACTACACCCTATATTATAGTCCTACATATGATATAACAAGTCCATTTTTCCGAATTTGAGCATTGAAATTGCATACAGTGAGCTCAACTAAAATCAGGATTGCGAACATTACTAACTGCAGTAGTTCAAATTCTTCTTTTTCTCTGGATGTGGAGCAAACTAGTAAATCATTACTGTGATGGAAGAGTGAACTACATTGCTTCAATTTGAAACCAAAAGAGGACTTGGTCAAAACACGTTAATGTGTAATATTGTGATCACTAGTTCTCTCCACAGTAACTCTTTATCTGAGGTGATTTCTGATTGCTTGTTATTTACCAGTGTAACAAGGCAAAGAGAATTTGTTAGAGATGTAAATCAAGTCCATTTATAAGTAACACATTGAATACTCAGAAATCAGCCTGGATATCAAACTGTTTTATTTAATTTAAAGCAAGACTGCAAACCGCAGCATTAAAATTTCAACTTACTGAAGCAAGTTCCTCAATGACAATTGCTCTGTTTCCATCTCTCTCAAAGAGTTCATATACACATCGAGCATGTGTTCGCAATGATCACGTGCCTCGAGCTGATGAACACTTAATGCAGCGGCACAGAACTCTTCAAAATCCAGTCAGTACTTTACAACATATCTAATACCATAGAAAAAGTCATGGAACATCAAAGCAAACATTAGCAACCAAATTATTACCGATGCAATGAGATCAGAAATCCGAGACTCCTTCATTGCATTTGTAGCATTTTTTCATCAGAGCCTGCCGAGGACAAAATGAAAAGAACAGTTTGAGCATTAAATTATCTGAGAGAGAGAGAGAGAGAGCAACCATCTAATTGGGACTTGAGGAGTAAATAGGAGGCTGCTCAGGGGTAAAACAGGAAGACAGAGATTGAGGTTGTGGAGATAGCGTTCGAGGTATGTGATTGCTTTTTCTGCGTGCAGGGTGTCGGAGGGGCACAGGGAAAGAAAGATGGCTTGTGAATATGAGGTTTCAGGAGGGGCACTTCTGTAATTGAAGAAGTTAGATGTTTAGCAGAAGCACAACGGTAGCGGACGGAGAAGATGAACCCAGGGACGGACTCAGGATTTCAATTAGGGTGGGTAAGATTTACTTTATGTACAAGCCTTGAAGGGAGGAACATAACCAATGGGATTGACGTGTACAGATTTCCAATTTTTTAAAAACACAAAACCTATATTAATTAACCAAAATAAAAACTCACACTAACCAACAAAAGAAATACAACTCATACTAATTAAACAATTACAAATGTAGAAGCTATTTTTTTGTGTTCCAAAATGTAGAAATTTTTAGGATTAAAGCTTTATGGCGTAAAACATGAATGATATAATTAAAATATATTGGAATTTTAAACCACTATAAAGGGCTGACCCTACTTTCATTTGTTTATTTTTGATTACAAAACCTGTACAATCAAATGTTTTGGCCAAGCAATAAATTTTTATTTATTTTTTCATAGAATTCTTTTAAATAAAAATTGTAAATCCCTAATTAATACTTCATAAACTCTAAAAAGTCCCCAAATTTCAACATCAATAAATTAAGACAATCAAAGAAGATTAATAATTGAAGATTAATTTGGTTTGCTTTAATTAAGCATTGAAGGCATGGTTGATTGGCGTGTAGCAGGGATGATTGGCTCTTCTTCATGTTTTATTTTTTTAGAAATTTAGTTATATACCCAATTTAGACATAGTCTTATAAAGAAACCATATACTATTTAAAAACTATGAACACACCAAAAAAAACTCAAAATTGACAGCTGTCAATTTTTTTCAATTTAATAGCTGTTTTTTAGTTTATTTGTGTGTGTTAAATACCTATATTGCCCTTGTATTATGGATTGAGAGAGAAAAATCAGATCTGCCAAAAAAACATATCTACACAGATCTACCAAAAACCCATATATGCCAAAAAAAACTAAATCTACCAAAAAACAAATATGCCAAAAAACCAAATCAGATTTATTTTTCCTTTCTTGTGGTTGCTTTCTTGATGTTGGAGCAAGAAGAGCTTCCATTTGAAGCTCAGTCTCAGGTCCAACTATATTCTTCATCTTTAATTTACAATTTCAATATTTCACATTCGATTCTTGTTCTAAAATCGTGCTTTTATTGATTTTTTTTTTTTGGATTGTTCAAGACTCGACGAACCTTGATCAAATGCTCTTAGCTCTACTCCTCATCTTTGAGCTCTACTCCTCTTCGCTACGTCGTCATCGTCGTTTGGTTTGGACTTGAGATTTTGATCTTTTTTGCTTTAATTATGTGTTTCTTTTTTCGAATTTAGTTGATTTTCGAAATGTAACTTAAGATTTGATGATCGATTTATCTTTTATTACTATTTCAGTTATGGATCTTATTTTGTTTAACAATGTACTTCTATGACAGAGTATGAACAATGTACTCTATACAGAGATTAAGAACGTACTTTTATGACATAACAATATTAACAATTGGGCTAACTGTTTAGAGTTGGTCTGGTTTGTTTTTATTCATCTTTTCTTTGTTGGACATGTATTAGAAATAGCAACATGATAGTAAACTAGCAGTGTTATTCCTTAAACTGGAATATTACAGGGGTAGACATGCATTAGAAATATGATGTCATATGAAACTACCAGTGTTATTACTCTAGACTGGAACATTACAGGGCAGACATGCATTAGAAATAGAATGTCATAGGAAACTAGCAGTTTTATTACCCTAGACTGGAATATTTCTGGGGGTAGACATGCATTAGAAATAAGATTTCATATAAAACTAGCAGTGTTATTACCCTTGACTGGAACATTACAGGGGATAGACATGCATTTGAAATATGATTTCATAGGGAACTAGCAGTGTATTACCATAGACTGGAACATATACAGCAATTAATCAACATGACAGTAAACTAGCAATGTTATTACCTTAGACTGGAATATTACAGCCATTAATTAACATGACAATAAACTAGCAATGTTATAACCTTAGACTGGAACATTACAAATGTATACATGTGTTAGAATAGGATGTCATAGGAAACTAAAAGTGTTATTACCTACACTGGAATATTACAGGAGTAGACATGCATTAGAAATAGAATGTCATAGGAAAATAGTAGTGTTATTACCCTAGACTGAAACATTACAGCCTTAATCAACATGACAGCAAACTAACAGTGTTATTACCATATACTGGAACATTACAACCATTAATCAACATGACAGTAAAGGTGTTGAATATTACAACCATTAATCAACATAACACATTAATGAAACTATGGTTTTCAAGACGTTTTGTTTGTCATGAATTGTTTGGGTTTTTTTTTATAAAATTGGGTAGGGTTTGTTTTGGGTGCTATTTAAATTTTTTGCGTTGGACTTCTTTTTTAAGTTGATCAATGGCAATCACTTAATTATAGAAACTTAAACACCAATTTCTTATGTAGTAAATGAGTTTTGGGTGTGTTTTTTTTTTATAATTTCAACTCCTATTTTGGGTATATTAGTGAAGCTCCCTATTTTCTCTCTCCATGCATTATCTAAGGGATGTTTTCTGCGCAAGAGGGGTGTGGGGTTTGCTTGGATGGGCTAGGAGTATTACTATAGGCTAAAAAAAATCAAGACACCTGGGATGTAGCCCAGGTTAGCCCGAGAATGGGTCCGTCCTTGGATGAACCTTACAGTCGAAGTAGGATGCTATTTCATTTTTCATTTTTCATTTTTTCATTTTTTCATTTTTTCATTTTTCATTTTTTTCATTTTTTCATTTTTCATTTTTTCATTTTTTCATTTTTCATTTTTTCATTTTTTCATTTTTTTCATTTTTTTTCATTTTTGTTGTGGGTCTCTTAATTTCAGTTTTCAACTGAAAGGCCTGTTTGATGGGCTAGTTTGGATTGGACAAGTCCAATTAATTGAACGTTGGTCTAGTCCATTGTTGATGCTATGGATTTTCAATTTGTTTTAATCTTGTGAGATTATTTTTATTCAGCAGTTCAGGGTTGTAATATGTTGTACCTCGTACAAGTATAGACACTTGGCGGAACTTCGTTTCTAATCGTCTCACTAAGTTTTATTTACTTTAATCTTACTTTGCATTTTGAAACCGTGTTCTTGCAACATGTGAAGCTTGTGATTCCGACAAAAGATGCGCACTTTCTGATTCCAATTTGTCATCCATCTTTGTCAGTCAAAACCAATAAAAGCTCTGATACCAATTATTATGCTTAGAGTGCCAAATTGGAACTACTAATAATAAATAAAATCAATTCTGATTTAAGTTGAGGTAACATATAAGACAACAGGAAACTTTACAAGTTTTCTTACAAAATTGACTCACTCATAACCTTACGAAGCCATTTTATAACTAACACAAAATGACTTTCCAACAAATAAGTAAAACCAAAAACTAATAAATAGTAATAAGAAAATCTAAGGGTAGCCACATGCATAATGACTACCTACATCAAATCGAGCCATTTCCTAAAATAGGAGGCTGCCTCATGGGTAAAACAGAAAGAGAGAGAAGTGAGGTTGTGGGATGGCATTTGAGGTATGCGATTGCTCATTCTACGAGCAGGGTGTCCGAGGGAGCACATGTGTGAATATGAGATTACATGAGGGGCATTTCTGGAATTAAAGAAGTTAGAGATTATCAGAAGCCCAGTATGAAGTGGAACGGAGAGGACGAAAATTACAAGAGAGTCAAGTAGGATGTTCTATCAAATATATATATTTTTTCTTGTGGATCTTTCAATTTCAGGCTCCGCTTTGGTTCGGTTCCATGTGCTCAATCCCTGCAGCTGGGCTGGACATTGAGAACCCTTGGGTCCATTAGAGATATTTTTTTTTGGCTCAAGTTGAAACGAAAAGTGAGAAAATGTTTGCCTCTTAGAAACTTATGTTTAGGCCAATCACAATTAACATGTGGTGCATAAATTTTTCTTATGTTTGTAATGAAATATTTCTCTAAATTATGATTTGCATAAAGAAAAAACGTCTTCTTCAAAAGCAATTGTGGTATATTGCTCCCTCTTTATGAGGATTAATATGTAAAATATGGTGCTCTCTCTCTCTCTCTTTGAGCGCTACGGGCCGACTATTTTAGATGTAAAAATACATGCTTGCTAGTCTTGCATTTACGTAATTTCTCTCATGTTCTAATTAAGCTGCTCTAAGGTTTTAATAAGAATAAAAGTGATGGTGATGGGCTTAGCTCGATCAATATGGATTTGTTTAGAGAAGCGATAAAATCGGAAACAAGTAGGTAAGCAAGTAGTCTTTGTTTGTGACCCAACTTTTATTACCATATTTATTTTGCTTCGATTTACTTCTTGCATGATGAGTTTCTCGATTACCTATCTAACAGTCAAGACAGTTTATTAGAAAGGTTGAATGGCAAAGGTCTTTTAAAAAAGTGAACATGCTTGATGTCTATCGGATTTGTTGAGATTCAAAAAATGTCTCGATCATAAGTTTCACCAAGGAACAAAAAGCAGTCCTTAGACTACATGTCATTTTGTCTTTTTAGAGAAAGGGGGGGGTTTAAAAAGCAAATTGTAGAAAGAAGAAACTAAAAAAGTTGATTCATATGCTAGCGAAGCAACACTCTTCTAATTCCTAACATCCATATAGTGTATGAGAGTTTAATATGCTATCGCCTCTCTAAATAGGAAAGATCTTTTAAAAAAAAGAAGGATGTATATTTTTTTTCTTTTTTCGGTAACAAGGATGGAAAATATTTTGGGTTTTGAACAAACAATACATATTAAGAAGAAATCGCACACACACATACATATACTAGTGTTTTATCAATAGCATTGCATTCTCATCTCTGTATTTAGCAGGGCCTGGTGAGGGGATTAGTAGCCGGTGTGGTTTTATGTCGATTTGGCAGGAAATCTGTCTACCTACAATCTTGTACTTCTTAACATTGCAATATTACTATTGAAAATTATCATATTGATTGATGAGAGTACTTCTTTGGTGCATTTTGAATTTTGATCCACTATAATGGGTTAGTTGCTAGCATTTTCTTGTTAAAAATTTTCTTTTTGAAATTTTATTCTGCCTTAAATCAGCTAAATTGATTGTCCAAGAAAGTTCCAGGCCATAGTTTCATGGTTGTGTTCTTGGTGTCTGTAGACTCTCTTCCTCTCAGGGTTCAGGTCTTGCAGAACTCTCAGATAACAGTATATGTTTCGTGCTTGTCCCTTGTACAGTTGCACTGGCAATGTGGCCAGTTATGTAGAGAAGCACTAATGGAAGGAATGCCGTTGCCAGCAACAGTGCCCTTCTGAGATTTAATTCTTCCATGACTCACACCATAAACAAAGTAGCAGTTAAGATGCTGATCGAAAATAGGCTTATACTGAAACAACAACTAAACTACTCTGCATACAGTGATGTTCCTTAAATCCTAAGTAAATGCTAATAATTGGTTGAGCTAGTGAAACATAGCCTTCTATCCTTAACAGGAGGAGAGTTCCAGGTCCAAGTTCCAAGATGGGTGACATTGTTAAGATTAGTGTTCTTTTATGAGAATCTGGATGACGGAGTTTGCTAGAGAGAGCGGAGAACTGTTTGGCACGTGATTGATGGCAAATTCCATAGACTTGAGGTTCCTGGAAGTTTTCATGTTTCCATCAATAGAAATAAAAGGACATCTGAGACAAATTATTGAGAGAAGAATACATCAGAATTCTGGTGAGGATACAGAAGCTCTGCAAAGGTAACCAAGCCAGCGTTTATCCCAGACCTAGTTTGGTCTATAGGTTAAGACTTGCGCGGTCTATTTGATCTAATTGAGATATGAGTATACAACTGTTGTAAACCTCCCTCTCACGATTGATCACAGAACTGGCATGTTATATACATCATTTCATCCTTCAAATCCACATCCTTGGCTTCTCAAGATACATTAAGGCAACACGAGATGCCAGCTTCCGAAAACACCCACCAAGTGAACATGGTAGGGCAGAGAAAGATTATGTGCAGTTTCACTACAAGGAAGATAGAACCTAATGCTTCTTCGGGTCCGTGTTTGCCTTTTGTGCTTCTTCAGTAGCAGACAATTGATGCTAATTATTGCATCTAAAATTGCGTTATATGACAGCACAACAGGCATAAATCCATCAAACTTTGGCTAAATTAACAAAGTTCATAGCCTTATCAATGAAGTTCATGTGACTTCACCAATTCGAAAATCACCGTGCTCGAATTGCAGCAGATATGCGAGGACAAGCAATTCAACAAGCACTATCATTAGAAGATGATATGGGGAAGAAAACATAAAAAGAGTTTTAGGATTGATTAGTTTGCTTGAATTGCTTGGTTATAATTATTTTGTGTATAATTATCCAATACTCGAAAGACTTATGCCTCGCCTTATGTATTTGGTGAAATGTGTCTGTTTCTCTCTCTTTTGTTTTATTTTGTTTTGTTTTGTTTCATAAATGCTACACTTCCTTCACCTAAATTCATTATTTTTTGGTAGACACGGCTTTAGCCAAGTTAGCTAGAGTAGATGTGCTCCCCACTATGCACCTGAGTTCGAATCCCCCTCTCCATAGTTTAGATTAATTTAAAATAGATTATCACTATATAAAAAAGAAATCATTATTTTCTGGTTTTTGCCTCCGTATTAGTTAATTCATGTTGTAAATTTGTAAATGTATGAATGGCAAAATTCATCTCAATTGAGCCATTATGCAAAATAGGAGGAAGTTTTGTGATTTTGAGTTTGAAGTTGAAGGTGTTGAAAACCGCCCCATGAAGGCATTTCTAAAGGGTGCTCTAATTTGGGCTCAACCACCGTTGGGTTTTGTAGTTGAACTTGATGGCCTCAAACCGAGTGGGCCCCATTTGGAAGAAAGCTGAAGCCCACTTGCTTCTGTCCAAACTGCAGCTCTCCACTCACCCAGCCTAAACATACATACTAGCCCAAATTATCCTAGATTTGGATGATGTCTATGTTTGCTACCTCGGGATCCATTCACTTTGGTGTGCATATTAATTCAGTAGTAAATAGTATATGTTGTAAAATATGTCTGATATTAGGCTCATTTTAAATATCTCCTTCAGATTTTATTAATGGTATATTTCTCATGATAATAATATTTCTACATTTAAACTTATATCAAAATAATTAGTACTAGTTAAAATGAAAAAAAAACAAGGCATGATAAGGAAAGCAGTTTGAAGAAAAATAAAGATGGAAGTCAACCTATAAAGGAAGGACCCCTTGTATGCTTTTTTTACTGCCGATGTAATGCGAAGCCCAAACCATGAAAACATGAGTCACTAAGGAAAAAACATTCAAATGAAAGATTGTAAGAGACATAACACAGATCTAGCCCAAACCAGACAATGGGTTAGATTTACAAACACAGTACCAAGCTGATTGAAATCTTTTTGGTTGACAAAGTAATGCTGAAGTTAGCCATATCATATAATATATATATCCTGGTATTACCACTACATTACAATCTATATCACATCCACTTCACATTAATGTTTTAATATTTTCATGTAACTATAGAGAGAGAATTGAACCTATAATTCCTTTTTTTTTTTTAGTCAATACTATAAGGTGTTCGAATCAGCTTAGGCACACCTCGATTATTCCCCACTCGCAGAGCTGAGCTTGTCGTTGGCCACCAAGTGTTAAGGAAGATCAAAATTTTAATTAGATCAAAATTAAATAAAAACTTAGTGAGAAGATTAGAACGCCAAATGTGTATACTTGTAAATTTAATATCAGTTCATAAAACTTTCGTTTAATATCAGTAATAACTAATAATACTACAAGATCAAGTTGGTGCATCACAAATAGATGTAATACCATCGGCTGCACACTCTGTCCTTCTTTTATTTTAATTTTTTTAAATCTTTGATCTTATTTAAAAGAAAAAGGAGTATATATATCTTCTTAATTCTTCGATGCATTGTTTTATTTATTGGCTGCTGATGTAAACATTGGTTTCCATCTTTTGGAAAAAGAAAAGGAAAAAAGCACAACCTGAATTAGAATGAGAAGGAGAAGAGAAAGGTGAATCATTAAATTGAGATTTTGTCAATTAAATTAAAAGCGCATTTGCATTAGGGCATAATTTGATGGGTAGATTCCAAAAGCACCATTTCTTTTTTTCTTTTTTGTTACAAAAAGCACCATTTCTTTGAACATTGATTCCTTTCCTAAGCACTGATTCATTTCTTTGGCATATGTTGACCCAACAGATCTCAAGTAAATATATGTTGTAAAATATATCTGATATTAGGCTCATTTTAAACATCTCCTTCAGATCTTATTAATGCTATATTTCCCATGATAATAATATTTCTACATTTAAACTTATATCAAAATAATTAGTACTAGTTAAAAGAAAAAAAAAGAAAAAGAAAAAAGAAGCCAGTTTAAACAAAAGTAGACTAAGTTTCACTTTGATGCATGTTGATGCACTTTGATGCGCTTAAGTCCAAGAAGAGAGAGAGAGAGAGAGAGAGAGATGGAAACCCCCCTTAAAGCCATGCACTGGAAGTTCCCTGGCCTACATGAGAGAGAGACAGAGATAGACATGGAAACTCCACTTAAAGCCACGCACTGGCAGTTCCCTGGCCTACATGAAGTTCCCTGGAGAGAACAGAGGGAGAAGATAGAAGAGAAGAAGACAGAAGGGGAGGGCGGGCTATACAAAAATTACCATGTGGCTATATTTGAATGGAAGATGTATTAGGGTTTAGGGTTACTACAGTAGTATTGTATAATGGGAGAAGAAAAGGAAATAAAAAAGAAAGAGGAGAGAGAGAAGATTGAACTCGAGGTGACAGGAAGAAAAGAGAAGAAAAGGAAATAAAAAAGAAAGAGGAGGGAGAGAAGATTGAACTCGAGGTGACAGGAAGAAAAGAGAAGAAAAGGAAATAAAAAAGAAAGAGGAGAGAGAGAACTCGAGGTGACAAGAAGAAAAGGAAATAAAAAAGAAAGAGGAGACTGAGAAGATTGAACTCGAGGTGACAGGAAGAAAAAAGAATAAGCTCATTTCCGAAGCGTTCAAAAATAGAAATCATCCGAAGCGTTCAAATCATCCCACGCTCAAAAATAGAAAGCCAACAGTACGGAAGGAGAAACAAAGTTTATGGATTTGTAAGCTAAGCTCATTTCCAGAATAATTTAATATTTTTAATTGATGCAAGTTTGTTTTCCAGAAGTATATTTTTTTCAAGCTTATTTCTATGCCGAAAAATAACTTGAAACAAATGTCTTATATAACTAACTTTAAGTTTTTATTTAATTTTCATTCAGTACATTAAATTTTTTATTTTGTAATTATAACTGTAGAAGCTTAGCTTAAGTATATGAAGTGTGAGGTTAATGGGGTAACTAAAATTCATCCAGCAAATATTGAACTGTCCCAAGAACCAAGTGCTCGAGCCAAAATGAAAAAGCAAACCACATTGAGGAGGAGAAAGAATTTAGCTTCTAATTGTCTGTGAGTGTACATTAATTCTCTGCCAGCTCACTGACAACGGCTATGGGAATTTCCAGATTACATTAATTCTTATCCATATTTTTTGTGACAAACTTATTCTAGAGAAATCTAAGGCCTTGTATAAATATATACTCTGTACATCATACCAAAATTAATATAAAACAGTGAAATGTGAATATAGCAATGCGCGCACACACACACACTCTGATTTCATTCCAACGGAATTATGCCTTTTACAATGAATGGAAAAGAACTGATTTAGCCTTACAAAATGTATAAATCTAGGACATATAAGTCCTCCAATATGTATAAATCTAGGACATATAAGTCCTCCAATATGATGGCATCTAAGCCTTACACTTGTCTATGGATTAAACCAGACAACAGATCTCAAGTAAATAGCATATGTTGTAAAATATGTCTGATATTAATGGTATAATTCTCATGATAATACTATTTCTGCATTTAAACTTATATCAAAATAATTAGTACTAGTTAAACGAAAAAAGAGAATGCGTGATAAGGAAAGCAGTTTGAACAAAAGTATGCTTGATATGGTAGCTATATAAATAAATACAAAACGTCAATCTAGCTTGCAACCTAGCTTGCAACCTAGCAGTTTTGACTCTCTCTCACATCTGTACAAATAGTGAATATAATATTCTTCAACCTAGCAGAGCAGAGCAGGGCATAAAGCGATCAAAGTTGCAAGCTTTTTGGTTATCATTTTTATAGAGAGAGAGAGAGAGAGAGAGAGAGAGAGAGAGAGAGAGTTACATGGAGCTTGATCGTTTTGAGAAAGTGTTAAAGGCCAGCGATGTTGAAAGACTTGTGGTGACCACCGCCATGCTTGAAATGCTGCCTCCGGTGGATCCAGATCGTGATATCCCCATCAGAGTTTTCGACAACCAGAAGGGCAAGGTTTACGAGTTCAAATTATCCAGCAGACGAGGGGGCAAAAAGCCAGTTTTCCAGTCTAGAGGATGGAGAGTGTTTGTCAATGACAGAGGGATTGCAGCTGGGGACGTGCTCTATTTCTGGGCGGAGGACGACCCATTTCATGGATCTCAATATTGCATTGCACTGTACAAGCCAAATCTTTTCCCTCATCTTTAATAATTCCAATCAGGTGTTGTAACCCATAATAGGTATTTATCTTGTATGGTCCTCTTGGTATGGAAGGAGAAGCAAAGTTTATGGATTTTGGGTTTGTGGGTAAGGGAGGGGACATTGGACATGAATCATAGGATACAATAAGCTTATTGATGTTGCTATGTTTGTAAATGGCAACAGTATACGATGCTATGTTTGTAATCATCAAATGTATCCTGTGCTTGTGTAAAAATATTAGTGTGACCACAAGCTTCTAGTATAACGACATATAGTGAAGAATTGGTACATGAAAAATGGTGCCTTTTTTTTATTTTTTTATTTTTTCTCTGAACCCTAAACCCTGAACTCTTGCATTAATTAAAACAATTAATTTTCAGTTTGGCACTGCACCTGTGTTAGAGTGTCTTTTAGTTGATAGACACTCCAATTTATAGACCAAGCAACCATCTCACTCTCGATTCAGTTTCATAATTTCCAAAACTGAAAGTTACCTTTGAAAATGTCATTTCTGCCTTTCTCTTCGTGGGTTTCAAACTGGTGCCATTGGGGGAGAAGAGAAGGAACTCAACCACTGAAGTAGAACTACATAAACAAACAAAACGTCAAGTCGAAAAGATACAGTCCCCTACAGGAGCAAAATATATATATATATATATATATGTATGTATATATGCAAAAACATGGATGCCATATGTGCATCCATTAGGGAACAAAGCAACAAGGATACAAACAACAAAACCAACATAGGTCAGAGCAGTACCCAATAATTTATCTAACATAGTTATGGACAGAGCCAGAGTAAATTGCAAGAATAACTAGTAGTACTAACCATAATTCATCGAAAATAGGTTAGCTTAATATTCTTGAAGATCTGAGTACGTGGCTAGGAAACAAGCATTTTCAGCAGTACAATTCTGTATTGTGTTTGATGAAATACAATTCTCTTATTCCCAGAAAAATGGGTAATTCACGAACTGAAGAATCTCAAGATCCCAGAGGAATAAATGGAGGATTCCAAAACTTGGTGCCAAGTGCTTAAAGGCTAAACACATAAAAATATGCCTCTCGAGCTTTTATTTTATTTTGTTCTCATGTCATGCTAGGGCAACCCTAAAAACAGTATTATAGGGCCTCGGTTAGAGTTTACACTGGAAACATAAAACTTAGTACTACAGTAGGATAGCTTGGATTTTAGCTAAATGACTAAAATTTATGTGTTTTTTTTTAATGAGTAATTCATCTAATCCTCTGAATTAAAGAAGATAATATGCATGTTCTTCTTTGATTCCACGTGAAGTCTAGTCATTTCCAAGCTAACATAGTCTAGTCCTCTGCATACGTGGCCTAACCTACACTTTTTCATTCAAGGTCTCAACCACCGTCGTATAAGACAAATGATTTAGATTCAATTTTTGCCGCCACAGTTCCAATGTTAAAAAGGGGGTAGCAACCAATTGGATCTCACTAATTCTTCTTGAAAAAAACAAAAACAAAAACAAATTAATAAAAGCCTCATCGATGCAGCAATTATGGTATCATATATAGACGCATGTCCAATTTAATTGGATATATCCAGACCAAAAGCTCATATCTCGTACTGTACATGAGACTCTATTCTTTGTTACAGTCAATAGGTGCGTTTAATAAATCTCTTCAGCAATCTTATGATGAAATTAAATTCGTGCCTACCAGTAAAAAACATATGAAACATTAGTGATATGACATTTTGATATTACATATAGGTTTTTTAAAAAAGTCAACTAACTAATGGGCTAGCTGTAACTGAAACAAAGAACATGATCTAGATGTACTCTTTTCAAGCACAATTGAAGGAACTAGTTCATGAAAAATATTTGGTTATGTAACATATAGATATCATATTATTACATACCATATATATTTATTGCAGTTTTAGACAAATTGATAAAGGCAATTCCTTTATTGCAGTTTTAGACAAATTTAAGAATTCAATGTTGCTTGGCATCTGCGGAAGATATTTGAGCATTCTCCCAGGTCAAGATGAGTAAGCTTGTCAAGACACTGAAAATATGAAGGCATTTGAACCAAACTTGTACAGCCCAAAATATTTATATGCACCAATTTTCGACTTTGAGAGAGATCTGGGACTTCAACAAGATGAGTAGAGAAACTAAGATCCATCACTTTTTAAGTTCTCAAGATTCTGTCATAAATATAGAGAAATGACAAGACTTAATAACTTAGACAGAAGAAATAATCACACTAAATTTGATACAATAAGCGAAATAAGCATCAGCGAGAGTGGTCTTGTCAATACCCATGCCCAAAATACCTGCACTGAAAACATCTGGTGAATTAATGCATAATGACCCTTCTATTTGCTCAATTTTCCATTCAATTCCGACTAGGCCCTTTAAATCACTTGACGATTTGCGATTCAATTTGGTCAAAATATCTTCGACAACGTTCGCAATGAAATTGGCCTCTGTCCTGGCAAATATGATTGTTGTTCGGGACATTTTGGAAAAAGCAAAAGGAGAGAGAAAAATTTTAAAAGAAGCAAAAATGGACAAAAATGCCCTTATTTATTTTTAGATTTCCTAAGGAATTCAATACATTTGCATGTCTTTGATGTGAAAGTTGAGTGGTTTTTTTGTCTTTTTGGAAAAAGCTTTGGCTTTTTCCAAAAGTGAAATTTTTTTTATGTCTAAAACCTAAAAAACCTTTTTGTATTTTAGCTGAGTTATGGAATGTTGAAGAGAATGAATAGAAGAATGAAGAAATGCAGAGTGATGAAATGTTCTGCTTCTCTCTTGCTGAAATTGCAGAGAGAAATATATTTCTCTTCTATCAGAATGAGCACACAAGGCATGTACTACACAACCGTAAGCCTTAGCTGGATTCACACACAACATATTGAATCTCAGCCACACATCTAGCTATTCTAGGATCACTACACGTGGCTATTTCAGCCTTACATTTTGGAGCCTTACACCTGTCATTCTAAGAGACTAAGTGCATACACAATACAATTCTACAATTATGAGGACAAACAATTCTAAGAGACTAAGTTGAGCAAATGCATATGCATAACTTCCCTGCTGATTTCGAACATGTGATGGGTCGATGCAGTAAAAAATCGGTAGACCAAACTGTCCCCCTCTTGCCTTGCATCGCAGTATATGCACTAGTTCATCCAAACACCATATGGATGAAGCATAGTTTTTCGAGAAAATGATCACCAAAAGCTTTGATGTCTCAATTGCTTCGAGAAGGGCAGGTGCAATTTGCTCTCCTCTCTCAAGTATGTCGTCGATGTAGGTTTTGATTTTCTTTGCGCATAAAGCAGCATAAAGATGGCTGGTCCTCACCTCTGAAACTAAGAAGCACATCATACTTTTCCTGAGGGGGGATGGCAGCAGCAGAGGAAGAAGCAGCCAAATTGGGAACCTGCAAACCCACTACAAGTCAACACTCAAAACTTCGCTATATTCTTGACCGAAAAACCCATGCATATTCATAACAGATGCAAATTAACAACACTAGCTGCACATTGGCTGTACATATTCAGAATGAGAAATATGTTGGACTTTCTTATAATACTAGCTGCACTAAGAGATCAATATGCAAACATCAGAAAAGGATAACAAAGACAGTGATGATGAACTCAAATGTCGGCTCTGCTTCGGGGACCAGACTTGATTTTTCCTACCTCGATAATCTACTTTCCTTGATACATATAGAAGAGTTGTCTTCTGGGGAAAGGCTGATAATATCAACCAGCCGTACAAATATAAGAAGCAAAGTGGCTTCTTAAAGTCCTTACAAACATAATACATCAAAAACAGTTTCTGACAGAATAGGCTCGAGCCCCTTTTCACATACAAGAATTAGCCTGAGCTCTTTTTAACATAATCTCAGATATATAACAACAAGGACATTAACATTAAATTTAACAAAATAAGGAAAAAAAATTTCACAAAATTGAAGATCTTTGTACAACAGAGATATCCAAGATAAGTTAAGAGGCAGTCTCGAAGGGGAAGTCAGGGCACCTCAGGCTCCAGATCAAGAAAGAAGTAAAACGTAAGAAGACGTTGCACCTCAGGATTGTCTTAAGCAAGAGAGAGAGCACTAGAAAGCAGTTTCAGAGAGGTTGCCTTTCTTATTAGGAAGCAATAGATTGTTGCAGTTGCAGGAAATTACCCAACCACTCTCTGCTAAAGAAAAGGCACTATATCGGGGAAATGGCATGCACACCATTGTTTGGAAGTCAACTTTGTTAAGTTCAACTTAGATGAAAGTCAGCTGTATTCTGTGCAATTCTTTATACTAAATATTTAGCAATACTCTCAAAAGAATGTGCTGTCTTTGCAGCTTTCCTGATGGCGTCAAAGGTCAGTATAGGGCATATGCCATGCAGCTTTCCTGCCACCTACACTACACCCGTATTATAGTTCTACATATGATATAACAAGTCCCTTTTTCCGAATTTGAGCATTGAAATTGCATACAGTGAGCTCAACTAAAATCAGGATTGCAAACATTACTAACTGCAGTAGTTTAAAATTTTCTTTTTCTCTGGATGTGGAGCAAACTAATAAATCATTACTGTGATGGAGGAGGGAACTACATTGCTTCAATTCAAAACAAAAAGAGGACTTGGTCAAAACAAGTAATATTGTGATCACTATTTCTCTCCACAGTAACTCTTTATCTGAGGTGATTTCTGATTGCTTATTATTTTCCAGTGTAACAAGGCAAAGAGAATTTGTTAGAGATGTAAATCAAGTCCAATTTATAATTAACACATTGAATACTCAGAAATCAACCTATGATTATCAAACTGTTTAATTTAATTTAAAGCAAGACTGCAAAACGCAGCATTAAAATTTCAACTTACTGAAGCAAGTTCTTCAATGACAATGCTCTGTTTCCATCCCTCTCAAAAATTTCACACACACATCGAGCATGTTGTTCGCAATGATCAAGTGCCTCGAGCTGATGAACACTTAATGCAGCGGCACAGAACTCTTCAAAATCCATTCTTCTGTGTTGAAGTGCATTTAGCCAGTCAGTACTTTTACAACACATCTAATACCATAGAAAAAGTCATGGAACATCAAAGCAAACATTAGCAACCAAATTATTACCGATGCAATGAGATCAGAAATCCAACACATCTAATCCTTCATTGCATCTGTAGCATTTTTCATCAGAGCCTGCCGAGGACAAAATGAGAAGAACAGTTTTGAGCAATAAATTATCTGAGAGAGAGAGAGAGAGAGAGAGAGAGAGAGAGCAACCATTCTAATTGGGACTTGAGGAGTAAATAGGAGGATGCCTCAGGGGTAAAACAGGAAGAGAGAGAATTGAGGTTGTGGAGATGGCGTTTGAGGTACTTGATTGCTTTTTCTGCGAGCAGGGTGTCGGGGGAAAGAAAGATGGCTTGTGAATATGAGGTTTCAGGAGGGGCATTTCTGAAATTGAAGAAGTTATAGCAGAAGCACAACGGTAGCTGACGGAGAAGATGAACTTTACAGTCGAAGTAGGATGCTATTTCATTTTTCATTTTTTCATTTTTGTTGTGGGTCTCTTAACTTTAGGCCCGTAGAGCCTAACCAGTGGGTCAACTGAAAGGCCCTGTTTGATGGGCTGATTTGGACTGGACAAGTCCAATTAATTGAACGTTGGTCTAGTCCATTGTTTTATGCTATGGGTTTTCAATTGGGTTTAATCTTGTGAGATTATTTTTACTCAGCAGGCTACAATTGGTCGAAAATAGCAAGCTCTTGTTAGTGGGATTTTGCAAGAGGTGCTATCGAGGGTTCAGGGTTGTAATATGTTGTACCTCGTACAAGTATACACACTTGGGGGAACTTCGTTTCTAATCCTCTCACTAAGTTTTATTTACTTCTAATCTAACTTTGCATTTTGAACCGTTGTTCTTGCAACATGTGAAGCTTGTGATTCCGACAAAAGATACGCTCTTTCTGATTCCGATTTATCATCCATCTTCGTCAATTAAAACCAATAAAAGCTCTGATGCCAATTATTATGCTTAGAGTGCCAAATTGGAACTAATAATAATAAATAAAATAAATTATGATTTAAGTTGAGGTGAGAAACTTTACAAGTTTTACAAAATTGAGCGGCTCATAATAACCTTACGGAAGCCACTTTTATAAATAACACAAAATGACTTTCCAACAAATAAGTAAAACCAAAAACTAATAAATAGTAATAAGAAAATCTAAGGGTAGCCAAGCCACGTGCATAATGACTACCTACATCAAATCGAGCCATTTCCTAAAATAGGAGGCTGCCTTATGGGTAAAACAGAAAGAGAGAGAAGTGAGGTTGTGGGGATGGCGTTTGAGGTATGTGATTGCTCTTTCTGTGAGCAGGGTGTCAGAGGGAGCATAGGGGAAGGAAGATGGCTTGTGAATATGAGGTTTCAGGAGGGGCATTTCCGGAATTGAAGAAGTTAGAGGTTTATCAGAAGCACAGCAGGAAGTAGAACGGAGAGGATGAAAATTACAAGAGTCAAAGTAGGATGTTTCAATCCTTGTAGCTGGGGTTGGACATTTAGAACCCTTGGGTCCATTAGAGATATTTTTTTGCTCAAGCTGAAACGAAAAGTGAGAAAATGCTTGCCTCTTAGAAGATTATGTTTCAGGCCAATCACAATTGAATATGTGTGCTTAAAATTTTCTTATATTTATAATGAAAGATTTCTGTAAATTGTGATTTGCATAAAGAAAGAACGTCTTCTTCAAAAGCAATCGTGGTATATTGCTCCCTCTCTTTTTGCGGATTAATATGTAAAATATTTCTCTCTCTCTCTCTGAGCTACGGGGCCGACTATTTTAGATGTAAAAATACATGCTAGCTAGTTTTGCATTTACGTAACTTTCTCACATATTCTAATTAAGATGCTCAAAGGTTTTAATGAGAATAAAAGTGATGGTGATTGGCTTAGCTCGATCAATATGGCATTTTTTAGTGAAGCGATTAAAAATCGAAAACAAGTAGGTAAGCAAGTAGTCTTTGTAGTTTTGGCTAATCATGTTGTGATCCAAACTTTTATTACCAGATTTATTTTTCTTTGATTTACTTCTTGCATGATGAGTTTCTCGGTTACCTATCAAACAGTCAAGACAATCTATTAGAAAGGTTGAAGGGCAAAAGGTCTTTTAAGAGTGAACATGCTTGATATTTATCAGATTTGTTGAGATTCAAAAAATGTCTCGATCATAAGTTTCACCAAGGAACAAAAAAGCAGTCCTCAAACTACATGTCATTTGCCTTTTTCTTAGAAAAAAAGAGGGGGACAAAAAAAAAAGCAAATTTGTAGAAAGAAGAAACTAAAAAAGTTGATTCATCTTGTAACGACCCGGTCCTAAAGAAATGTTTAATTATTAATTAAACATGATAAAAGACCATTTTGCCCATAGAATATTATATTAGTTTTAAAGTTGACTTTTTGACCGGGAAGAAATTTGAGAATTTCGACTGTATCGTTGCGTAGAGTGCAGCGAGATGAGTTCATAGACACATAGTGGGCTCGAATCGGAGTTGTAACGAGAGAGATACGATCAAAATACCCTCAGTGGCATAATCGTAAATATTGCAAAAAGGGTTGATAAAAGTCAGAAAAGTCCTCAGCTCTCTCTTTCTCTCCTCGCTATGGCAGCTCTCTCTCTCTCTCTCTCTCTCTCTCTCTCTCTCTCTCTCTCTCTCTCTCTCTCTCTCTCTTTTCGAAACTCCGCTGCAGACGGGACCGGTGCCAAAAGGACCAACTCAGCCCCGGCGTCATGACCCGATCCTTCCCCGACATCGGCCGCCGCTCCAGTCGCTAGAAAAAGGTGATTTTCAAGCCGGTTTTCACTCGAACTTCGCCGGCTTCGATCTCTCTCCTCCGACCGCCATTTTTGGCGATCAAGGTATGGAAATTCATCATTTCTTCATAATCTAGCTGATGGTTGGGTAGGATTGCATCAATTTTTAGCCTAAGTTGTCTAATTTTCGAATTGGATTTCGGCCAGATTTCAGGATGAGATTCCGGCCACTTTCGGTCAGTTTTTGGAGTATGCCCAAGAACAAAAGTGACTCTAATTAGGGTGTTTTACCTAGGGTAGGAACCTCGAGTCGTGATCTGAAGTTTTTCCGGCGAAAGGTTATCGCTTTGGACACCCACGCGCTGCCAGCGTGTGTGGCGGCGCGTGGGCACTGTAGAAAAAGGGCATTGTGTCCCAATGTAATCTCCTTGTCCTCACGAGCGCGTAGGTGTGCTCGGATTTCAATTTGGATACTGTTTGAGTTTCGAACGGATATCGCATATTGTGCGTTATCCGGATTCGATAGGTTTGAACCGTTGGATAGTCTTAATTTTATAATATGTTAATCTAGACATTCTTAGGATTGTGTAGGAGTCGACGGATTGTAAAATGGAGTCCCGTATACTCCGGAGAGGCCAACCCTAGGGTTAGGTTTATAGTAACCGTCCGATCGTACGATCGTGAGCGATCCGACCGTCTGATCTGGACCAAACTTGCAGGACATGTGTCCTAAGCCTGGTAGAACACATAGGAACTTTCGGATTGGAATTTGGAGGTCGTGGGCCCCTTGGGCCCGTTTGACTAAGTTTGGGTAACTTAACCCTTGGTTGACCGTGGGTCTTCCGGAGTAGTCTTACTTTCATAGGAGGATTAAAATGACCACAGAGACAAGTCCTGAGCGTTAGTTGAGTTATGTTGGTTATGGGGGATTAGGATATTAATTTATTGTTTTAAATTGAGAGACTATCGGATGCGATATCGTGGTTGAGGTTGATGAAATAATGGAAATTAAGATATATATATATATATATATTATAAAGTTATTAAGATGTTTGATTCCACTATATGCACCATCCTGTGATATGAGATGAGAGGTCACACGTGGCGTTGGATTTTTCGGCGTGTTGACAGACCCCATACGTGGCGTTGGATGTTTCGGCGGATGGGGGGATTATGTGATATGAGATGAGAGGTCACACGTGGCGTAGGATTTTCCGTCGTGTTGACGAACCCCATACGTGGCGTTAAAGGTTCCAGCGTATGGGGGGATTATGTGATATGTGATTGTTAGGTCTCGCGTAACGTAGGATTTTTCGGCGTTGAGACAGACCCCATATGTGGTGTTAGATGTTCCGGCGTATGGGGAGATTATGTGATATGATGGCTAGGTCCCACGTGGTGTATGATTTTTCGGCGTGAGGACAGACCCCATACGTGGCGTTAGATGTTCCGGGGTATGGGGAGATTATGTGATATGAGATGAGAGGTCACACGTGGCGTTGGATTTTCCAGCGTGTTGACAGACCCTATATGTGGCGTTGGATGTTCCAGCGTATGGGTGGATTATGTGATATGAGATGAGAGGTCACACTTGGCGTTGGATTTTCCGACTTGTTGACAGACCCCATATGTGGCGTTGGATGTTCCAGCGTATGGGGAGATTATGTGATTATTAGGGAGATAAATTAAAGATTATGTTCGGTGAGTTGTGACTTAAAGTAAAGGGTTTTAGAGAAAGAACTACGTGTCGCTTGATCCCTTAGTAAGGGTACCTAGGCAGCCTAGGATAGTGCCTAGGTGTAGCCGCAGGCTAACTTTACTCATGTTGTTTGATTGAGATTGGTTCGGACCTTGTCGTTGGTCCTGAAATTTGGGTGAAAGTGAGATGCAGTCATGTTAGGAGGTTAGAGCCTCGCATGTTGAATGTTTGGGAAGTTAGATGATGAAAATTGCATTTGGCATTAATAATTATGTTTAGCTTATAATTTGCATTGATTAAGGTACTATTTTTGACTTAAAGAGTTTTGTTGGTAGGTTGTTCGGATTAGTTGAAGGCCGGAGGCCGTTATGTGTGAATTGCATGTTATTACATTGTGCATGCTGCCAGTTGTGGATATTAAATGTGTTTTGTGCATGTTGAAATTTGGAAAATGTTCAATTTACAGGGGAGACTCTGCCGAAATTTCGGTAGAAAGTCTCGTCCCCTTATTCCTTTTTGGAAAAAGAAGATATAGTTTTAGAAGTGGGCCCGACATCGGAGTGATGTCGGGAATTCCACAGGATTCGTCTCGGGTTTCGAAAAATTCGGGGCGGGTCCTGTCATATATGGCGAGCAACTAGCTGGTGAAGCAACATTCTTCTAATTCCTAGCATCCGTGTAGTGTGTGTGAGTTTAATATGCTATTGCCCCTCTCAATAGGAAAGGTCTTCAAAAAAAAAGAAAGATGGAAAATATTTTGGGTTTTGAACAAACAATACATATTAAGAAGAAATCACACACATATACATATCCTAATCAAGAAAATATAAATTAATGATAATAAAATGCATCATCAAACTTAGGAAATGAAAAAAGAATATGGCGGAGCCATAAAGAAGGCAACCTATAAAAGCAATTTACTATATTATTATCTATTTCCAAATATAGCCCACTATGTATTTTTATTTTATTTTAAAATAAGCGATAGTATGTTATTGATAAACGAACAAAAGTACAAAGAAACTATGTGCCAAATAATATGGATAAAACTCCTTTAGTGACCAAACACAACAACATATTGAATTGATCTGGAGAGAATCATGCACAACCCAAACAATGACTAAATCCCTGATTCAGCGACTAAAAGCACATGTACTCAGACTTATGATACATATTTGCCACCAGTTGCGGACCCACAGAGGTGCAAGGAGGTGCAGGTGCACCTCCCCTCGCCAAAATATGCGTTGGAGATGCATAAATTTGCCCCTTTACTTGTGCCCACCAAGTGTTCCATTAAAAGCCTTAAAGAGGCTGTTTTGTTGCTTTTGGGCAACCTGTCCACTAATCTTAATCTGTTGAGATTAATTATGTTAAATTATATATTAGAAATTTAAAATAAACAATTTCATCTCGTGTTCTTACTTATTTTGTGTAACTACATTCATTTTGTACATATTTGTAGGCGATAGATGCATGCTTTGTTTTTTTGATTTTAACATGTATTTGTCCATGGTAAAACTCATGGAAAGAAAAATTAAGGTACTATTTTGGTTTACAAAATTATACTCAAATCTTCATCTTCAAAAACAATAACTACACATGAACGAAAAAAAAATGAAAATTTTAAGAGAGCCACTCCAATCTTGGACCATTGAAGCTTTTTTCTTTTTAAATTGATCAAGAAGGAGAATTCGAACATAAAACTTTCGTTTAATATCAGTAATAACTATAATACTACAAGATCAAGTTGATCCATAAAAACATATTTTGGCATCACAAAACAGATGTAATGCCATCGGCTGCACCCTCTTTCTTTCTTTTCTTTTAGTTTTTTATTATTTATCTTTGATCTTATTTAAAAGGAAAACGAGTATATATATCTTGTTAATTCTTGGATGCATTGTTGTACTATCCAAAAGAGTATCCAAATTGGCCGTACTGTAGGGTCCTCCCTGAAAGCGTATTGTATTTCTGCCTTATTATCAGAGGTTCACATTTCTAAGTAATAATTAGGGAAGTTGAACGAAGCATTAATTGTCCTTGTGATTGGGAATTGAGATTGTGTTTTGTGTGGATTAAAATCATCCAGTAAATCAAACTTGCCTTAACACTGTTATACCATTGGGAAAAGTACATATGCATGCTTGTTAAGTATAGTTGGACATGCATATGCACACTCTCTCACTCACTCCTCTTTAACGCCACTAGGTTGCTACCTGATTAATGTGCGTATGATACTACTTACAGGTTCCTATTTCAAACATAGCCATATGTTCTCGTGAAATTGGAGGCTGAATGAGAATGAACAAAGCTAGATGAGAATGTGGGCAGGAAACATGTCTGTATGTATATCTCTCTCTCTCTCCTCTCTCTCTCTCTCTCTCTCTCTCTCTCTCTCTCTCTCTCTCTCTCTCTCTCCCTCTCTCGCTAACGTATTATGGGTGGGAATTGCTGAGTTGATGTTATACAACAATTAAATAAATACAAGAAAATAAATTTGAAAAAATAGGGAGGCTAGGCAACGAGAGTTTGAGAGGAAAACTCTAGAATTTGTTATATCATTCATTTACAAAGGACAAGCTAATATAATGCCTAAGCAAGGCTGTACAAGGTAAGTAGTAAAGCTGCAGATATTCTCGATCCTACAATCAAGGTGATATGATTCTACAATCAAAGGGCTATATAGAGTAAATACAAGATTATTGCCTATCAATCAAGTAATACATTCCGTATATTCTAACACTCCCCCTCAAGTTGGAGCGTGGATATTGTGCATGCCCAACTTGCGAAGGTGCGCGTGAAATAGCCCTTTACCCAAAGCCTTAGTGAGTAAGTCTGCGATCTGATGCTTTGAGGGTGTGTAGTGAGTCGTGATTTGTCCAGCTTGTAATTTTTCTCGAACCAAGTGACAATCGAGTTCTATGTGCTTGGTTCGTTCATGGAAAACGGGATTGGCCGCAATGTGTATTGCAGCTTGATTGTCACAATACACGTGAGCTGGTCCCGAATGATACACTTGAAGATCTTGTAACACATATCGAATCCATGTGAGTTCACACGTTATTGCAGCCATGGATCTGTACTCCGCCTCCGCTGATGAGCGTGAGATGGTGGATTGCTTCTTTGTCTTCCAAGAAATCAATGAATTTCCTAAGAAAACACAGTATCCTGTAACTGATCTTCTTGTCGTAGGACATGATGCCCATGAAGCATCACAATAACCACGCAGCTGCAATGAATTTTGTGATGGGAAAAACAATCCTTGACCTGCTGTGCCTTTTAAGTATTTCAACACACGCATAGCCGCATCGAAATGAGGTTTACGTGGCTGATTCATATATTGACTTAGAACTTGAACTGAAAATGAGATATCGGGCCTTGTTATGGTGAGATAAATAAGTCTTCCCACAATTCTCCTATATTGGGTCGGATCTTTCAGTAAGTCTCCAACCATTGGCTGTAATTTCAGGTCTTGTTCCATGGGAAACTCCACAGGTTTTGCTCCAAAATAACCAACATCATCAAGGATATCCAGAACGTATTTCCTTTGTGAAATGGAAACACCACTCTTTGAACGTGCCACTTCTATGCCAAGGAAGTATTTAAGCAGGCCAAGGTCTTTGATGCGGAATGTATGGTGAAGAAAATCCTTCAAGTGTTGTATGGCAGCAGGATCATTGCCTGTGATGATCATGTCATCAACATAAATGAGTACCACAGTGATAGAAGGACCATTTATACGTGTGAATAATGAGTAGTCAGCCTTTGATTGACGAAAACCAGCTTGTTGTATCGCATGTGTAAATTTGGAGAACCATTGGCGAGAGGCCTGCTTCAAACCATATAGAGATTTCCGAAGGCGACAAACCAAGTTCTCCCCTTGTCGACGCATGCCTGGTGGTGGCACCATATAGACTTCTTCCTCCAAATCACCATGGAGGAAAGCATTCTGCACATCTAATTGGTGGAGAGGCCAGTCACGATGAGCAGCAACAGTCAGTAAGCAACGCACAGTAACTAACTTGGCAACGGGGGCAAATGTCTCATAGTAATCCAAACCTTCAGTTTGTGTATAGCCTTTAGCCACCAACCGTGCTTTGTAGCGCTCGATTGTACCATCAGACTTGTGTTTGATTTTGTATACCCACTTGCTGCCAATGGCCCGCTTACCAGGAGGCAAAGGTGTAAGCGTCCAGGTTTGATTGTGTGCAAGGGCCTGCAATTCAACTTTCATGGCTTCACGCCACTTGGGATCAAGATTAGCTTGAGCAAAGGAGGTGGGTTCAACACATGTAGTGATATTGTGGATAAAAGTGTGATGTGATGGTGACAAGTGAGAAGAAGAAAGATATTTAGAAAAAGGGTAACGAGTACCTGACCTGGAAGAAGATGTTGAATTGGGTTTGGGGGTCGTCACCTGTGAGCAATCGTAGTCTTGAAGGCGCACGTTGGGTATCTTGGAGCGCATGCCACGGCGAAGTTCTTGTGGTGGAGGTGTCAGTGTAGAAGGGCTGTTAGGTGTAGGTAATGAGGAAGAGTCATGAAGAATGGTAATTGGAGAAAAATTGGATGGTACGGGTGAAGACAAAGGTTGGGTATGTGGATCAACAATGGGTTGCTCAAATGAGGGGTTTGATTGGTTGGGCTCAAGTGAATGGGTGTCTTGAGTGATTGGGATGGACGGTAAAACTGGAGCTGGAGGTAGCTCTAGTTTTGTGTCATGGGAAATATCTGAGAATGGGGATATATGTTCATGAAAAACTACATCCCGACTGGAGAAAAATTGATGTGTTTTGAGATCAAATAGGCGATATGCCTTTTGGCCAGAAGGATAACCCACAAAAATGCATCTACGAGCCCTAGCATCAAACTTTTGTGTGTGGGCTGTTTGGGTGGCATAACAAAGGCATCCGAAGACACGCAAATGGGTGGAGGGGAAAATTTTGTAGAGCATTTCATGTGGAGTCTTTCTCGAAAGCACTAAGGTGGGCACACGATTGATTAAATATGCAGCGGTGAGGACACTCTCCCTCCAAAATTTAAGGGGTAGGCCTGCTTGAAAACGTAATGCACGTGCAATTTGAAGGAGGTGTCTGTGCTTTCGTTCCACAACCCCCATTTTGTTGAGGGGTGTGGGGGACAAGAATGTTGCCAGATTGTGCCCAATTGGTTAAAAAATGGACGCATGGACAAAAATTCTGTTCCATTATCACTACGGACTTGCTTGACAGTGCAATGGAACTGTGTGGAAACATAGGCAAAAAAAACTTTCAATTTTTCTTGTGTCTCAGACTTAAAATTCATGAGAAATATCCAAGTAAAACGCGAATAATAGTCAACAATTGTTAAGAAATATCTGGCACCTGAGTGAGAAGGCAAGTGATGAGGACCCCAAACATCACAATGTATTAAATCAAAAGCTTTATTTGTTGAAATGGAACTGAGCGAAAAAGGTAATCTGGTTTGTTTAGCAAGAGGACATACATCACAATGGGAATTAAAATCAAAAGAAATTGAAGGGATAGTTTGAGATAAAACTCGAGATGGACCACTAGACAAGTGACCCAATCGTTTGTGCCAGAGATTTGTTGTTGAAGAGGGTTGTGCAACATTCGCAATTGTGGGACTATGCTCACGAAGAAAATCTTCGGTGACTGGTACTAAATAGTACAAACCATCACGCTCCTTCCCCAATCCAATCATCTTCCTCGAGGTTAAATCCTGCAGGATACAAAAGGTGGGAAAAAATAAGACCAAACAATTGAGGTCACGAGTGAGTTTGCTAACAGACAACAAATTAACTCGAAATCCGGGGACACAAAGAACATCATGTAATTTTAGGCGAGAGGTGAGATTGATAGAACCAACACAAGTGATTTTTGCTTGTGTTCCATTTGGCATGGTGACTGAGGAATTAAAAGGTGAGGACTTTTCTGGAATTAATTTGGAGGAAAAAGTAATATGATCACTTGCACCGCTATCAATGATCCAATAATCTGGATGATCCGTGGCAAAGGCATAGCACTGAGGTTTAGTCATACCTGCTGCGTTCGCAAATGCTTGATTTTTACCATCACCTCGAAGGATTGCCTTGATTTGGCACACTTCATCAGCTGTAAATTTTAAATCTTCAGGGGTCTTGGCAGCAGATGTCTTGGCTCCCTCCTTGTTGGTATTGTTGGCTGCTGCACGCTTGTTTCTATTTGGTGGCTTGATTGTCTTTCCATGCAACTTGTGCCAGGTTGGAAATCCATGAAGATAATAACACCGATCGATGGTATGAGTGTCACCATCACAGTATGTGCAGTGAAGGTTTTTGTTATCTTCGCCTTGCACTGGGCGAGGCTGCTTATTGGTGTTTCTCGATATATTCATTGCATGAGAAGAATTATTCTCCCCACTTTCAGCTATTTGCCTTTGTTTTTCTTCTTGTACAAGCATCCCATATACCTTACGCTCAGAAGGTAAGGGTGACATTAGTAGGATCTGTGTGCGAACTGCGGAGTAGGTTTCATTCAGGCCCATAAGGAATTGAAGAACTCGCTCTTGTTGTTCTCTGTCAGTGAGTTCCTTTAGGACTCCACAAGCACACATGGGATTACACTTACATGATGGCACGGGAGCATATGATCCCAACTCATCCCAAAGACCTTTCAGTGTGTTGTAATACACGGATATAGACTGCTGATGTTGTCGAAGTTCGGCAATATCTCGTTTAATCTGGAAAATCCTGGAAATATTCCCTTGAGAGAAGCGTTCTTTGAGATCTAGCCAAACCTCAGCAGCTGTATTTGCATAGATGACGATGTTAGCCAGAGAGGGGCTGATGGAGTTGAGGATCCAAGACTTGATCATCTGGTTACATCTTCTCCAGATGGGGTATTTGGCGCTGGTTGTGGCTGGTGCTTTGATCGTCCCATCCACAAAGCCAAGTTTGTTCTTTGCCTCCAAAGTCATTATCATTGCAAGACTCCAAGTTGCATAATTGTCACCATCCAAGAGTTGAGTGACAAGTGTCAGACCAGTTTGGTCTGAATGATGTATATAAAAGGGATCAGAGACATCGTTGGTCTCTGTGTTTTGAGATTTAGGCTTGTGGCCTGTGTGTTTCGGTGTTTCTTCGTCGCTAGCCATGTTCTAGAGGTTGCAGAAGGTGATGAAGATATAAGAGTCACCGAGATCGGTGCTCTGATACCATGAAAAAATAGGGAGGCTAGGCAACGAGAGTTTGAGAGGAAAACTCTAGAATTTGTTATATCATTCATTTACAAAGGACAAGCTAATATAATGCCTAAGCAAGGCTGTACAAGGTAAGTAGTAAAGCTGCAGATATTCTTGATCCTACAATCAAGGTGATATGATTCTACAATCAAAGGGCTATATAGAGTAAATACAAGATTATTGCCTATCAATCAAGTAATACATTCCGTATATTCTAACAAAATTAGTTATATATCCATCAAATTCAACCAAATTGCAATCAGACAACATAATAAACCTGGGACTTCCAACCCACATATTTTCTGCACTGACTCCCATTAATTCCGGAGCATAACTAATAAGAATAAATAAAGCAAGTCCCTTGAGATGCTTCAATTCCAGACCAAAAACCCAGTTTTCATTTGTATTTCCTGCATTTGGCATCTAGTGCATGCCACACAAATCCTCAAAATGAAACATGATAGCATATGCTGACCCAACAGATCTGTAAATAGCATATGTTGTAAAAAAGGAGATGATTAAATTTACTTTGGTGTGCATATTAATTCACTAGTAAATAGTATATGCTGTAAAATATATCTGATATTAGGCTCATTTTAAACATCTCCTTCAGATCTTATTAATGGTATATTTCTCATGATAATAATATTTCTACATTTAAACTTATATCAAAATAATTAGTACTAGTTAAAATGAAAACAAAAAAAAAGCCAGTTTAAACAAAAGTAGACTAAGTTTCACTTTGATGCACTTAGACTAAGTTTCAGTTTCACTTTGATGCACTTAAGTCCAAGAAGAGAGAGAGAGAGAGAGAGGAGAGAGAGAGAGAGAGAGAGAGAGAGAGAGGGAGCCCGTTGTTTCCGCGCATGTATGGATCAGCAAAGGGGAAAATAATCATTACGGGAAAGGCCAATGAGAAAATCAAATGTAAGGAAACAGCAAAAAGGAAAACAAAATGATTGCCGATACTGAAAGGGAGACAGCAAAAATCAAACGCCACTCTTGGCCTCTCCCTTTTATTGCGAACTTGGACACTTCGAGATGATATGTTTGAATCATTACGGAGTCTTGGAATCTTCAATTGTCGTCATTAATTTGCTCTTTTTGATGCAGATCAATTAATTAACTAATTAGTTAATGCAATCATTCAAATGAAAATGTTTTGGATCCGACCAATTAGAAAGAGGGAAAGGAGTCCAGGAAAATCTTGTTTTATCAGATCCTTATGAAAGATTTAAAAACTGTTTACTTTGTTTAAGAAGATTCTGATCAATTTAGTTTTTCTAAGAAAGCGGCCACAAAGTGAGATCTAAAAGAATCAACCATTTGCTAGTTATGTTAGCTTAAAAATCTCTAATTCATGTGATGGGCATAGATGAAAGCTTAAGGGTAGTTCTTCCTAAAACTCACGACTATGTCCAGGGCAAGGGCATCCATGGAGGATGCAAGATAGTTTTTTTTATTAAATAAGAGTAAAGTCTTAGTCTCACATGAACTTCATTGATAAGGCTATGAACTTTGTTAATTTAGCCAAAGTTTGATGGATTTATGCCTAGCGTGCTGTCATATAATGCAATTTTAGATGCAATAAAGGCAGTGACCTTCCCTCCCACTCCCTTAGGATAGGAACGGCGGCTAGGGTTTGAGAGGGAAGATGTGGAGAGCATTTGAGAGAAAAAGGAAAATAGAAGATGTGGAGAGCATTTGAGAGAAAAAGGAAAATAATCTAATATTAGAGGGACCAAAAAAAGGAATTAATGGCATGCTTTGTGAGTGAATTATAACACAAAATATGAAGTATAAAAACATTAATATGAAGCTGGGTGGATAAATATTATCTTACATGGCAACATTTTAAATTTTGATTTTTTCTTGAAAGTTAAAAAATGGCTGAGTTTTATTTTTATTTTTTGCTGCAAGGATAAAAAGAAAACAAAACAAGAAGGAAATTTTGCATATGAGAACGGAAATAGGACATCACGTAAACATAGCCCCTTGAACTGTTCCTGTTTGGATGAATTTTGTGGGGGGGGGGGTGGGGGTGAAACCCAAAAACCAAAAAGATATAATCAGAGAGAGAGACCCCACGAGAGAGAGAGAGATGGAAACCCCACGAGAGACGGCACGACAGAGAGATGCAAAGGCCACTTAAAGCCAGGCACTGGCAATTCCCTGGCCTACATCTTTCAAGAGGGCCACTCCAAAATCATTTCCTAACTGGTCACCCTGATATCAGATTTCTCTTTATATAGTAGTATCTGAGTGAGCTGAGCTCCTCTAAAGCAATGAAACATCAGAAGATAAGTAGCTAAGTGATCATTTTGTAGTTTGGTACTGAATTCATTTGTAAAGAGGGAGTGATGATATCGATGTGGCTTGCACACGGTGTGCAGAAAGTGATCACGGCCACCGATGTTGGGAGACTTGTAGTGACCAGAAAAATTCTTGCTGTGCTGCCTTCTGTCAATCCAGGTAATGCTATCTCAACCAATGTTTTCGACAGCCAAACAGATCGGGTTTACGTGTTCAAGTTAGCTGGTAGGCGCGGCAGATACCTGAAGCCAGTTCTCCAGTCTCGAGGATGGAAACGCTTTGTCAACGACAGAGGCATTGCTGTTGGGGACATCGTCTGCTTCTGGGAGGAGGAAAACCCAACTTATCAAACACACTACCGAATTGCACTGTTCAAACCACATCTTTTTCCCGGCCACCCAGATCTTCATGGTGTCTAGAAATTAATGAGTTAGCAGCAACAACATGTTTGTTTTGTGTTATAATAATCCATAAGCCCTACCAATCTCTATGGTCTAGCCGGTCATTCATAGAGTGTGTGCTTCTTCGTCTTCATGTCAGTGTCACTGTGAATAATCACCATCTGTGCATTTTAGTGATTTTTATTCCTTGGGTGTTTGTCTGTGTGTACTTGTTGCAAGTACTGTTATAATGTACTAGCATTGTGGCTTATATATGTTGAATTAAAAAAAAACATAAACTTTGCTGTTGTTATGAAGATATCTGGATGATTTTCTGTACTTGTCATGATGTGATTCATTAACCCAGATGCAGGTACTCGACATGAACTGTGGATACTAACTATGAAATCTTGTATGTTGGGCTCAACTATGCAGCCACAGTAATGAGAAATGGTAACAAAGTTTACAATTAATTTCTTCAAGGTATTTAAGATAGGGCCGCCCGCGCTACTCTAGAAGTAGAGAGAGAACAGAGGGGAGGGAGGAGGGGAGAGAGAGAACAGAGGGAGAAGATGGCAGAGGAGGAGACGGAAGGGGAGGGCTGGCTGTACAAAAATTGACACGTGGATATATTTGAATGGAAGATGTATTTAGGGTTACTACAGTAGTATTGTATAATGGGAGAAGGAAGGGTGCAGATACATTGAATTTAGACAAAACTTTGGGTGCCAAGGAATGAAGGTGGGTAGGATTTTGGGTTGTGGGTAAGAGAGAGGGGTGTGATATGATGGTGTGGTTCAGGGAAGGGGCGTTTGGGTCGGTGAGAGAGAGAAGTGGCGATGGCTGGCGAGTGATGGGATGGGGGTAATGGGGTTTAGGGTTTCATATTATTATTTTTAATATTTTATTTTTGTATTCCCCTACAACTGGTGATGGAATCCGCACTAAAAGCGAAGGCATGAGACTAGGTTTCAGTTTCACTTTGATGCATTCAGTTTCACTTTGATGTACTAGTTCATTAAGCTCTTAGAGTCAAAACCAGCAAAATGAACAAACAAGCACTTTGAACATTCAAGATTTCTTTCACATGTAATAGTGAATGAAGATATTAATAGTAACAATAATACCAAAATAGTGAATGGTAATTAGCTTGAGATCCATTTTGAGGTGTGGCCTTTTTATTTATTGGCTGCTGATGTAAACATTTGTTTCCATCTTTTGGAAAAAGAAAAAAGCACAACCTGAATGAGAATGAGAAGGAGAAGAGAAAGGTGAATCATTAAATTAAGTTTCTGCTTCACCGAAAGGACAAACTTCCAAAGGGCTGAAAGATTGGTAATAAAAAGAGCTCGATTACCAAACCGAAAGGACAAACCTCTGGTCTGGCAAAATCTTTCTATTTCCTGCATTTGGCATCTAGTGCATGCTACACAAATCCTCAAAATGAAGACAATCGCATAAAACTTGATAGTGAATGCCTTCAATTGTCATTTTTTCTCTTCCTGTCTCGCGTGGTTTTTCACCATACATATGCTTCCAGCTACTTCATCACTTCCAATGACAGGACAAGTGGGTCGCATGTCACCCCAATATAAGGAGTTATATCCATGATGACATGCATCAAAGTTCCAAAATCACCAAAATTATGGTTCAAATGAATATTATCCACTTTTATTCATTTTTAAAATCCTTCTTTCTTCCTTCTTGGGCTGTTGCAGACTTCTTTTTCAATGTTTATTCATCCCCTCCAATGGGCAGCTGCACCTTTCTATTTCTCCTGTACCAAATTCCCTCTTGCACTATTCCTTGGGTCTTCCCTTCTTCAACTTTGATGATCTTTATTTTCTTTCTCTGTTCCCTTTTTCAATGTTTATTCATCCCCTCCAATAGACGACCTGTAGTGCAGCATCTTCAGCATAAATGTGATATAAATAATATTATTGTATAATTAAACAATAATCAAGGCTCTTACTCTCTTCAAGGATCCAGCATTCTCATTTGGTTTTCACGATCAAATGACAATTTTTCAAGCTAAGCTCTCATTGCCCTTATGTATATTTTTCCAAAGTATATTTTTCAAGCTTATTTCTATGCCGAAAAATAACTTGAAACAAATGTCTTGTATAGCTAACTTTAAGTTTTTTTATATTATTTTCTTGTAAGTGTTTAATTTTCAATCAGTACACTAAAATTATTTTGTAATTATAACTGTAGAAGCTTAGCTTTCGTATATAAAATGAGGTTAATTGGGTAACTAAAATTCATCCAGCTACAGTCCCAAGAACCAAGTGCTCGAACCAAAATGAAAAAGCAAACTATATCCATGCGACTCACTAGTCTTGTCATTCGAAGTGATGAAGAACCAAAATGAAAAAGCAAATAAAGTGAAGAACCAAAATGAAAAGGCAAATAAAGTGAAGAACCAAAATGAAAAGGCAAATAAAGTGAAGAACCAAAATGAAAAAACAAATAAAGAAAGTCGCATAACAAGGTCACGTGAGTGAGCATGCATGTGTGTAGAAGAAGCTTCCAATCATTACATGATAATAATTACTTTTTTGTACTTCATACACATGATATTCCAAAATTTTAAAAAGAGGAATGCTAGCAACCTTCTCTCTAATCTTCTCTTTTGAACATTCTTCCTTCTCCTCATGACAAGTGTCATTTTCCTTACACTTAAAACAATGTCATTAATGCATCACACAAGTTAGTTTTTGTTTTCAAAGTTTACCCTTTTAAAATGTATTGGCTTTTATATTTCCTTCAATTTATTCAAATTTTGTTACAACTTCTTTAGCACATGTTAAAAATTAAATAATAGAAAAAAAAACGTCATAGTTTTAAAAAATAAAAAATAAAGTTTGTTTCATGATATTGTTATCATCTTTATTTTGTTTTTAACAAAACACACGTTCTCAAGGAAAAAAAAAAAAAAAAAAAAAAAAAAAAAAAATTTTTTTTTTTTTTAATTTTTTAACAAGGTGGTAAGAAAGTTGTAAAAAAAAAAAGCTTGTTATTAAAAAAAATTAATACATTTAATAAGGGTAAACTTGGAAAACAAAAACTCGTTTGTATGATGCATTAATGACATTGTTTTAAGTATAAGGAAAGTGACACTTATCATGAGAAGAAGAGAGAAGGTCCAAAAGAAAAGGTCAAAGAGAAGGTTGTTGGCACTCTCCTATTTAAAAACCATTAAAAATCTAGAGGAGTGATCTTCAAACCCATTAAAACCATATCAGAACTCATCCAAAAAATTTTGTACTTCATACACATGATAGCATACCTCTGTCACATAAATGGTGGGTCTTCTTCTTCAATTGACGATGGTGTGTCTTCTTCTTCAACTGACGATGGTGAGTCATCTTCTTCACGTCATTTGGTTTGCGTGAAAGGTCTCCAAGCATTGGAGGAAGAATAAAGACGTTTGGTTTCCCAGCGTACGTCGTTCCCAAGCGTAAGTGGAGTTTGTGGTGCGTAAAAGATGTAATTCAATCTCAGCCATACAAGGTCATTAAAACAGATACAACAGTTGAGCGCCCCATCCCTTAAATAACACTATTTGAGGGATCCCTTAACTGAAGGGGACTTTAATATATATATATATATATTCTAATTAAAATATGTTTGATATTAGGCTCATTTTAAAGATCTTATTAATGCTACATTTCTCATAATAATAAGATTTCTATGTTTAAACTTATATCAAAATAATTAGTATTAGTTAAAAAGGAAAACAAATGACACCTTGTATGCTTATATCAAAATAAGATTTCTATCTCCATTCCTAAGGCTGACCATTTTCTCGGGCTGCTGTCTCCTTCTAGAGCAGGGTGGGCAGCCCTCTCTTAAATACCTTGAAGAAATTAATCGTAAACTTTGTTACCATTTCTCATTACTGCAGCTGCATAATTAAGCCCAACATACAAGATTTCATAGTTAGCATCCACACGTCGAGTACCTGCATTTGGGTTAACGAATCACGTCATGACAAGTACAGAATCCTCCAGCCATCTTCATAACAACAGCATAGTTTATGTTTTTTTATTCAACATATATAAGCCGCAATGCTAGTACATTATATAACAGTACTTGCAACAAGTACACACAGACAAACACCCAAGGAATAAATGCACAGATGGTGATTGATTCACAGTGACACTGACATGAAGACGAAGAAGCACACACCCTACGAAACAAAAAACAAAAAATAAATAAATAAAGAAAAGTAGGCCAATGTCCACGGGCTGGTCCAAGTCTTTTCTTTGTTTTTGTCAAACGGGCTGGTCTTAGTCTCTAATAACTCAAAAATATGTTCATTTCTTTTTTTAGTAATTGAAAATATGTTCATTTTATTAAGCAAGCAAGCACACAAATTCTGGTTTTATTGTTCCTTGATTCTTTAATTAAATTATTTCTCTAAAAAGTTGATTTATTATTATTGTTTCTAGCCTTATTATGTGTTGATGTAATTATTGAGATTTTTATTTGGAAATTAAAAATATTCGTAGGAAACAATTATCTGGAAATCTTAAAAGACAGAGAAAGAAAAGGAAGAAGAGATAGCTCAAAATCTTAAATTTTAGTGATGAATTTATCTATAGAGGGGTTCTTCAAAAAAAAAAACTTCTTCGTCCGCTTAAGTATTGGTGCATACTTCATTAATTATACGGATAATTAAGTGAAAGATGAGTGGGGATAACTTGAAGACATCAACTTTTTATGAATAATTAATCCATCCAAAATCCATGTTCTTCTTCGATTTCACGCGAAGTCTAGTCATTTCTAAGCTAACCTAGTCTAGTCTAGTCCTGCACTTTTTTAATCAATTACTCAACCAAATAGATCTCAAGATAGGCCTGGTATCTTTTATCTCAAAGAAGTAGCAAGTTGCCTAAAATTAAGAAATTCTTAGTAACTTATTTGGGATTGCTGCCGTAGGAATAATTTTATGTTCATAAGCGCAATCGAGGCCACTAAATCGAGGTGGTCTAAGACCTAGATGATTTAAATACAATTTTTGTGGCTACATTTCC